CCTTAGTACATGATATGAGCATAGATGTTTCCTTTCCCAGCTATAAATCTGTACTTAAATGTGTATGCCTCTTTGGTAGTACAAATCTTGCTGCGAAATCTTGCTGTGAACCCTATATTTTGGAGGGTTGGACTAGATGACCCCAGGGTCCCTTTCAACTCTCCCAATTTGTGGCTGTGTGGAAGACCATGTGTCTGCAAGCATTGGAGGGTAATTCTTAAATTCTGGTGTGGTAATGGAGTTGAAATTCAGCCTAGCTTTGCTTTTTAGTTTTAAAAGGTGCGAGATGAAGCCATGATGTTTTGAAGCACAACTGGTAACATCAAGCATTTGGGTGATTACAGTGTTTATCATTTTGTCTACTATTAAAAAAATCAGACATCAAAGTCAACTCAATACATAGACGCCTTGACCATCCATCCTGTAAATAAAGGGCAGTAATAATTTGTCTGCAAATGGTAAGGCTAAAATGACTGAGAATGTTAAAAAAATCCTATGAATTCTAACTCTGGCCATTTTTACTCATAAATAAGAGAGCGGTTGATTGTTCCGCGAATGGCCAGAGGGATATTAGCCCTTTCCTGTACATAAAGGAAGCAGTCTCGTTTGCTTGGGCTGAAATTGCTAGTTTTGGTGAATACTTAAATTGCTGAGTTTCTCTTTTTGTTTAAAATCAAACCCTATTTTCAAAATCTACTCCTTACCCTTCCCTTCCCTTATTCAAATGGTAATTTAGCCAAAGGATGCAACATTTCAATAGTATAAAACGTTTGCTGAGACATGAACTCTGCACATGCACAGAGGCCAGATTAGCTAAAGAAGAGAGAGAGAGGAAGGGGGGAACTGTAAGGGGGAGAGGAGGTTTCTTCGAGAACTACAGAGAGAAATTTATCCAAATGCAAAAACAAATTTATCCAAATACAAAAACTTTGAACCATTGAGGGAAATCACCCTAAATGTTTCTTTGCTCCAGGGGCTACGTAAGACAAAAGGCTTAAAAAAAAACAAAAAACAAAAAAAAACAACAACTAGCCCATCAAAAGTCAAGAGCTTTCCAAGTTCCAAATCTTAACATGCCAAATTCTTTTCACAGGTAAATATCAAAGCATTCCCCCCCTCAATGGGAATTTTAAGAACAGCATTTCCTGACAAGCTTCTCACATGAAATAATTTTCCCTTTTAACAGGATATGTGAGATATGTGAACCCCGATAACAAAGTGTTTGTCCCTTTTTCCTCCCACAGCAACTTTCTTTCTGTTCTGTGAAACAAGTCTGAATCCCTGTTATATTAGTTGATTTCCTTCTATCTCTTTGTGGCTTTGACATTTTTTTAGGTTACAAATAATTTGTTTTCGTTTACTAAGTTCGTTTTATCAGTTCTTCCATTATATATATATGAAATTAATCGAAGCACAACCAAACATTGTTTGTGGAATGGTATTGTTTACCTTTTTGCCTGAGCATTTCTTAATTCTGTCATTTTGGCTAGTGCAAGGTACTTGTACAACTTTAAATTGCCATTCATTTTTTCTTGGTATTAACTCATTTCCCAGTATTAACGTTACAACTGATGTTGTCACATCAAGAAACACTATTTTATTTTCATTTGGGATGTTAGAATGCCAAAACAGATTACTTCAGGTTACTTCAAGTTTCTTATTAATTGTGTGTCTTAGCATTTATTTATTTTTGGTTCCTCATAGGTAATTTTGTGTGTGTGTTCTACTTTGGGGACATGTTCATCACATGTTGAAAGTCAGTTTCATGAAGTTCTTTTATCAGATAGCACATGGTGAATTTAAAGTTTTTTCCCCCATGGTTTTCCCATTTTTTCAGTCTAGTAGTAATCTGCGTGGTTTTGATAATATATTTAATAATAATTCTTTTCTAAATCTGATGTCTTTGTGTCAAGTTTGTTTTCATCTGACTGGTAATCTAATTTTTTGCTTTCTTTTGTATTTTTTAACCTTTGTATTTTTTTTACAGTTCTCTTTCTATACATGTGGAGTAATTTTTATTTTATAATATGAAAAGAACAACAACAACAAAAACTAAGTGAAGGAAAGCAAACAAACTTAGCAGATAATAACAGTAATTATGTGGAAATGTGATAATAATATTGAAATGAATAAAATGCTTAATGTGCTAAGATTGTTATTATTTGCAGCTTCCCATGGAAACTGGAGGACATCCTTTTTGCCTTTTGCCCCTTCCTTGTCTAACTGTGTTTAAGTCCCCAAAACCCTGCCCCCTTACAGGATATCACGTCTACAGATGTGCAATGATGAAAAGCAGCAACAACCCCTCAACTCAGTTCTTCATCATCACAAGACACCAGAGTTTTCAAGTGCCCACAGCTATCTCTTTCAAAGGATATAGACTGCCAGGGGAGTGGGCCTGACAAAGGGGGGTGGAGTTGACTTGCAAGGACATCTTTTCACTTGAACCTCAAGCCTCTGCGCTCCAGGATTCAAAAGATACATGCGTAAAAGATCACAATTGTGTCAAGATATGCAACTGATATTTAATTAGTTTGTTTTGTTTTAAGTGTTATTATGTAGGAATGTTGAAATGTGTCTGACAGTGTGTTATTCCCACAAGGGGGGGTATTTTTGTGTGTAATTTTTATGTTTAATGTCTTATTGCTTGCACACCAATTCTCATGCATTTTATACTTTCTGATAGCTCACACTATTGTGTAGTCCAATGTTTAGATAACCACATTTCGTTGTTCCACCTGGCACTCTGCCAACTTCCCTACCCATTTTAAATGTGCTAAAACTCGCTTTACCAAAGAGAAGCTGATAAGATACATGAAGGTGCATATGCTTTGGTTTAGCAGGAATGATCCCTTATAGAGTTAAATTGTCTTATTTGGACAAAGTGCCCTTTTAAGAACGGTTTTCCTTTAACAGACTGGTTTGAAAGGTTGAGAACCATGGGCACATAAATTCAAATTGGACTCAGTTTGAATTGGGCAAGTGTATCCAGGCTGCAATTAGCTTTTTGGTCCTTAAAGTGCAAGTGAGCAACTTCCCAGGATGCAAGACCAGAGCCTGTAATAATAATAAGAAATCCCATGGATTTTGGCCAAGGCAAAGACATTTCTCTCAGGACGTGTCCGAAACCTGTGCCAGCTGTGGTGGGTGCCAGGCTACATGATAAATATGAAAGCCCTAAGTGGATTCAGCAGGGATTGCCACTACTGCGACACCATGCCGATGTGAGACCACAGAAGAGCTACCTTGACACCTGAGAACACACAAATGGCGGGGGGGAAGCAAACTGCACTTTTCAGTCATTAGTGGGCCTTCCTGCCTAAATGTAAAGCATAGATCACTATTGAGAAAATATTTCTTCCAAGGTGCTAGAATACCACAAGTAAATGAGCAACAAAATATTAATTTACGTGATATCCTATGTCTAACTATGTGCACTGTTACACCATTATATTTCTATACAAATATCCTTAAAGTAGCATGATATCCAAGTCCCTTTCAGGTTCACATGGACACACACATCTGGGACGGAGAATACCAGGTTATTATTTACCACCTTAAATTGTGCGGAGAAAAGGATTGCAAAGTAGCCACCTTTGCAATCTTATCTCCGAAGGGGGGAACTGTAGCAGGAACCCCCCCACCCCAATCATTCTGTTTGCACGGGCTTCACACACACTCACACTCGCACACTACATACGTCCCATTTCTGTTATAAATTCATAGAAAATCAACCATACATTGGATTTGCACTGTTCCATTTTTTACTCCATGTGACAAGGACTATCAGAGGGGGGTGGCTTGGTTTCTGGTCAGCCATAATCCCTTCACCATCCCAGCACATCCACAGGAGCCCTGCCCAGTTGCTATGTCAACCCTGATAATCCCAGACAGAAGACAATCAAAATCACAAAGAACAGTGGATTCACCACAGACTGAAACAAAGGACAATGATCAGATCTTCCCTCTGGGGGCAGGAAACTGCAGACTCCCCATTGTCACCTGGAAAGTACTCATGGGGAGGGGGAAAGGAGGAACCAGCTGGGTGACTGGACACTCAGGTTGCCACCACAACTCCTCCCTCAACCCCTCCTTTCTGTAATGTATGCATGATGTCAACCCTTTCTGTAATGTATGCATGATGTTTCTGGGGGTGGGCTTGAGCTAGAGGAGGGGAATTTCAAAAGTTTTTATAAGGTCTTGCAGCCCATTGTTCTGGGTCTTTCCTCTCTCCTGCAAGTGAGGGGAACACCCTGATGCATCAGTTCAATAAAGGCCAAGCCTACAGGCTGCTGTTTTGCTCCAAGTTATCCTGGTTGGTGTCTTTACTTTTTGTCCAAGGGAGCCCTCAGATTTTTCCTGTAACATTCAGTAAACCTTTTCCAATCTGTTCCTTCTTTCTTTAGTTTTTTCTTTTATTTCCTGGAGATGAGTTTGTTTCTTCTTTAATCGAAGTGAAAACTTCAATTAAAAAAAAATCAAAAAGGGAAAAAGTTTGAGAAACTGCTGCTCAAATTGTTGCACCATGCCGGTTCTCAATAATAATAATAAATAAATAGATAAATTTTATTTATACTCCGCCCTCCCCGGCCAGAGCTGGGATCAGGGCAGCTAACACCAGTAAAATTACAGTAAAAACATACTAGGGGGGGAAAACCCAATTTAAAATACAGGTTAAAATGCAGCCTCATTTTAAAAGTAGCCCATAATGTAGGTTTTGAACTTATTTGTGCATCTGAATGCTGCAAGCCACTTTGAGACACCCCCCCCAAAAAAAAGAATTTTTAAAAAAGGATCACATCATTTTGCTGCCCGAGGCAGCTGGATCACCCCTGGCTGAGGCAGGCTGCCCTCTCCCTGCAGCCCAGCAGAGGGCGCCCCGGGGTGATCTCTCCAGCCTTCCCTTGGTGCCTGCAGGGATGGCGTGCTCAGAGGGTTAAAATGAGAGAGGGCAACTTTCTAGAGAGGCAAGACAGGAAGTGACGTGATGAGGGTACCATAGAGAGAGGGGGAGAGAGAGGACGTGGGAGGACTGCCAAGCATTGAGCTGGGAGAAAACAAAGGGAGCCCACGCTGGAGGTGCCTCTGGGGCCGGAGGGTGAGTTTTGGGGGGCCGGGGTGGGCCTGGGAGGAGGGAGGGGGAGGGAGAGGGGAAGGGGAGGAAGAAAGACCCCAGTATCCTGGGCCCCCTCCCCAACTGGAATAGATGGAGCACATTATTATTATTATTATTATTATTATTATTATTATTAATTGCATTCATTAATATTCCATAGAACTGGTGTGGCAGCTGCTATCCTGTCGCTTCATTATTTCTATTGCTGGTGCATTTGCCATTTCGAGGAATTCTTGTTCGCTGCCGCCGTTTCTAGTCTACTGCATTTTATTTATTATTCCTTATTATTTCATAGACTATCGTACTCCTTTGCCGTTGGCATTCATTGCTAGTGCATTTGCCCTTTTCGAGGAATTCGTCTTCGCTGCCGCCCCGTTTCAGTCTATTGCAATTATTTTATGAACCAGGATTATTTCTTGCACCTTTTATTATTTCGTGGAATCGCAGGGATGCAGAGATGAGAGGGAGAGGTTCCTTGCCCTTCAGGGCCAAATAGTCCAAAAATAACAACAACCCCCCCGCCCAGACCCCATTCAGTGCAGGAATCACAGCTCATCGCAGGAGCCACAAATATTTGGTGCCACTCATTGATTTTCAAGACCTTATGAGTTGCCCGTGTTGCAAAAAGGTCTCCGAGGGTTTATAGCCATACTTGTAAATACATTATGCTGCACAAGGGGTGTGTGTGTGTGTGTCAGATGATGCACTAAACATTAATGTTTTCAGAAGAACAACCTGCCGTATATTGCACATACAGCCCTCCACCCCCCCCAAAAAAACCTAACTCCACCCCCATAACATTCACTGGAAACTTGGGAAGCAGACTTAAGTGGAGAAAGAAACCATTTCAGTCCATCAAAGCCTCCCAGCTTTTGCACCCAGAGCCAGGGCTTCAGGAGCATCTGCATTGCAGGGGGTTGGGCTAGAGGACCTTTGGGGGACCCTGCCAACTCTGCAATTCTAGGGTTCTGTATCCTCTGGAGCTTGCAAGAGGCCACTGGTGCAGGGGGAGGGGTGTAGGAGATGTGCCCCCCCCTCAGGATGGGCAGACCTCAAGGAAGGGTGGGTGGGTGTGCCCAGGTCAGGAGCAGCAAGCGACCTGAGCAGTCAAGGGAGACAGCTTGCAGCTCCTGCCTTTGGAATCAAAGAACTGTAGAGTATTAGGGGGTCCCCCAGGGGTCATCCAGCCCAACCCGCTGTGACGCAGAAATCACAGCTAAAGAATCCCAGGCGGATGGCTGTCCAACCTCTGTTTAAAAAGGCAGGAGAGTCCGCCACCTTCTGAGGGAGCCCTCTCCACCTTTAAAGGACTCTTTACGTTGAGTTTGTCGCTTGAGAATGCGTCGGTTCGGGTCCCAACCCCGGGAGCAGCAAAAAGAAAGCTTGCTCCGTCTCTCAGGTTCAGCCCCTGATGTCTCCAGGTAGGAAGCAGCAGGTAGCAAATGATGCAGAAGACCCTTTCTGCAACCCATAGGAAGAACGGAAGCCGCTTTCTGCTGTCAAGACAGTTGGGTCCATTGAGCCCAGAGCTGTCTGCACTGGCTGGCAGCATCTCTCTGGGTTTGCAGGCAGGGTTCTCTCCCTGCGCTCCCTGGAAATCTGTTTCAGGGACTGGACCTGGGACCTTCTGCATGCCAAGCAGGGCTACAGCCCTAGAGAGCCCCCCACCAGCCGAAAACAGAGGAGACTATCTGGGCAAAGAGTCTTGACTTCCTATTAGGCAGCTTCCCAAGTCCTGGAGGGTGTCGTAGAGGAAAGCCAGCCAGTTGAGCAGGAAAGTTGGGTCCCTGCAATTATTATTACTTTTTTTCTGCAACGTCTGCAGTTTCATTTAACCCCTTTCTCCGTTCGGTGTGAAGGTAGGGAGCTTCTCGACATTGCGACCGGATAGGCAAAGTTTAGCAAGTTCGTTGAATTTTTCTCGGATGATTTATCCTGGATTTGCATGACCTGCTTCGGACTCCAACTCCCATCAACCAGAACCAGGTTGGGGGAGGCAGAATAAGAACTGTCAGGCGCCCTCTTTGCGGTCCTTCTGCCGGCAGGTGAAGACCTCCTTGTTCCAACCGGCCTTGGGGAACCGACTGCTTTTAATAGTTCAGTCTCTTAATCTCAGGGTCGTGGGTTTGAGCCCCACATGGGGTGAAAGATGGGTTGGACTAGATGACCCTTGGCTTCCTTCCAACTCTACAATCCTGTGATTGGGCTGGTGCCATGCAAATATTAGCTGTGTGATTTCAATAGAGTTTATACATGCTTGTTGCTTTACTTCTAACAAAGTTTACTTGCTTTTAAATGCCGCCCCCTCCAATATTTTTAGAGGTTTGCATACATAGCCTGCCTTGAGTCTTGTCAGGGAAGAAGGTAGAGTATTGATAATTAATAATAATAACAATAGAATTGAATGCTGTGGTACTTTTATTGTGGTTAGCCGCTCTGAGCCCGGATTCGGCTGGGGAGGGTGGGATATAAATAAAATTTATTATTATTATTATTATTGAGCAACAAAGTCACATAGCTTATAAAATTATTTAAATAAATATAACCCTCCCCCAAAACCCCCTCCTCTTCTCCCTTCCCAGCTGCTTATGATGCCTCTTCATTCCTCTTTCCTGACCCCCACAGATCTGTCAATCTGCGCCAAAGTCTGCTCCCCAAGTTTTGGTTGCTGAGCCAAGTGGGGGAGTCAGGAGCCTCCTTCAGCGACAGGCCAGCTTCGCACCTCTGCCCGGACCCAGCCCTCAGAGGGACCCAGCATCATGGCGGAAGACATCGTGATTCAGGTGAGGAACTGATGTGGGGGCCTGGCAACGTCCTGGAGGGGCACCCCCTTGAGTAAACGTAAGGACCTTAGAAGTGGCTACTGGAGTGGCTACTCCTCTGCACTCCTTCCAGTTTGTCAACCTCCTTCTTAAATTGTGGTGCCCAGAACTGGACACCATATTCCAGGTGTGGTTTTGATCAAGGCAGAACAGAGAGGCACTATTCCTTCCACTGATCTGGACACTAGACATCTGTTGATGCAGCCTAGAATAGCATTAGCTTTTTCAGGCTGCTGCATCTCACTGCTGACTCGTGTTCAGCTTGTGGTCCACCAAGACCCCAAGATCCTTTCCACATGTACTGCTAGTAAGCCAGGTGTCCCCCATCCTATATTTGTGCATCTGGTTCTTCCTGCATAAGTGCAGAACTTTACTTTTGTCCCTACTGAAATTAATTCTTTAGTTTGGGCCCAGTTCTCCAATCTGTTAATGTCATTTTGAATTCTGATTCTGTCTTCTGTGGCATTAGCTACCCCTCCCAGCTTGGTGTCATCTGCAAATTTGATGAGCATCCTCTTAATTCCTTCATCCAAGTCATTTATAAAAATGTTGAACAACAACTTGCCCAGGACAGAACCCTATGGCACCTCACTTGTCACTTTTCCCCAGGGTATGAACAGCCATTAATGAGTGCTCTTTGGGTTCGGTCGGTCGGTCAACCAACAGGATGGCCTAGGTACAAATTTTATTTGTTTAGCTGTAAGCCATGAAAAAACAACAACCCAGAAAGAACATCACGATTTAGTTCTTCATTTCCTGCCTGTCAGGGCAAATAAGGAAGCAGAGCAAAGCAAAGCAAGACAAGGTCTCATTGTCAGAAAGAAGCAGAGAAAAAGAAAATCATAATTGTGCATTGATGGTATCAGGTTGTTATACGTGACCCTTGTTTCAGAAGTATTTGCACCTGCAAAGGTTTCAGGACAGACACACTGCTTCGTTTCCAGACCTTTCTGCTGAAATCCTGAAATTGTCCATGCCACAAATATTCCAGAGGCTGGTATGCAAACAATTTTTGAGTAGACTTACTGAAATTCATGGACCTAACTTAGACTCATGCGAGAGAGTCAAACAGACAAGGAAACCGCTGCTTTTTAATCAACCTGACACGGTTTTGTTACCTGTGCAACGTTGATGGAAGGTGGCCTCTGAGAAGACAAGGCGATTTGCGGAACCTCCATTTGAAAACTGAAATGGCTTAAAAGTTAAATGTGATTCAATAGACATTTGGTGCTTCTGGGCAGGGAGGGGGATTAGAATCATAGAATCGTAGAGGTGGGAGGGACCCTCAACGTCATCTAGTCTGACCCCCTGCAACGCAGGGCTCTCAACTGAAGCATCTGTGACAGGTGGCTGTGTAGAAACGAAACAGCAGATGGATTATTTTTGGGCAGATGGATTGTTTTAAGAAATCAGCTGTGTGTGAATCACTGTTTATCGCTGATGCAAACTGCAAATAAAGACAAATGCAATAGGGGGGAAATGGACTTGTAGACTTGGAAGAGACCCTGAGGCTCATCTAGCCATCTAGCCCTCTGAAAGGCAGGAACCAAAGCTAAACTTTGGCACGTTTATTTATTTCAGTGGATCTGCTCTGAATAAAGGTTGTTGGAATACCACCCTGGAGTAGTCCTGGTTTTGTTCCAGCAGAGCGTTCTTCCAGCCAAAAACAATGTCCTGAAATCTACAGATGAAGGGCCCTAAAGAAGCCAGACTATCCTCCACCAGCGCCAGGGCCTTTTCAGTGATGGCTCCGACCTGGTGGAATGCTCTGTCCCACAAGACTAGGGCCCTGCAGGACTTGATCTCCTTCCACAGGGCCTGTAAGACAGAGCTATTCCACCTGGCCTTCAGTTTGAATTAGCCTGATCCTCTATTCCCTTTTCCCTTTCCTCTTCTATGAAGAAACCCTTTCTGGGACCCCACATTTAAATTCTTCCCTGGTCTCCTTGCTGGCCCTAGTAGGACCAACTTGGCCAGTTAGCCCTGGTGATCACTTGATGTTTACTGACTGGGTTCCCCCCTCCCCCAAAATGACCCCTGATTTTTTGAATTTTATTGATATTGATGCTGCATTTTATCTTGTATTTTATGCTGTTTTTAAGTCACATTTTAATCAATGCTTTATATTTGCTGTTAGCCACTCTGAGCCCAGTTTTTAAACCGGGAAGGGCAGGGTATAAATAATTTTTTTAAATAATAATAATAATAATTTATATAAAATTAATTACTACTACTACTACTACTACTACTACTAATATTGCAACAGTGTTGGGGCAGCATGACAGAACAACTAAGAGAACTGGCTGTTGTGCAGACGGAACAGTAGGAATCCCCACAAATACAGTGGTGCCTCGCAAGACGAAAAGAATCCGTTCCACGATTCTCTTCGTCTAGCGGTTTTTTCGTCTTGCGAAGCAACCCTATTAGTGGCTAAGCGGATTAGTGCTATTAGCGGCTTAGCGGCTATTAAAGGCTTAGCGGCTTAGCTGCTAAAAGGCGCTTAGCGGCTTAGCGGCTTAGAAAAAGGGGGGGAAGCGGGGGGAAAATCGCAAGACGTTTTTCGTCTTGCGAAGTAAGCCCATAGGGGAAATCGTCTTGCGAAGCAACTAAAAAACGGAAAACCCTTTCGTCTAGCGGGTTTTCCGTCTTGCGAGGCACCACTGTACACTGTTATTACTGCATCAATGGTACTTTGCAGAATACACCTGGGAGATGCCACCAGTGTGTGTGTGTGGAGAGCAGGGCGATGAAAGTTTACCTGGAACAAATGCAGAAAATACGGATCCCTCTTTCATCAACGGAACCAGGGGGGAAACGCTTGGAATTAGCTGGCAGCTTTCCTGGCAAGGAGTGGCTTGACCATTCCGGAGCTGCTCTGACCGCCTTTGTCTTTGCAGGACATGGTGACGTTTGAGGACGTTGCCGTCTCGTTCTCCCCCGAAGAATGGGAGATGATGGAGGACTGGCAGAGGGAGCTGCACTGGGAGGTGATGATGGAAAACTACAGAATGCTCATCTCTCTGGGTAAATGCCCCTCTTCCCTTTCACGGCGGGGTCCTGGGTGATCTTATCTGTGGGGCAGAACACGGGGGAGATTCTGTATGGGTAATAATAATCTGTTGGAAGCCACTCTGGGCGGCTTCCCACAAATCTAAAAGCATAATACAGTAGTGCCTCGCAAGACGAAAATAATCCGTCCCGCAAGTCTCTTCGTCTAGCGGTTTTTTCGTCTTGCGAAGCAACCCTATTAGCGGCTTAGCGGCTATTAAAGGCTTAGTGGCTAAAAGGCTATTAGCGGCTTAGAAAAATCGCAAGACTCGCAAGCCGTTTTCGTCTTGCAAAGCAAGCCCATAGGGAAAATCGTCTTGCGAAGCGCATCGAAAAACGGAAAACCCTTTCGTCTAGCGAGGCATTCGTCTTGCGGGGCACCACTGTAAGACACCAGGCATTTAAAACGTCCCTCCCCCCAATTTTTTTATTCATTTTATAATACAACTGAATACACACAAAAAACCAATACAAACAAATTCTTGTCTTATCCTTATTTTTTCTAAACATTGTTAGTTGGGCTTCCCCAAGTCCCCCCTATCTGATTTTCATTTTACCTCATCTTTAGCATTTACATATATCATAATTTTTAACCATATTTTTTATCACACTTACTTTTACCATAAAAATCTTCATATTTTATCCCTTACAAGTAATACTATTTTAAAACACACTATCTTCTACTTCTAACCCTATACATAAAATCAGGAGTCACAGCGAAAGAACCCCTGACATCTGGCCATCCAGTGATTCCTTAAAACCTCCTTAAGACGAGGATTTCTGAGTTTCCATAAATGCCTCCCCCATTGCTGCTCATATACAACATTCCTTTTCTTTTGTTAAATATTTTTTTATTAATTTTCAATTATTAAAATCCAATAACAGCCACATTTTACCAATGTCAAATTACAATTCACATCCATATATTTTTATATATATATAAAAAGCCAATTATACAATTTGTGTGACTTCCCATGTGCTGGGTTTCCGGGTGTACTACAACAGCCACTCCTAAGTCTTCCGGTACAGAGAGAATAACTTCTAATAATAATAATAATTTTATCATTTATACCCTGACTGTCTGGCTGGGTTGCCCATTTTGGCCATTTGGGGGCCTGTAGTAGCAATAAGGCCTAGGTGTAAAACTCCTTGAAATCTCCCCAAAATTCTCTTCCTGATTAAGGGAGACGCGGATCGTGTTTCTCTTTGCTTTCCTGCCTCTTCCAGTTTTACATTCGGAGCTGCCTGCATTTCAGGCCCAGCTCTGTTTTGAAAGTGGTTTGTGCTCAAAATGCCTGCCTCTGAGTTTCCGACAGAACTTGCCAACTGGGACGGAGAGGGGGCATAGTGGGGGAAAGAGGAATTTGCTCCAGTATCTGCTTCAGCCACAGCTCCTAGCAGCAGCTTCAGATGAGCAGAGAATCATAGAACTGTAGAGTTGGAAGGGACCCAAAGGTCATCTAGCCCAACCCCCTGGAATGCTGGAATCTCAGCTAAATAATAATAATAATAATTTTTATTTATAGCCCACCCTCCCCAGCCAAGACCAGGCTAACACCAGGTAAAAACAATTGATTAAAATACAACTTAAAAACAAGTACAACATTAAAAAGCAGTCTCTTTTCAGTAGAAACTCAAATCAAAAACTTTTTGGGGATGAAAAAGTCAAATCTTCACCAAGGCCAGCTATCCAGACTGGTCCTATGTGGGCCAGAAAAAAAGCCAAGGAAGTCCCCAAATAGGAGTTCCAACACAGAAGGAGAAAGGAAAAAGGAAAGGGGATCAGGTTGATTCCAAGCCAAAGGCCAGGCGGAACAACTCTGTCTTACAGGCCCTGCGGAAAGAAATCAGATCCCACAGGGCCCTGGTCTCATGAGGCAGAGCGTTCCACCAGGCTGGAGCCATCACTGAAAAGGCCCTGGCCCTGGTTGAGGCTAATCTGACTTCCTTAGGGCTCAGGACCTCTAGGGTGTTTCTATTTATGGACCTTAAGGTCCTCCGTGGGGCAGACCAGGAGAGGCGGTCCCGTAGGTACGAGGGTCCTAGGCAGGTGGCCATCCAACCTCTGCTTAAAAACCTCCAAGGTAGGAGAGCCCTCCGCCTTCTAAAGGAGACCTTTCCACTGTCAAACAGCTCTTGCCGTCAGAAATTTCTTCCTGATGTTTAGTCGGAATCTCCTTCCAAGAACCGCGGCTTCTTCACCAGCTGTTAGAGACCTGAACATGATGTTCCTAAGATGTGTGCTCTCTGGGCGAGGTGCCCACCTTGCTCTTAAGGTGTGGTCCAAGTCACAGCGATCTTTTGGCAAAGAATCTTTTGGCATTAGCTGACATAACAAGCTCCGCAGCTGCAGTTCTCCTGGGAACGTAACTTGTCGGTGCTGGTTTACTGGGAATATCTCTCGCTTCTTCCTAGCCAGGGGAGGATCCCTTTGTGGTGCTCCGCTGAGAGAGAAGCCACGCTTTTGTAACCCCACCTTTTGGCAGAGATGTGGCCGAGCCTTTGCCATTTGGTGAGCTAGAAATATGGATCACCAGGGCCAGAATTATTGATTGCCATTGATTATATTTATTTCTCACTTTCTTGCACCAAAGTGTCTCAAATTAGCTTACAGGATATAAACAGGAATAACAAGAAGTGTTGACACCAAATATAAAAAACAGCAACCAAGCAAGGCCTAAAGTGCTCACCATATGTATATATATGTGTGTGTGTGTGTGTGTGTTTATAATATAATATATATAATATATAATATAAAGCTATATATTTTTATATAAGGAGATATCTATCTATCATCTATCTATATCATCTATCTATCTGTCATCTATCTATCTACATATTTATATTTTTGTATATAAATATAATAAATACTACGTATATATGTGTGTGTGGGTATTTATTATGTTTCTACACCTCTTGATTGTAAAAACAACAAACAACCTCAAAATGCATCACAACGAGAATAAAACTATCAGTAAAAGCAATACTTTAAAACATTCAAAAGATAAAATCAGGAAAAACTGAAAGCAGATTAAAAACGTAAATTGACATTCCGCATGTCTGGACAGGCTCGTCTAAATGAAAAATGTTTTTAGCAGGTGCCAAAGAGAGTGGCTCAAAGGATCCTGCTATCAGTAGGCAGGGAGTTCCAAAGTGTCGCTGCACCAAAAGACTGATTTCTTCCAAAGGCAGAGCGGGTGTTCTGTGGCACCTTTGGCAGTGCCAATTCTGCATGTGGGGCAAGGCGATTTTGCAGGCAAACTGGTCGCAAGGTGTCCAGGGCTTTATGCATTAAGAGTAACACCTTGAACCTGGCCAGGTAGAAAACAACAGCCCCTGTAGCCTTCCTCACGGAGGAGCGTGTCCAGCCACCCTCAGCCTAGCTGAATACAAAATGCTTTTGCCTAAAAGCAGGCAGCAGTGGTGCCAGCCGTGCTTCCCTGGGGAGAGCATTCCACAAGCCGGGAGCCACCCCTAAAAAGCCCCTCTTCTCATATTGCCACCCTTTGCATCTCGGAAACTGGACCCAGAGACGGACCCTTCACATAGGTTTCCCAGACAACCTCGTAACAGTCGCATTTCTGACATCTTCTGTAATTGGAAGTCCAAATCACGGGCTACCTGAGATCTTGCAGTCAGCTTTGAACCCGGGATTACATGAGGAAACCATGATCTTCGCTTTCTCTCCTTTAAGAAACCCGGCTTTTATTGTCTGTTCCATCTCGGAACAACCCTGTGAGGCTGGGCACGGCAAGACCTTTTTGACGGGGGAAGGTGATGGAATCTCCTTCCTTGGAGTTTGGTTGGCCAACTGTCAGGGATTCTTCAGCTGTGATTCCTGCATTGGGGGGGGGGGTTAGACCAGATGATCCCCAGGAGTCTTTCCAACTCTGCAATTCTAGGGTTCCCATTTCACAGACATCTGGGCTGGTTCTGCTGCAAGTTCCCTGTGCCTCTGATAGAATCATAGAATCATAGAGGTGGAAGGGACTACCAAGGATCATCAAGCCCACCCCCTGCAGTGTAGGTAAAGGTAAAGGGACCCCTGACCATTAGGTCCAGTCGCGGCCAACTCTGGGGTTGCGGTGTTCATCTCGCTTTATTGGCTGAGGGAGCTGACGTTTGTCCACAGACAGCTTCTGGGTCATGTGGCCAGCATGACTAAGCCGCTTCTGGCGAACCAGAGCAGCGCATGGAAACGCCATTTACCTTCCCGCCAGAGCGGTACCTATTTATCTACTTGCACTTTGACATGCTTTCGAACTGCTAGGTTGGCAGGAGCAGGGACTGAGCAACGGGAGCTCACCCCGTTGCGAGGATTCGAACCACCGACCTTCTGATTGGCAAGTCCTAGGCTCTGTGGTTTAACCCACGGCGCCACCCACGGCAGTGTAGGAATCACTGCTAAATAATCCCTGATGGCCATTGTCTAAAAACCTCCAAGGAAGCAGAGTCTGATACCTCCCGAGGGAGTCGGTTCCGCTGTCAAACAGCTCCTATCACCAGAAAGTCTGTCCCGATATTTCTCCTGAATCTCCATTCTCGTCAGCTGAATCCATTCTCATGCTCACCCTCTTGCTATGTGAATCTTTCCATGTCCCAGGAAACGACCTCTACCTCCTTTCCTCGAGCGGAATGTTCTGGAACACGTCGGACGAAGAAAATGTCCCCGCCGAGCCGCAGAGAGGTCCCGCGATGGGGTCGCCGGAGACTTCGCCCCTCCGTATCCTCGAGGGCCAAACGGAGATGGAGGAAGCCTTCGTGCCGGAGCAGCAACCTTTGCCGAGAGGCGCCAGCCCTGCAGGGAGCCCGTATCCCTGCCCGCTGTGTGAGCAGTGCTTCCGGGGCAGGAAGGAACTCGACCGGCACCAGAGGAGCATCCACCTGGGGGACAAACCCCACGGGTGCGAGGAGTGCGGGAAAGCCTTCCGAGACAAGAGCGACCTTCGCGTCCATCAGAGAATCCACACGGGGGAGAAGCCCTTCCCCTGCGAGGTCTGCGGCAAATCCTTCCGGGAGAAGAGCAAGCTCATCGTGCACCAGCGGATCCACACGGGGGAGAAGCGCTGCGTTTGCCAGGAGTGCGGGAAATCTTTCCGGGACAAGCATTACCTTCGGGATCATCAGAGAATCCACGCGGGCGAGAGGCCCTACCACTGCGAGGACTGCGGCAGGAGCTTCCGGACCCGGAGCCATTTCACCCTGCACCAGAGGATCCACACGGGGGTCAAGCCCTACGTCTGCAACGAGTGCGGGAAGACCTTCGTCCAGAAGAGCAACCTCGTCAGCCATCAGAGAATCCACACCGGAGAGAAGCCCTTCCCTTGCGAGGAATGCGGGAAGATGTTCCGGGACCGGAAAACCCTCCGGTACCACCGGAGGATTCACATGGGGGAGAAACCCTACCCGTGCCAGGAGTGCGGGAAGACCTTCCGGGACAAGAGCAGCCTGACGGTCCATCAGAACATCCACTCCGGGGAGAAGCCCTTCATCTGCTGGGAATGTGGGCGGAGCTTCCGGGAGAAGATGTACCTGAAGGATCATCAGAGAATCCACACCGGGGAAAAGCCCTTCTCTTGCCAGGAGTGTGGGAAGACGTTCAGAGCCAAGAGGACCCTCACGTACCACGAGAGGATCCACACGGGGGAGAAGCCCTTCCCCTGCCTGGAGTGCGGCAAGACCTTCCGGGGCAAGAGCAGCCTGACGGTCCACCAGAGGATCCACTCGGGAGAGAAGCCGTTCATGTGCTGGGTCTGCGGGAGGAGCTTCCGGGAGAAGATGTACCTCCGGGAGCACCAGAAAATACACCTCGAGGAGAAGCCCTACCCCTGCGGGGACTGCGAGAAGAGCTTCGTCCACAAGAACCACCTCATCCGCCACCAGAAATTCCACGTGGCCTTCTCCATCCAGTGAAGGTGGACAGTGCCGTAAGGACAACGCCAGAGGACCCTCGCACGACGGGGGCCGGCCTTTTTGGCCCAGCAAATGCAACCGCACGGAGGGCTCCCTCGATTTGCCCCGCTGCGTGTTCTGGGTTCGGATTCTGTATAAAGCAGGTGGCAGGGAGTAGCGTTAGGAATTAGGAAGAGTCCCGAGACCCGGAGGGGCGATTTGAGCTGCTAAATACCGCGCCCCGTAAGCGACGGGGCCCCTTCCTCCGTTTCTGCAGCAACCGTTTTGCCTTGGGAAGCAGTTGCATTTATCCTACTGTAGTTGTGTCGAGAGTTTTTGTGTGTGTGGGAGGCAGGACTGTGCATGGGATTTGCCAAATGAATAGTTAATTGTCGGTTTCGTTTCCCCCTTATTGTAAATGGCCTTGTGGGTTTTTGTTGGCTGAAAGAGGGCCTGTAGATTTGGGGCGGGGGGGATAAACGTATATCAAGATGTGTCCGGGAGCCGCAATAAATCTATACACTTTGCTGTATGAATTGCTCTCATCCCCTTTCCCCTAAATGTACTCAGTGTGACATGACGAAATCTGTTCTTTCACATGCCCTGAACCTGCTCCAAATAAATTCCGTTGGGTGGCTCCAAGTTCTACTATTATGAGGGAGGAAAATGTTTCTCAACCTACGTTCCATACATCACAAATAAGTTTATGTGCCTTTCCCCCCAGACATGGGGATAGCAGTCGTGGTGGCCCCCTGATCCTGGTGGACTACAAATCACATCATCCATGACCATTGGCCACACTCGCCGAGGCTGATGGGAGTTGTAGTCCCAAGGATCTAGAAGGCACCAGGTTGACAAATGCTGCAAACAGGACCTTTCCCCGGAGGGGGGGTTTGCTCCTGGATCATTTGGGCCGCCCCTTATTTGCAACTTCCTTTTCCAGCTTAGGAAGTACAGTGGTGCCCCGCAAGACGAATGCCTCGCAAGACGAAAAACTCGCTAGACGAAAGGGTTTTCCGTTTTTTGAGTCGTTCCGCAAGACGAATTTCCCTATGGGCTTGCTTCGCAAGACGAAACGTCTTGCGAGTTCTTGTGAGTTTGTTTCCTTTTTCTTAAAGCCGCTAAGCCGTTAATAGCCGCTAATAGCCGTGTTTCGCAAGACGAAAAAACCACAAGACGAAGAGACTCGCGGAACGGATTAATTTCGTCTTGCGAGGCACCACTGTATTAACAACAACAACAACAATAATAATTTATACCCCAGCCACTCTGGGCGGCTCCCAACAGAACATTAAAAGCACGATAAAAGATCAAACATTAAAAACTTCCCTAAACAGGGCTGCTTTCAGATTTATTGCTAGGCGCCACCCCAATCTCTGAGTGGTTCAAGATTCCAGGAGTTCCGGCGCTTTTACTTAGGGTTCAGTCTTCTTGGAAGGAGAGTCAGCTGAGACTGTGAGGATATGTGGTTTTATTTACATACACTGGCAGCCAAAATTGTGGAAACCTTTTGGAAAAACTGTATTTCTGAGGCTTGATGGCTCATAACACCACTTTTATTTGGTCTGATACAGTGGTGCCTCGCAAGACGAAATTAATTCGTTCCGCAAGTTTATTCTTCTTGCGAGTTTTTCGTCTTGCGATGCACGGTTTCCCATAGGAATGCTTTGAAAATCAATTAATGTGTTCCTAGGGAAACCGCTTGCCAGGCTGGTGGTGCGGAGAAGGGCTTTTCTCCCCACCGCAAGCCTTCAGGACAGGTACGGGAACAGAGGGGAAGGCGCGCAGCGCTTTCCCTCTGTTCCCGGGGCTTGCGTGGGAGGAGGGTTTTTCCTCCCCACCGCCAACATTCAGAACAGCATTCTGAATGTTGGCGGTGGGAAGGAAAACCCTCCTCCCACCCCAAGTCTTCAGGAAAGCCATCCGAAGCCGGGCGGCGGGAGAAGGTGTCCCCACCCCCCGCCCGGCATCGGAGCTTCGTTCGATGGCGGGCGGCGGGAGGAACGGTTCCCGGCCCCCCCCCCCCGCCCGGCTTCGGAGCTTCGTTCCGATGCGGCGGGCGGCGGGAGGAGGTCCGAGACAGTGGCAATACACGCTGCCGCTTCCCGCTGTCCCGGAATTCCTATGGGCTTTTCGTCTGGCGGGGAAGAACGCGCTCCATAGGGCCGCAGAGTCGTATTGCGAAGCAACTCGCACTGAGACGGCGGGGAGAAACGCCGTTCCAGCGCGGCTTCCGTCTTGCGAGCGTTCGTCTTGCGGGGGGAGAGTGTACCACTCGCCCCCGAGGCATCGGAGCTCGTTCCTCGATTGGTGGGCGGGGTAAGTACCTTTTGACTTGATCGGAGCAGTTCATGGATAGGCGTCATGGCGGCAGGTATTCAAATTTGGCAGTACGGGGCTATAGACAGTTTACCCGCTGTTCCGGAGATTCCTATGGGCTTTCGTCTTGCAACAGCCATAGGAAATCGTCTTGCGAGAACTGAAACCTTTCTCTATGCGAGGCTTCGTCTTGCGGGTCATGTACCATGAAATCTCTCTCTTTTTAATACCTTATTGAAGTTCATGTAGTCATACACAATTTGTGTGAACGGTTACATTTCGTTTGTGGCTTTTTTGTAGATATCTCTGAAATACCCTTTTTGAATATTGTGTGTGTTTTGCCTATTTGTTATGTAGCCACTTCTGCAAATTCTAGGAGTTTGTTTTACCATTCCCTTAAGGTCAGTACTTTCCAATTCAATGCTATTAATAGTTGGGCAGCAGCTGTTGCATATAAGAAGATTTCTTTTCTATTTTTCGGGATATCTCTACCTAGGATTCCAAGCAGAAAGGCTTCTGGCTTCTTTAAGAATGTTAATGTATTTTTTTTTTCATCTCATCATATATGAGATTCCAAAACACTGATTTTTCTGCATGTCTACCACATATGGTACAAATCTCCTCCTGTTTCTCCGCACCTCCAGCACTTATTTGAATTATTTTTATACATCTTGGAGAGTTTTGATGGTGTAAGGTACCATCTGAACTGCATTTTCATCATGTTTTCTTTAATGGTGTAAAATCCAATAAAGTTCATATTAGTTTCCCAGAGAGTTTCCCATTCACTGATCATAATAGTCAGCCCAATGTCCTGCGCCCATTTTATCATAATCACCTTCACCTTCCCAGTCAAGGAGGAGTTGGTATATCCTGGAAATGATCTTAGTGTTATTATTTAGCAATTCCCTTTCATTGGCAAATACATAAAATTATATCTCTTTTTAATTTTTTTTTAAAGAAAATATTAAATTTTATTTAACATAATTATTACAAAATACAAGCAAAATACATACATATACATACATATTTTTTCAGATAAGCGCACATATATAAAAAAGAACAAAAAAAGCGAGAAAAGAAAAAGAAAAAATAAGACTGTTCCACTGTCATAAAATTATATCTCAATGGAAAGGTAATTTAATAAAGAGTGTAACACAACAAAGTTTGTTCAGTTACCTGTATTCTATCAAAAATTATAGCATAATAACCAGAAAAAGGAATCACAACTTGCTAAGGTTGATATGCAGTAGTTTTCCTTCATTTGAATGTAGCCAATGAACATGAGTCTTTAGGGAGCCAATAAACCTCGGAAATACACTTTCCCCCAAAGGTTTCCACAATCTGGGCAGGGAGAATGCTCACGTCATTAGCACCCAAACGGATCCTGCTTCTCTTGTAGTCACAGCTTTGGATCCAGCACGGAGCAAGCAGGTCTCTGTGTCTCCAGCTTCCAGCTCAGCTCGCCCACAACTCCCTGGCTGATTTCTCTCCTACTTAGCAGCCAGGTAAGGGAGGTGGAGAAAAGGCCCATCCATCAGCTTGGAGGACACCATCACTTAGCTGCAACCCTCACAATTATTAATATTTATAAAAGTAATAGTAATTTGTTATTTGTACCCCAGCCACTCTGGGTGGCTTCCTACAAAGATGAAAAATACATTAAAATGTCACACATTAAAAATTTCCCTGAACAGGGCTGCCTTCAGATGTCTTCTAAATGTCAGGTAGTTGTTTATCTCTTTGACATCTGGTGGGAGGGCGTTCCACAGGGCAGGCGCCACCACCAAGAAGGCCCTCTTCCTGGTTCCCTGTAGCTTTGCTTCTCGCAGTGAGGGAACCGCCAGAAGGCCCTCAGAGCTGGACCTCAGTGTCCGGGCAGAACGATGGGGGTGGAAACGCTCCTTCAGGTATACTGGGCCGTTTAGGGCTTTAAAGGTCAGCACCAACACTTTGAATTGTGCTCGGAAACGTACTGGGAGCCAATGCAAATCTCTCAGGACCGGTGTTATGTGGTCTCGGCGGCCGCTCCCAGTCACCAGTCCAGCTGCCGTATTCTGGATTAGTTGTAGTTTCCAGGTCACATTCAAAGGTAGCCCCACATAGAGCGCATTGCAGTAGTCCAAGCGGGAGATAACCAGAGCATGTACCACCCTGGAGAGTCAGTTTGTGGGCAGAGAGGCTCTCATCCTGTGTACCAGATGGAGCTGGTAAACAGCTGCCCTGGATACAGATTTGACCTGTGCCTCCATGGACAGCTGTGAGTCCAAAATGACTCCCAGGCTGCGCACCTGGTCCTTCAGGGGCACAGTGACCCCATTCAGGACCAGGGAATCCTCCCACACCTGCCCGCCTCCCTGTCCCCCCAAAACAGTACTTCTGTCTTGTCAGGATTCAATCTCAATCTGTTAGCCACCATCCATCCATCTTTCAGCCAAGAACCATGGGGTGGTTTGCATCGTAGCTCATTATTTTGAGATGCTGATAGAAAGGGCCGCATCGAACCTCAATCCGGCCCTGAATTGATTGCTACCGATTTGAATGGAAAGCTGATTTTCATAGGGTAGGGGGGCACCAGTGGTGCATTGATGGAACCAAGAGGGTGGTGGTCCCCAGAATTAGGAGACCCCCCCGCGCGCTCTATATATCCCAGGGAGTTGCAAGAAAAGGGTCCACGTCGTCTCCACCCCCGTGAATCTGGGATGTCGCAACCAGACGAGAGAGGAGGCCTGGGAAGCTGGAGGGAGGAGCCGCGTTGCAAAAAAAGGAGGCGCGTTTTGCAGCAGGGAAGGCGAAGAAGCAGCCGGACCGGGTCTTGGGCTTTGCAGCCGGGTTGCCAACTGACCCGAAGGAAGCCCCGCCCCCGGCTGCTCTTGTGCCTCCCCGATGCCCTGCTACGTCCGGGGAGGGAGGAGCCGCGTTGCACGAAAAGGGGAAAAGAAGCTCTCCTTTTTTGCAGGAAAGGCCGGGCGCTTTGCAGCCGGGTTGCCAACGGACCAGAAGAAAAGCCCGGCTGCTCCTGCGCCTTCCGCTGCCCCGTGACGTCGGGGAAGGGAGGAGCCGCCTTGCAAGGAAGAAAGGCTTTTCCTGCACGAGAGGCTTCTTTGCAGCTTCGCTTCTGCAGCCGGGTTGCCAACTGACCCGGAGGAAAGCCTGGGTTGCTGCTGCTGCTGCTGCGCCTTCTTGCCGCCGCGCCAGCTTCTTGCTCCAGGATGGAGGTAAAAGCGCCTCTGCCTTTTTGCAATGCCCCGCCTGCCCCGAGCAGGCCGGGCTCCCTTTCCCCGGCCCGGCAAGCGCCCCCTCGCCGCCTGGCTCTTTGTTCCCCCTGGCGGGCCGGGCGCGATGGAGGCGCGCGTAAAGCTCCGGCCCGCAGCGCCTTGCCATGCGCTGGAGGGGGCCGCCCGCGCCCTCCAAGAGAGAAGGAGGGAGAGAGATCGCTGGTGGTGGGGGAACATGTCGGGATTCGAACCCAGAACAGCGGCAATTTGGACCCTTGCACCTATTTCCCAGGCCTGGAGGAGGAGGAGGAGGACCTGAGTGGTCCAGCTCACTCAAGGTTGCTTATTCTGGCTGCCAGCGGCTCTCCAGAAATCATCATCATCATCGGTGTTGTTTTTCTAGAAAAAGGGGTTGCTGAGCTCACCATTTACACCTCTTAGAAGGGCAGACACCCACCTGAGAGGTGCTGGAACTGAGTTCTGGTTGAAACCAAGCCTTGATGATGATGATGATGAGGCTTATAGATTTTCGTTTTGCAGTGTACCCGCAGCAGATTGAAGAGTCGTTGCAACAGAAAGGAAAGGATGAACAAAATTATAAAAGAGGCAAGCAGAATGTGGCGCCCGCCCTGTGGAACGCCCTCCCACCAGATGTCAAAGAAATAAACAACTATCTGACTTTTAGAAGGCAGCTGAAGGCAGCCCTGTTTAGGGAAGCTCTTAATATTTGACGAATTATTGTATTTTAATATTTTGCTGGAAGCTGCCCAGAGTGGCTGGGGAAACCCAGCCAGATGGGTGGGGTGGGGTATAAGTAATAATAATAATAATAATAATAATAATAATAATAATAATGGGTGGGGTGGGGTATAAGTAATAATAATAATAATAATAATAATAATAATAATAATAATGGGTGGGGTGGGGTATAAGTAATAATAATAATAATAATAATAATAATAATTATTATTATTATTATTATTAAAGGGGCAGAGGTTAGACTAGCAAAGCCATGAATGCCCTAAGCTCAAGGAAGACAGAATCATATAAAAAAGGAGGTTCTAGTCCTGGTCGAAATATCAGATTATTTGTAATTTTCTCCATGACAGCTCTATTCCAGAGTGAGTGGCCCCAAGCATTTGGTGTAAAATTTTGGGCCGCTTTCCACTGAGCTGCAATTGCTATTCTTGCTGCCAAGATAATATATCCTTTGGACAATACATTTCCATTGGTATTAACCACAAACCTCTGAACTGTTCTTATACATCTTGGCCAATTTGGCCGGGGTTAGGTACCATCTGTATAACATCTTCATTACGTTTTCTCTAATATTGTAACATGCGGTGTTGTCACCGCATGTCATCCAGATTTGTCTTTGGCACTCAGCCTTGACACTGGTCAATAATAATAATAATAATAATAATAATAATAATAATAATTTATTTGTACCCCGCCCATCTGGCTGGGTTTCCCCAGCCACTCTGGGCGGCTTCCAACAAAGATTAAAAATACATTAAATTAAATTAAATTACATTAATGCCATATTCCAGAAAACCTGAGGCGGTCGTAGGGTTTGTTTTTGGGGTGAGGAGGACCGTGTTGCGGCAAACCTCGGCATCTTTCATGGAGGTACGTTGGCTTCCATCACAGCTTTGACTTCCTGCGTTGCCTGGGGCTGGGCTGGATGACCTTTGGGGGTCCCTTCCTCCTCTATGATTCTACGTCTTCGTTTCCGCAGGTGACGTTTGAGGACGTGGCCATCTACTTCTGCCGGGAAGAGTGGGCGGAATTAATTCCGTGGCAGAAGGAACTCTACCGGGGTGTGATGGTGGAAAACTACGAGGCGGTCCTTTCCGTGGGTAAATATACCGCCGTCCTCTGGAACTCGGTTCGCTGGTGGGGGGGGCGAGGTCATGGTGGTTGGTCCAGTGGTCCAACCCTGGTTTCATTTGCAGAGCCCATTAGTTACTCAGAAGTAGACTGCCTCTGCCTGTGGAGGTTCAATTTAGCTCTCACGGCTGCTGTTTGATTGACAGGCCCATCGTCCTCCATGAATTTCCCTTTCTTAATCATATTTTTAAAAATTGATGTACACACAATTTAACAAATTTAGTTCCGTTTCCGTACAGCATTTTGTCTTTTTCACCCTTACTTCCGCGATGTTTCTGTTCAAATCCTTTCCTCTACTGCCTTAGAAATAATACTTATTTCTATTACATATATCCTACATTACATTCCTTTATCATTCTCATTCCTTTGCTTGGATTTCAAAACCTGCCTGCAATTTCATTTGACTCGGATAATCTGAAAAGGGTCCATGAAATTTCTCCGCAAGTGTCGTTTTGCTAAATAGAACAGATCAAGGGGCATTTTCGCCCAGGCTCAGAGAGTTCTTCCTTCTCACTGAAGGTGGGCAGCCACAAACAGAGCGCGATATTCATGCTCTTTCACAGCATCTGAGACTGAGCGATATACTGCCCCTGACTCTGGAGGTTCTGTTAAGCAGCCATCTGAGCTAATAGCCACTGAGAGATTATCCTCCAGAGCTGGTGGGTTAAATGCCTTCTGTAAAGAGGTCTCAGTGGCACTGCCCACCTTTTGACTTCACTGGGTGACCTCCAGCATATTGGGAAAGGGGCAGAATTCGTCCCTGGCCTCTCCCTGGCTGCTGCATCTGTGGGAATGTTCCAGGATGCAGGAGAGGATATATTGTCTGATTATAGCCTTTCCAACTTGTGTAAACAAGTTCACAATTTAGCAGAGTACCGTAACATTCCCCTTTTTAAACTCACAGCGGATGCTAAAGCCTCTATAATAACTGTTCTGGTGTTTTCCCCTTATTCCCTCATAAAAGATAAGACATGACACAATCTTCTACAAAGTATAAAAAGGTTTACTCACACATCATTCTGTTCACAATAGGATCCCAGAAGGCAGACTTAGCTTAGAAAAGTAACATATACCTAGAAACTATCTCATAAGGAGACAGTCCCTTACACATTCCTCCCCATGTGTAAACATGTTCACTCTAGGAATGTTGTACTTGACTGCTCTTGCGTTTCACATCCCACAGGATCAGACCAAACTCCTGTCTTGTCCAGGATCCTCTTCCTACAGTGGGTGGTGGGAGAAGGACTCAAACGCCATTCGAATTAGCCTTTATAAACTCAAATCAAGTCCTTCATGTATCACAGGGTTGAACTGTGGAACTCCCCGCCACAGGATGGCCACTAACTTGGGTGGCTTTGAAAGAGGATCATGCGAATCCATGGAGGGGGAGAGGGCTATGGAGGGCTACTGGCCAGGACGGCTCTGTTCCACTTTCCTGGGCGCTTCCCTGCATGGCCGGGGTTGGACTAGATGACCCACAGGCTCCCTTCCAACTCAACAATTCTCTGATTCTCTGATGCTGGACTAGGTGGGTCCCTGGCCTAAAATACTGCCAAAATAAAATGGAAGTGTCTCTCTCCCACGCAGGCCGCTTGTCTGTGAAACCAGAGATCATCAGCAAAATCGAACGGGAGGAGGCCGAGCTGTGCATTGGAGAGTTTTGGAAGCCCCCCCAGTGGAGAGACCCTTCGGGCCAGTGGCTAGGTCAGTAGTCCATGTTGCGTTCTGGTCCCCCCCCCCAACTCTCTTTTTGAAAGCTCCACAACAGCCCTTGGAGGTCGACTGGCCTCAAATTCGCCCTGCGAGATCTTTGCAGCCGGGAGACCTTAACCGTATAGCTCAGAGCTGGAGTGTTTGCTTTTCAGGCAGAAGACCAGCAGGTCCAGTCCTTGACATCTTCAGATCGGATTGGGAGACAGTCCTGCTGGAGCACTGCTGCCAACCAGTGCAGACACCACTGAGCTAGGCAGGCCTTTTGGGGAGGGAAAGGTGGTGTTGCGAAGGGCCCAGGCCGCGATGGTGGGACTCTGATCCCAGCCTGCCTCTCAGGGCTGTTGTTGCGCCACCAACACGGGAGGGCAGGCCTTGCGGGAAAGTCGGGAGGCCCAAGTGCCAGCTGCTGCCTTAAACTTCTCTCCGAAGCCCTGCATCCTCCTTGTGGAAAGAGCTGATTTAATGGCTGAGTTAAACGGAGTTAAAGTACCAGTCTGCTTTGTGCCGTCTGACACTGGCATTTTAGAGCCTTGGCAAGCTGCACATTTGTTACCTGCCAGCTTCTTTTGCGCAAGACTTGCATCACACTGCCTGTGGGCTGGCCCTTGTTTCAACGCATCTCCAAGTCCTGAAACAGTTCCAGAGAAAGTACTTCTTGCAGGCCTTGTCTAAACTACTGTGCTTGCTGCAACAGGTGGCACGGCTGCTGGTGAGTTTGTGGTTGAAGAAGCAAAGCCAGGGCTCTTTAAAATACCCAGCACACTTCCTTCTTTCAGGATTTAAAGGGACCATCACACTCACGTTCTCACTTTGACGCTATTGACCGCTGCATTACGCAGAGGCAATACTGGGGTATCCTTGGGTCCTGAAGGAACAGGTGGTTTTGCAACAGGAGCACTAAATTTGAATGCGCCAGCAGACACCGACAGCAGTACAGTGTTGCAATTAGAGATGGAAATTAGAGATGATTTTGCAATTAGAGATGAAAATCTGTTCACAGGACTGCCGGCATTACTGGCCGGTTGCACCTTTTTAGCCACCGATTGCGCAGAACTGACAGGCGAAGATAAGGCAGTATTTTGGCAAAGGTGACGTACTGATGGGTAAAGATATTTCTGGTAGCCCTGGCATGCCCATTTCCTCTTGTGCAGGTTTTGATACATAGTGGACACCTCTTTCCCTTCTCATCTTGCCGCCACCACCTCCTACTGAAGGAGGAAGGCTGTTGGTTGCCGAGGTACTGAATCTGGGAGTTTGTGAAGCTTTCTGGCGATTCTGTCTTCCGGTCTATGGCCAGATTTTTCTCTTGTACAGTGGTGCCTCTGGTTGCGAACGGGATCCGTTCCGGAGCCCCGTTCGCAACCTGAAAGGAAGGCAACCCGTGTCTGCACACGCGCGGGTCGTGATTCGCCGCTTCTGCGCGTGCGCGTGATGTCATTTTGCGCGCTTGTGCGAGTGGTGAAACCCGGAAGTAACCCTTTCCGGTACTTCCGGATCGCCGCGGGACGCAACCTGAAAAAACGTATCATGAAGCAAAAGTAACAAGAGGTATGACTGTGCTCCCTTATGGATCATCTCTGTTCTCTGTCAAATCTTGCTAAAGTCGGGAGGTGGACAGCTGTCAATAAAACGTGTCTCAGTCCTGCTGGCAGATTGTATGTGAGATTTCTCCCCCAACCCCCCATCAGTGACGCTGACTCCCTTTCCTTTCTTCCCAGCAGGAGATGGCATCAGGATGGCAGACGATGAAGACCTCGAAAGGGCAGCCCCCACTCGGCGGCGGCGAGGGAGAAGGAAGAAGGTCCCGTCTTCAACAACAGAGAAGCAGATGGCGATCGTGCCCCCCAAGGACAAGGGGCCCCCAAAGTTGACGCTGAAGATGAAACCTGCAAAGTGTCCCGAGTGCGGCAAGAGCTTCCTGAGCAACGTGGCGATGGTCATCCACATCCGGACGCACACCGGGGAGCGGCCCTTCAAGTGCCACCTGTGCCCCAAGGGCTTCCCCTCGCGGGGGGACCTGAAACGGCACATCAAGACCCACCTGCGCCCCAAGCGGAGCCCGCCTCCCCCCGTGGAGGCCGCCTGTGGGGGCAAGAAACGGCTGGCCGCCAAGCTGCAGCTGCAGCTGCTGAGCCACCTGCAGCGCCCGCCGGACCCCCAGAAGCCCCACGTGTGCGCCCAGTGTGGCAAGGGCTTTGGCACGCCCCAGAGCCTCCAGAAGCACCAGGGGACGCACTCCACCGAGCGCCCCTTCTCGTGCGCCCAGTGCGGGAGCAGCTTCCGCCTGAAGCAGATCCTGGTGGCGCACATGGACTGCCACGCCACCGAGCGCCCCTACCAATGCCAGGAGTGCGGGAAGACCTTCGTGCAGGAGCGTGGCCTCCGCAGCCACCAGATCGTCCACACGGGCGAGAAGTGCTTCTCGTGCGAGGCCTGTGGGCGCCGCTTCGCCTACAAGCAGCACTTCCTTAAGCACCTCCGCCTGCACACTGGCGAGCGGCCCTACTCGTGTGCCGAGTGCGGGAAGACCTTCCGGGACCGGGCGACGCTCAGTATCCATAACCGGATGCACACCGGCGAGCGCCCCTACAGCTGCCCGTTCTGCGGCAAGGCCTGCCGGCAGAAGCAGCACCTCAACAGCCACCTGAAGGTGCACCGGGGAGAGGTGCTCCCCCCCAGCGATGGCACGGGACGGGCCCTGCAGAAGGCCTGGGCGAAGGAGAAGCCCCACGCCTGCCCCAGGTGCGAGAAGCGCTTCCGCGACAAGCGGGTCATGAGGGCCCACCTGCTGACTCACGAACAAGAGTCCTTGTCCGCCGGGGACGCTGGCCCGGCCCAGGCAGAGGCCAAATCCGCCAGCGGGAGAGGCGGGGGTCGGAAGCAGCCCACCTCTCTGCATGCAACTGCCCCCCCTGAAAAGTTGCCTTTTGGGTGTGCTCATTGTGGGAGGAAGTTTCCGCAGCGGAAATCCCTCCTGTTGCATCAGAGGAGCCACAGGTGAGGAGAGATGGCTCCCGCAGAGAGTCCAATCCTGGCTTCCTTTTGGGAGGGAGCCTTGCATTTTGACAGCAGTACATCGCACTGAGCAAGTCAAACCTCATGAAGAAAGCAACTCGTGTCGTGCCCTCTGATTAGTTCTTGAGACCGAAAGTCCCTGTCACTGCAGCGCCTTCCCCAAGCAATCGGAGACTGCACCTGCAAGAAGCCTCTCTCTCCCCTGCCCTTTTCATGCCTCTTCTGGTTCTGGGAGAGCATGGCAGAGGTGAGCTTGTTGCAGCAGGAGGGGAGACGCCGATGCCTCTTCCCCAGCCTGACCCATCTCTGCCTCTTGACCTCCCTCCTCTCCTCCTTCAGCTTCTGCCTCTGAGTCTGGACTGCTCTCTGCCACGGACTCCTCTTGCTCACTAAGCCCTGTTGCCTTTCAGCTTCTGACACCTCCTCTTCCCAGTCTTCCCCTCCTTCCCATTCATTGGCGTCCCACCGCCCCTCCCCAGGCTCTGAGCCTTCTTCCCTTGGGGTTCGCCGTCTGGTTCCTCCTCCCATTCCTCTGCGTCCGACAATTCCGTGATAGATGAAAACATGCCAACCTGCTTGGTTCCCAAACCTTTTTGGCCAACCCCCCTTCCTGCCGGGACAATGCAGGAGTGCTCCTTTGGGGATGAAGTTAAACCATTGGCGAGTTATAGCACCTGCCGTGGCTGCAGAGACCGATGCAGAAGAGGCATGTTTTGTTGCGGTTGGGGCAGAGGAAGGCGCCTGGTTGTGCTGCTGCAGATGCACCTATAAAAAGCATTCTTCAGCCTAGTGGTCTGCATGACCCACTGTGGAAGATAACAGCAGCATAAAATTCAAAAGAGAAGCGCTCAGTTGCAGTTATTCAAAATGCAATTACACTGTTTAGTTAAACTAATTCAACAAAACTTAGGGGCTTGGACTGGTGGTAGCCGCATTTCGAGTTTGATAGTCGTTTACTCCCCTCTTGAGCCGCCCCAGTTTGGGAGTGACTGGCCCAGCCTGAAAAGGGCCCATGGGAATCTAAGTGGGAGTGACATTGTTCCCTTTAATGATTCTTCTGTGTGGGCCAGACCCCTCTCTGTCCTGCCCTCCCCCCACTCCTTGTGTTTCTAGAAGTTATGTTCAAGCAGAGGTGGGGAATTTCAAGTTTGAAAAAAGATATGCAAATGCTAATATGAAATACCCAGTTAGTTGGAATATTAAAGACGAACCAGTTAAACAAAAACAAACTGAAAAGGGGAAAAGAAAAAGGAGAACTTCAAAATATCCACCCCAACAATTCTGCGTTCTATAAACCAATGTTTTCTTCAATCCTCAAACCCTGATCTCAAAAGTTGATTTTTTTTTTCCACACAAAAGCTTTGTAAGAGGTTGTAGTAAATATCGACAATGATTTTTCTCTTAATGAAACACATCAATTTTGCCATCTTAGCTAGGAGCCATTCTTTGGCAGGGAGTTCCACAGTTTAACTATTATTATTAATGTACAGTGGTACCTCGGGTTACATACACTTCAGGTTACATACGCTTCAGGTTACAGACTCCGCTAACCCAGAAATAGTGCTTCAGGTTAAGAACTGTTTCAGGTTAAGAACAAGTCCTTAACCCGAGGTACCACTGTATTCTTTAGGCATTCTTCACCCCAAGTTCCCAGGGTGTGTTACAGCATTAAAAACAACATTAAAAACCTTTTGAAACTCTGCTCCATGAGGTGCTTCCTTGTCTCTGTCCTGACAGGAGATGGGAAAGTGAATTGGTGTTTACATGCCAGAGAAGAAGCTGCCTTGGTCTGTTGCAAGAAATGCAATATCGGAGGCATGCGGCACCTTCAGAGACCCAGCAAAAGTTCTTGCAAGAAGTGTGGTGCTATGCGCACATGTGGTTTGAGGATCAGGAATGTGAGCAGCCAGGTCTGGAGGAGAGGAAGTGTGGAAAGGGCAGGTGGCGATAATGATCTCACTGGCAAGAGATTGCATTTCCAAGAGATTGAAGAGCTAATGCAGCAGTTCCATGTTCCAAGTATGTTACAGTGATCTGCTGTAGACTGTAATAAATTCGTTGTTATTTGTAAAGTTAGTGGCTTAAAGGAGAGCGAGAAAAATTCAAACAATAGCAATCAACTTTCCTAGAATGTAGATTGTATAGCTATATATCTCATAGTCAAGCAATATACAAAAAGAGAATGTAAGAATTCTCTTTAAGGTGCCGTGAAACACTTTTTTTGGTGGTATTTTATGTGAAGCACTGGAAGTTTCTGGATCCAGAGTACATTATTTGAAGTGCAACAAGGAGCTGTTTCAAATAAACATTTATATAAAATGAGCAAGAACTTTGACGTGCATAGGCTTCAACCCAACGCCCACCATAAAACACAGGAAGCTCCCTTATACTGAGATACAGCTATTCCTATATTGTCTACACTGACTGGTAGCAGACACAGGATTTCAGATGAGAGACATTCCCAGCCTCTACCAGGAGAGACTGGTGATGACACCTGGGTCTTTTGCATGCAGGGCAGATGGTCTGGCACTGAGTTACGGCCTTCCCAAACAAGACATGTCCTCCTGCTGAGTCAGACCATGCCTCCATGTAGCTTAGTATTACCTGCACTGGCTTGGCAGCAGCAGCAGGTTCAATGCTGCTCCTATTCACAGCAGACCCCTTGGGATTAATGAACCTGAGTGAGTCCTCTCCGTTAACTTCCATGGCTGTATTCTGAGTAGGGCTAGCAGTGAATATCTCACCCCAATCTCCCAGCCTAGTGGGAGACTGAGTGGGAAACGGGTAAGTTGACCTGTGTAGGATTGCACTCTGAACGTTGCCCAATAACGGCGTTTGCAACCCCATCCAGAACCTGAACTGCGCGATCCTATGCATGTTTCCTCTCAAGTCAGTCCCCTTGGGATAAGAAGAGCAGGATTCAACACTCTCCACCCCTGTGGCTTCCAGCAACTGGAACTGGTCCCACCCTCTTCTAAACCGTCTAAGTTGGTGGCCACCCCTGCTTCTTCCTGTGGCAGTGAGTTCCACAGATGACCTCCACGCCGAGTGAAGGACTTCTTCTTTCCGTCTGCCCTGAACCTTCCCACAACATTCAACTTGGCTCGGGATTTCAAGGAGGCTTCCTCCCTGCAGCGGTGGATCTCAAATTTCAGGGGTCCTCTGTGCGAAGCCAAAACTCTGCGCCCACCCTGCTCCCCTAAATCCGCCGCTGCTCCCTGCGCCTTCAGGATCGCAGCAACCTGCGCGGCCAGGCTAGCCGGTGAGGGTCTGCAGGAGGCAGAGAAACTGAAAAAGCCCACCACACCCCCCCAAAATATTTTAAGCTCCCCCATGAGCTGACACTGCAAGCTGAGGGCGAGATGAAGGGCGCGCGCGCTCAGGGCGCATTTGGAGACGTCGCTGGCCAGCTCCTTGGAAAGGAAGACGCATTTGGGGACCCTGCGGAGCCCCTTCTTCCCCGCCGGGTGCCCAGCCCAGCCTGGCCGGAGGGCGTCTCCTCTGCTCTCCCCCTTCCTTCCTCCGTCCCTCCCTCCGCCGGCCGAAGCGGATCCGGTTCACGAGCTGGACGTGGGTGGCTCCCGCCGGCCTCTCCGCGCAGCTCGGATCCGCCTCCGGAGGCGCCCGCTCGCTTCGCATCCCGAGGAGGAGATGCTCGGCCCGGTAGGATCTCCCTCCCCGTCCCCGCACCCTTTGCCCTTCTCTGGGTCCCCGGGCCGGACCGGGAGAAGGGACCAGCCCGGCGCTTTGGCCGGCGGACAAAGGCGCGCGTGCCTCTGCGCGCGTGCAGAGGGCCCCGGCTCCAGAGGGAGTGGGAAGAGCCGGGGAAAGCGGGTCACCCCCCGCAAGGCGAATCCCGAAACCTCTCCTTATACCGAGTCTATGTAGCTCAGTATTGTCGACACGGGCCGGCAGCAGCTCTGCCGGGGTTCAAGAGGAGATCTTTCCCCACCCAATTTTTTTATTTTATTTATAAATTATAGCCCTTCACCATGGGCGTTGCCAGGATTTTTGTTAGGGGGGCAGGCTTTTGTCGGGGGTGCAGAAGCTCAGATTTGTATTGATTTGTATTGATTTAGGGGGGCAGCTGCCCCCGTAGCGCCCCTTCACCCGAAGATCTCAGGGCAGATCACAGCATAAAAATGCAAAATAAAAACGCAAAGAGCCCAGAGATGCCGTGGGTCCTTCTACATGCCCAGCAGGTGTGCTATGGTCACTCACTCTCTGAGCAAGACCATCGCTCCATTTATTTTTTATTTATTACATTCATATACAGCATCAAAAGATCTTGGAGCGGTTCACAAGATGAGAACACAAGATAGCTCTGGACCTGTAAAAGGGTAAAAGAGTATTGGGAAATAATCCATAATGAATTGAAAAAAATGTTTAGAAGTACTTTCCCCCAAAAAACCAGAGTCCTTTTTGTTATGGTTAATTCAGACGGAAATTCCCAGGTGTCAAAAAATATTATTTATATACGCCACCACTGTAGTCCATGTTTTCTTAGCCCCTAAATGGAAAACGAGCAAGGTCCCAACCAAAGAAGAATGGCAAATTAAATTGATGGAATATGCGCAGCTTGCGGACCTAACTTATAGAATAAGAGCACAAGAAGAACATTTGTTTTAAAAAAGTTTGGGAAATGTTTATTGAATATATGGGGGGAAACTGTGTACACTTGAAAACGTTGGCAACATTAAGGTAAATTAAACAGTGTAAATAAGTTTTGTTGGATAATGGAATACTGCTCTCTTATCTTCCATCCCAAAGGAGTTCCCATAACCCACACTGGAGCCCATGTGATGCGGCAGGACAGGGGGCAGGTAGTCATTTAATAAGGTAACCGGGTTGGCATTTCCCCAGGTCTTGGGGAGGGATGCTTTGCTGAGCTGCTTCCTCTGTCATCGCAGGTGACGCTGGACGACGTCACGGTCTCCTTCTCCCCGGAAGAGTGGGCAGGGCTGCAGGAGTGGCAGCGAAGGCTCCACCGTGACGTCATGCGAGAGAACTACGAACTGCTCGCCTCTCTGGGTAAGGCAGGTGGTTTCCTTGCGATACTTAACTGGCCACAGGGAAGACTCAAGCAAACCTGAGCATCACCGTCTGCAATAGAAGGGGATTTCAATTTTGCATGCATCTGAACAAGAGACCTGCCCTGATTCTCATTCTCAGACTGGCCTGCAAACCGAAACGCAGCTCACCTTCCCGATTCACACGCCTCTGAATTTTGTGATGCAAAGTTCTCTAAGTGCCTGTTACGTGTGAGAATGCCTCTATTTGTGTCAAATGTCGGCGAAAGTCATAAACGAGTCATGCATTGCATTACTGGAAATGTGAGAGTCAGTCAAAAATGCATTGGTGGTGGTAAATTTGCACCACAGTAGAGATGGCTTTTCATGAAGATTTATTTTTGAAAACGAAAGCCGATTGCTGCAGAAATGGTGCTTTTAATGGTTTCTCTTTTTGTAGGCCACTTTGAGTCATTGTGAGTAAAGTGACAATAATAATAATAATAATAATAATAATAATAATAATAATAATATTCCTTCCAGCAGCACCTCAGAGACCAACTAAGTTAGTTCTTGGTATGAGCTTTTGTGTGCATGCACACTTCGTCAGATATTTATTTATTTTATTTTGTTTCGACTACGGCAGACCAACACGGCCACCTAATAATAATAATAATAATAATAATAGTTATGATGTTCTGGGTGGTGAAGCCCTTCTTATCACAGCGCATAGTTTAGCTGTGGAACTCCCTGCCACAGGAGACAGTGATGGCAACCACCTGGGATGGCTTTAAAAGAGGAGGAGACAAATTCATGGAGGCGGCTCTAAATGGCTGCTAGCTATGCTGGCCATTTTCTGCTTTCACAGCTGCTGGAAACCACAGGCAGGGAGGCGGCTCCCGCACTCAGATCCTGCTTGTGGGCTTCTTCCCATTGGGGCATCTAGTTGGCCACTGCGAGGAAAGGACACAGAACTAGACGGACCTGGACCAGCAGGTCCTTCTCCTGTCCTCCCTGTTACCTGTAGAGTTGTGAGAGAGCCTTGATAAGCAATGGCGGAAGAGCCTCAGCTTGGCACAGTGGTGTAGCGTCCTTTGCTGCTGCCCGGGGCTAAGTGCACCGGCTGCCTGCCTGCCTGCACAGTGGGGAGCCCGGCTGGCCAACATGGCTCTGCTTTGTTTTTGTTTTTTTCTCAAAAATTTTATTGATTTTCCAAAAAAAATTGTAAACAAACAAACATAAATCTCTACCGTATTTAAACCAAACTTAATAACATTGTTAAGTGACTTCCTCGGTTGAATTTCAGTCTATATCATTTTAACGGTTTTCCAAAAGCACTATTCTTATAAAATTAACTTAATCACTTAACATCATTATATTTTCCTTTCCAATTCAGTATCAAACATATTAATTCATCCCATTACCTAGTTATGTCCTAAGCCTATCTGTTATTTCCAAGCTTCTCCAATTAATTTAACTTAACATATTTAGCTAAATAGTCTTTGAATTTCATCCATTCTTCCTGGTGCTCCTCCTCCTTCTGGTCACGGACTCTTCCAGTCAGGTTGGCCAGCTCCAAAAAGTCCATCATCTTCATCTGCCAATCTTCCACTGTTGGTACTTCTTGTGTTTTCCAACATGGCCCTGCTTTGAGGGGTACACTCATGGCGCAACAGGGCAGGGCGCAAAGTGCTGCTGGGCTCGCGGGCATCATGATTAATGTGACCCCCCAAAAAAACTGCACCCGGGGCGACAGCCCCGCACCAACCCTGCCCCTGCTACGCCACTGGATTGGCAAGACTGCTTTGCAACTTCTCCCTTTTGCTTTTGCAGGCTGCGACCTCCGAGTCAAGGATGAAGAAGGGGAGTCCGGGGAGGAAGACGGCCGAGGGCTCTTCTCGGAGATGGTGCTCCGGCGCTGGAAGCCCGAGGGCAAGACCTCGCGCCCTCAGGAAAACGGCAGCAACGTGGCTGGCGAGCCTGCGGGTGGGGCGGGACTCCTGTCTCAGAGGCTGCCTGGTGCCGAAGAAGGAAGGGATCCCGGAGGGGAAGAGTCGTGCCCCCTAACCTGCCCAGACTGCGGGAAGCGCTTCAAGAGCAAAACCTCCTGTTTGACGCACCAGCGCATCCACACCGGCGAGCGCCCCTTTGGCTGCCCCGAGTGCGGGCGGCGCTTCACCCAGCGGCAGCACCTGGGCACCCATCTGCGGGTGCACGGCGGGGAGCGCCCCTTCTCCTGCGGCGAGTGCGGCGCCGCCTTCCGGCTGCAGAAGCTGCTGCTGACGCACCGGCGCAAGGCGCACTCTGGGGAGCCGCCTCTGGCGTGCACCGACTGCGGGAAGCTGTTCAGCCACAAGCACCACCTGATGACGCACCAGCGGGTGCACACGGGCGAGCGCCCCTTCCCCTGCCCCCAGTGCGGGAAGTGCTTCACCCAGAAGCACCACCTGCAGACCCACCAGCGGGGGCACTCGGGGGACCGCCCCTTCCCCTGCCCCGAGTGCGGGAAGGCCTTCAAGGACCGGGCCGGGGTGCTGATGCACCGCATCGTCCACACGGGCGCCAAGCCCTTCGCGTGCCAGCGCTGCGCCAAGATCTTCAGCCACAAGCACCACCTGGTGATCCACCAGCGCGTCCACACGGGCGAGAAGCCCTTCTCCTGCCAGGTGTGCCGCAAGCGCTTCACCCAGAAGCACCACCTGCTCAGCCACGAGCGCATCCACACCGGCGAGCGCCCCTACGCCTGCCCCGCCTGCCCGCGCAGCTTCAAGGACCGCATCACCCTCAAGCTGCACGTGCGGCTCCACACGGGCGAGAAGCCCTTCTCCTGCGGGCGATGCGGAGAGAGCTTCCGCCTGCGCAAGGCCCTGCTCTCCCACCAGAGGGCGCACGACGCACCCGCCCAGCTCATCTGCACCGAGTGCGGGGAGAGCTTCCCGCGCATGCGCAGCCTGGGCGCCCACAGGAGGAGGGCGCACCCAGCAGCAGCGCCCCACGGGGCTGGCGCACGGCCTGGATCAACCGGCCACTCGCGCCGCCCGGCTGAGTCACAGGCTGATGGGGAGAGAGCAGCAGACGCCCCACCCGGACCCTGAGGTCGCATGGCAGAAAGAGAAGGGCAGCCTGGGCCCTGGCACACATACTCCAGCTGCAAAGATGCCAACGCAGTGAATCGCCTGCCCAGGCCAGGATCCCTAGGCTGGGTGGACAAGGGAATGCGATTCTCGTCTTTCATGGCATCGTAGAGTTGGAAGGGCTCCACAGGTCATCCATCCCAACCCGCTGCAATACACCTTTCTCATTGTCCTTTTCGTTTTGGAAATTTTTATCAGCATTCCCACCCCCCCGCCAATCAAAACCGAAGACCTCTCCCTTCCCGGCTTCCCATTTCCGCTTTGTTGCAGTGCCGACTAGTTATTGCAGGAGCAGCCAAACCCAGGGAGCCAGTGTAGTGTCAAGGGCCTGATGAGCTGCACCCAAGGGTGCTAAAGGAGCTTGCAGATGTAATCTCAGAGCCTTTGTCTATTATCTTTGAGAACAGGTGAGGTCCCTATAGACTGGAGATGGGCAAATGTTGTCCACATCTTCAAAAAGGGGGGGAAAGGAAGACCCAGGTAATTACTGACAGGTGAGCTTGACACTGATAACAGAGTAGGTCCAGAACAGATGATTCAACACTTGGCCTGTGAGCATTTAGAAAAGGATGCTGTGATTACTAAGACCCAGCATGGGTTTCTCCAAAATAAGTCAAGACAGACCAACCTGATTTCTTTACAAACTTGGTGGATCAGGGGAATGCTGTGGGCATAGTGTATCTTGATTTCAGTAAGGCTTTTGACAAAGTCCCCCGTGATACTCTTGCGAGGCAGCTGGTAAAATATGGGCTGAACAAGGTAACTGTTAGGTGGATTTGTAGCTGGTTGACTGACTGAACCCAAAGAGGACTCTTTAATGGTTCCTCGTCTTCCTGGGGAAAAGTGACAAGTGGGGTGCTGCAGGGTTCTGTCCTGGGCAAGTTGTTTAACATTTTATAAATGACTTGGATGAAGGAATTGAGGGGATGTTAATCAAATTTGCAGATTACACCAAAGTGTAATCTGATTCTGCCGCAGGAGACAGAATCAGAATTCAAAATGACCTTAACTGGTTGGAGAACTGGGCACAAACTACAAAATAAATTTCAATTTCTGCAGTTAGGCAGGAAGAACCAGTTGCACAAATAAAGGATGGGGGACACCTGGAAAAGGGTCTTGGGGTCTTGGTGGACCCCAAGCTTGACATGAGTCAACTTCTTGGATTTGCTGAAAGCCTGTCCAGCACTTCCTCCTTTTTTCCAATGCAAAAGGAAGCAAAGCCCATGGAGCTGTTCCCCTGCCATTGTCGACCTTAGATAGGTCTTTACTTTCCGCAACGTGGACCTGTGGTTGGGCTCTGAGCTGCCGCTTCTGACCTTCCCCGAAAAGGGCTCCCCCACCTTGCTATCACATGTTAAAACCTCTTCCTCACACACCTGGTTTCCAGGGGGATAGAGATGCTGGTTCGCTGCCTGCACCCTGATTTGTAATGGAGACATTCTCTCATAAAAAAGATGAGTCTCTTCCTGGGAGATTTGCTCCTTTGCTTCCAATCTCCTTCTCAAGAACGCCTGGCACAGAGACTGCTCTTTTCACAGCCACTGTACATATGAACCAGGCGCCTTCTGTGTTCATCCCCTGAGCCACAGTAAAAAGGTAAAGGTACCCCTGCCCGTACGGGCCAGTCTTGCCAGACTCTAGGGTTGTGCGCCCATCTCACTCAAGAGGCCGGGGGCCAGCGCTGTCCGCAGACACTTCCAGGTCACGTGGCCAGCGTGACATCGCTGCTCTGGCGAGCCAGAGCCGCACCCGGAAACGCCGTTTACCTTCCCGCCAGTAAGCGGTCCCTATTTATCTACTTGCACCCGGGAGTGCTTTCGAACTGCTAGGTTGGCAGGCGCTGGGACCGAGCAACGGGAGCGCACCCCGCCGCGGGGATTCGAACCGCCGACCTTTCGATCGGCAAGCCCTAGGCGCTGAGGCTTTTACCCACAGCGGCACCCTGGATAGTCCCCTGAGCCACAGTGCTTCCCCTAAAAAAGACGCAAGGCTGTAGTCCTCAGGCTTCTGCATCAAGGGCTAATTCGATAGGAACCTGGGAAGCTGCGTCTGGCCGTGGTTGGCCCAGCTTGCTCAGTATCACCCACACTGACCAGCTGGCAAGGGGCCTTCCTAGCCCCACCTGGAAATGCCACTGGGCATCGGGTGCAGGCCTTCTGGGTACAAGGTGGGCGCTTGGCTTCCACTCCTGCAAGCCTGCAGCAAATTCCTTTGGGATCCTCACCCCCCTTCCTCCTCTCCTGTGGAAGCTTCCTTGGCGCATTAATAAAACACACAGCGAAGCTGCTGGCTGAGTTTATTGAGAAATCTGTGCCGTGCTCTGTGTGTGTGTGTGCATGGGAAATTGGAAGAGAGGAGAGAAGAGGCAATGGGAAACATGAAAAAACCATCTTGCATCCTGGGAGGGGAGACGTCCCATTCCGCCATGGAAGGGCCTGGTCTTTTCGCCTGCGGGGACGTCGTCAGCGCTTGGAGAAGTCGCCACCTGCGATGGAGAAGAAGGCAAACCCGAGACGGGCGATGAGACTTGAATGCAGGACTTACCTGGGAAGACCAAGAGCAGAGGAGAGCAGTTCTTGTGGGTTTCCCATTGGGGCACCTGGTTGGCCGCTGTGAGGACAGCATGCTGGGCTCTGGAGACTCTGTGTGGTTAGAGTGTCAGACCAGGATGCAAGAGACCCAAGTTCGAATCCCCCCAGTCACACTGGGCCAGTCACACTGCCTTCTCTCAGACTATCCTCCCTCGCAGGGCTGTTGGGGTTAAATGGGGGGGGGGGACCATGTACGCCACTGGGAGCAACTTGGAGGGAAATAATGTGGGATATTAATGCAATGAAATAAATAAGGATAATGGTTGGGCCACTTGCCTGATCCAGCTCTTTTTATGGTCTTAGGTATAGAAAAGGGGGCTTTGTCTACATCTTTGGCCTAATTGAGCCGGGCTCCTCTTAGGCCCAGGAATCAGATTTTGGGGGGAGAATCCATTATTTATTATTATTATTATTATTATTATTATTATTTATTACAATTTATAACCCACCCTTTACCCTAAGGTCCAAGGGCTGGTGACATGATTAAAGTATGGTATTGAAAACAGTTTTAAAAAACCCATTCACAACTCCAGAAATAAAGTGGGTGCTAAAATCGACGCATTAGGCATCAAAGGGGAAAGAGGGGCGTCATCAGTATCCGCTGGAAGCTGTGCAATGAAGGCAAGAGTGAGCTGGGGGGGTCTGGGTGGACCACAAGTTTAATAGGAGGTTAAATGCTATTCTAGGCTTCATCAACAGAAGTCTTGTGGGATATTGGAGAACTGGGTACAAGCCCAGGAGGGACAAATGTAAGTTTCTGCACTTAGGCAGGAAGAACCAGCTGAACAGATATAAGATGGGGGACACCTGGATAAGGATCTCGGGGCCTTGGTGGACCACAAGCTTGACATGAGTCCACAGTGTGATGCAGCAGCCAAAAAAGCTAATGATTTTTCTAGGCTGCATCATCAGAAATATAGTGTCCAGATCCAGGGAAGTAATAGTCCTGCTCTAATTTGCCTTGGTCAGGCCACACTTTGAACACTATATCCAATTCTGGAAACCACAATTTAAGAAGGATGCTGACTAGCTGGAAGATGTGCAGAAGAAGGCAGCCAAGCCTTATGGGGGAATGGCTGAGGGAGCTGGGAATGCTTAGCCTGGAAAAGAGGAGACTGAGAAGAGATAGGAGAGCCATCTTGAAATATCTCAAGGGCTGTCCAGCTTGTTTCCTTCTGCTCCGGAGGGTAGGACTCGAACCCATGGCTCCAAGTCGCAAAGAAGGAGATTCCGACTAAACTGTTAGAGCTGTGACAGTGGATCAGTCTCCCTTGGGAAGGGGCTGGATTCTCCTTCCTTGGAGGTTTATAAACTGGCCATCTGTCATGGTTGCTTTAGTTGAGATTCTTGTGTTCCAGGGGTTGGACTGGATGACCTCAGGGTCCCTTCCAACTCCACAATTCTACAATGTTACCTTTGTACAGGAGATTTCTTCCTGCGCCCACAAACCCCACCCTCTCTAGACAAGAAGAGGCAGGACCAGATTTCAAGGACACACCAGTCTGGCAAACAAACCCATTTTTTTGGGGGGGGGTTTCTTTCAGAGCAGGCCAGTGAGGGACATTGCGTGGGGTCAGAGGCTCCCCACACCCCATTGCTTGTGGTCAATCAGAGCCCTTTGCGGCGCCCGCCTCTGGCCCAGGCTCACCTTGGCAGCTGCTGCACTCGCACTGGTGGATGACGGGCAGAACGACGGGCTCCGTCTCACCCCCCTGGCACTGCAGGTTCAGGATGCGGACGGGGCTGACAGGGTCCAGGCGGTAACTGCAGCACTCGCACACGGTCTGCAGGTAGGGCTCCTGCGAGGGGCGCCACGAGGGCAGGGGAGGAGAGAGATAAAAAGCCCAAACAGGTGTATCAAAACACCATTTGAGGTTGGCGTTTCATATAGGGCCGGATTTCGGTTTGATGCGGCCCTCAGTTACTGAAGGTAAGGGGGCCCTTTCTATGTCCAGCTGTCCTTTGTCAACAACAAATTGTCACTGTCTTTTGTGTTGAATATATAGAACTAGCCGCCCGAGAAACAGTTTCTATCCAAATGTGATTTCGGTTTTCAACGCAGTGTAAGGTAGTTTCTATGGGAGTAAAAGGTAAAGGTACCCCTGCCCGTACGGGCCAGTCTTGACAGACTCTAGGGTTGTGCGCCCATCTCACTCAAGAGGCCGGGGGCCAGCGCTGTCCGGAGACACTTCCGGGTCACGTGGCCAGCGTGACATCGCTGCTCTGGCGAGCCAGAGCCGCACCCGGAAACGCCGTTTACCTTCCCGCCAGTAAGCGGTCCCTATTTATCTACTTGCACCCGGGAGTGCTTTCGAACTGCTAGGTTGGCAGGCGCTGGGACCCAGCAACGGGAGCGCACCCCGCCGCGGGGATTCGAACCGCCGACCTTTCGATCGGCAAGCCCTAGGCGCAGAGGCTTTTACCCACAGCGCCACCCGCGTCCCTTTCTATGGGAGTATATTGTATTTAATTATGGGGTATCAGAGTTTTTAGGGGGCTAACCTGGCTGGGATAGCTGGGACAGTAGGCTTGTTGGTTTTGAATGTCTGATGTATATTTTTCCAATTTCATTCTGTATGGGACAATGACAACAAAGATTATCGTATAGTGGTACCTCGGGTTATATACGCTTCAGGTTACAGACTCCACTAACCCAGAAATAATGCTTCAGGTTAAGAACTTTGGTTCAGGATGAGAACAGAAATCGTGCGGCAGCAGCAGGAGGCCCCATTAGCTAAAGCGGTGCTTCAGGTTAAGAAAGGGCCTCCAGAACAAATTAAGTTCTTAACCTGAGGTACCACTGTATATGGTCATTTATGGACCTAATAGGTATCTCAAGCCATTTGCACATAACAAAATATGTATTTTATCAAAGTACCATATTTTTCACTCTATAAGACACACTTTTTCCCTCCTAAAAAGTAAGGGGAAATGTGTGTGCGTCTTATGGAGCGAATGCAGGCTGTGCAACTATCCCAGAAGCCAGAACAGTGAGAGGGAGAGCTGTGCAGTGCTCCCTCTAGCTGTTCTAGCTTCGCACTCCTTAAAGGGTGCACGGCTCCTGCGGGCTTCTGAGGGAGGTGGGGGAAGGGGCAGAGGGCAGCCCCTCAGTCCCTTCTCCCTCCTCCTGGAAAAGCCCCCAAGAGCCGAGCTCCCTTTAAAGAGCTGCATGGAGCTTGTGTGTGGCTCTTGGGGGCTTTTCCCCGAGGAGGGAGAAGGGACTGACGGGTCGCCCTTCTCCCTCCTGGGGAAAAGCCTGCAAGAGCCACACACACGCTCCACGCGGCTCGTGAAAGGGAGCGCTGAGCAGAGCCTGGGGTGCATACAGGCTCAGCTCAGCGCTCCCTTTAAAAATATATTTTTTCTTGCATTTCCCTTCTAAAAACTAGGTGCGTCTTATGGAATGAAAAATACGGTAATTGTTGAACTGGAATACAATTAAGAAGAAGTATATTGATCGTGAAATACATGCCCTGCAACCAGTCCATGCAGAATGTAGGCACCCTATATATAGAAAGGAGCAAAACAGTGATATTTTAGGGAGCAGGCTAGCAGGTGGGGCCCAGGACTTACATCATAGGAGCCGACACAACACAAAACACTGTTGCTGTATGTAGGTTTTATTTTATTTGTTTTTTTATCTTATATTTTGGAAATGTGCATCCAGGGTTTTTTCCTTTAAATTTTTTTTTGGGCCCCCAAGAGAGTGGGGCTCTGAGCTATAGCTTGTTTAGCTTACACGTAAATCTGGCACTGCATTTCAAGGAGAGACTGCCTGGAGCCCAGGTCAGGAAGGAGCTATTTTTTTGGTGGTTTTTTGTTTTTGTTTTTTATTTATACTTTTCAGATTTATACATTTTCGTTAGTTTTACAATCAATTTAACATTTCAATATTTGGCTTCCTTCCCCCTTTTTCTGCAGTTCCTTACATTTATTTTTTAATATCTTTTGCATATCTGAATTCATTTAACTTGTTCATTTAATTATCTACTGTAAATATATCCTCTTATAAAACTGCAGGTTATTACAGTAATCCTGCCAATGTTTTATATATCTGTCTACAATTTATCTGTAAATATTCAATAAACCATTCTCATTCTTTTATAAAAAGTTTGTCATCTTGATTTCTTATTCTTCTGGTAAGTTTCACCATTTCTGCATATTCCTTAAGTTTTTGTATCCATTCTTCCTTTACTGGGACTTCTGCTGCTTCCCATTTTGGGGCAAGAAACATTCTTGCTGCTGTAGTAGCAGCCATAAATAAATTTCTATACAATTTAGGTAGTTCTGTCCCTATAATTCCCAAAGGAAAAGCTTCTGGTTTTTTTAAAAATAAACGTTATTTTGAACATCCTTTTCAATTCATGATATATAATTTCCCATGTTCTTTTTTCAATGCTAACCGTGGCGGTTTGAGCATCTTACACCGATCCTGGTCTGACTGCACTGGCTGCCGATTAGTTTCCGGGCCCAGTTCAAAGTGCTGGTTTTGACCTGTGAAGTCTTAAATGGCTCAGGACCGCAATACCTCAAGGACTGCCTCTTTCCATATAACCTGACCCAGACTCTGTGATCATCTTCTGAGGCCCTCCTTCCTTGTGTGCCTCATCCACAAGAGGTCCAGAGGGTGGCAACATGAGAACGGGGTCTTCTCTGCAGTGGCTCCCTGTCTGTGGGATGCTCTCCCTAGGGCGGCTTGTCTGGCACCTTCATTATATATTTGCAGGTGCCAGGTGAAAACGCTCCTCTTCAACCAGGCCTAGGGCTGATTAATCATTGTTCTACAGACTTCTAAATGTGTTTGTGGAAGCTGGGGGCTATTGTTTTGTTGTTTTTGTATTTACTGATTTGTATTTTTATCTTGCGAACCCCCGTCATTCTGCCCGGACACTGAGGTCCAGCTCCGAGGGCCTTCTGGCGGTTCCCTCGCTGCGAGAAGCCAAGTTACAGGGAACCAGGCAGAGGGCCTTCTCGGTGGTGGCGCCCGCCCTGTGGAACGCCCTCCCATCAGATGTCAAATAGAAGAACAACTACCAAACTTTTAGAAGACATCTGAAGGCAGCCCTGTTCAGGGAAGCTTTTAACGTTTAATAGACTATTGTATTTTAATATTCTTTTGGAAGCAGACCAGAGTGGCTGGGGAAACCCAGCCAGTTGGGCGGGATACAAATAATAAAGTAGTTGTAGTAGTTGTAGTAGTAGTTTTGCATGAAGGGTGGAATATATAAATAAATAGAAAATAATAACAACATTTTTGGACGGGAGAATTTTCATTTCAAAGGGGAGTCTGATTTTATTCCTCCAACAGCTTTTGTGCGATAGGGTTGCAAAAAAGAGGACAGCCACAGCTGCTGCCAGCCCGAGCTGGAGAGAGAGATGTGTGGGGCAGCCGTGCCTGCATGCCTCTTTCCCCAACTCGGGCCAGCAGCGGCTGCGGCATGCAGAGCAGCCTGAGCCTGAAAAACCTGGACGTTTCCTTTAAAATGTAAAAATCCGCCTGGAAGGGCATGTTTGCCCCCTAAAAGAGGACAGGTCCTGGTTTTCCTGGGCATATGGCAACCCTACCGCTTGTGCACTATTGATAACCCCAAGACACTGCGCGGACTGTGAGGGGCGAGGCCACTGGGTGACGCAGAGGGGGCTTCTGGAGAGGGCAGTGCCCCCCGGTGCCTTGGCCTGGCGCCCACTTACCTCGGGGATGACGTTGGTGTGGGAGGGGCAGCGCCCCCGGCAGTAGCTCACCTCCACGCCGGCCAGGAAGCAGCTGCCCTTGGTGATGTTGCGGAGCTCTGTGTGGTGCTGGCAGTCGGGCTGAGGGTGGTCTTCTGCAGGGGAAGAGGAGGGCAATGTGGCAGGCCAGTGGGCAAGGGGGGGCACCCCTGTGCGAGGGTCCCGGGGGCCCAGGCCTGGGGCTGATGGGGAGTTTGGGCCCAGCAAAAATCCCCCAAACCCTGACCCACGTCGGACGGAACAGTTTCCGTTTCCCGTTGGTTGGTTTGGTTCAAAACATTTACGCACCACAATTTGCAAAAGAAGAAAAACAAAAAAGCCAATAAGATTATAAATAAGGAAAGCTAACAATAGCAATTTAAGGTTTTGGGGAAGCTAAAATCACAACAGATTGGAAGTCAAAACGTCTGGGTGGGCTGGCCTGGACTCGAATGTTTTCAGCAGGCGCTGTGAAGGGCACAGGGAAGGCGCCTGCCTGTTGTCAAGAGGCAAGGAGTTCCAAAGGTGATGGTAAAGAACCTTAAAGCGGTTTACAGAACGAATAAAACGGTAACGATTATCAGTAAAGGAACTGTTTAGAACATTGGGAGGGATATGAAAGCAGCAGAAAAGGTAAACCAGATTAAGAGACGCATCAACAGTCCGCAGGTCTGAGTAGGGTCCTCTGAACAAAAAATGTTTTCAGCAGTCACTGAAAAGAGAATCGCCTGAGGTCAATCAGCGGGGAGTTCCGAAGAGTGGGGCTGCCACAATTAAAGATGGCTTTGTTGCAAAGGGGGATTCCCTGCCCTCCCTCCCTGCCTCGGCCACACACCCAGGATGCAGAAGCCCTGATATGCGGGACCCGGCTCCTAGCCCAGGGCTGAAACCAAGACCCTAAAGGCACAGCCTAGAAAGGACCCTCTGGGGGCTCTCTCCCCCCTCGCAAGCCCACCTACCCGGCAGCTCCTTCCTGCACAGCGGGCAGCAGCTCTCGGCCTCCTGTACTTTGACTTCGCCCTGAGGAGAGAAGAATCACAGAAGGGACTCCAAGGGTCATCTAGTCCAACCCCCTACGACGCAGGAAGCTGAGTCTGTTTTTGGCCCGCAGGACAGAGGCTCCCCACCCTCCCTGTACAACACGGGGTCCTTTAGGGGCAAATACCTCAAGGCAGGTGATCGGGGGGCAGGTAGCCTCACACAGGGCCCTCCCGTTCAGGCAATGGCAAGTTTTGCAGCCCTCCTGCCATTCTGTGCCAGCCTGCGGAGGAGAGAAAGAAGGGGAGAGAAGGCGTCAGAGGGCCTGCAGAGTGCAACCGGCTTAGAAATTATTATTATTATCATCGCCATATCAATTTCTATCCTGCTTTCCCCCCCAGATTGGGACTCACACAAATTAAAACGGCACAGCTCAAATGCAAAAAGCTACAGACATACAAAAGATGGTCGTTAGAATGTCATTTAAGAGAATTAAAATGATATAAATAAACAAATCTATTAAAAATAGGTACAGCACGGCGCTATTTAAAAGCGCCTTCCTTTCAAAAAAAACTAGCCTGCCAGAATAAAATAATCTTTGGCCAATGGAAGGACAAGGAGGGAGCCAGTCTGGCTTCTCTAAGGAGAGAGCTCCAAAGTTTGGAGCAGCCACTGAGAAGGCCCTGCAATAAGTCACAGAATTCTAGAGCTGAAAGAGACCCCCAGAGGTCATCTAGACCTTTGTGCCCACCAACGTGGAACGAGCAGGTTGAGGCCACAAAACTTTGTCTTGCCAAAGCCAGATACCTTTGCCCTCCCCTCCAATCCAAAATGCCGCCACCGCTCACACTCACCGCGTAAATCTGGCCCCGATGCTCACACTCGCAGTGAGCGGCCAGGACGCAGTGCCCGCTCTTGTTCCGGTAGTGCCCCAGCTGGCACACACAACCCTGCCCAGATCTTGGGGTGCAGTTCTGCAGGGGATCCTCGTAGATCTGGTGGCAGCCTCGCTCGCAGGGGGCGGGGGAATCGGTCCTGAGCCAGAGCTCGCCAGCAGGGCAGGCTGTGGGCAGGAGAGATACCAGTCAGAGTAGCCTTTGCCAACCAGGTGCCAGTATACCTGAAGGAGCGTCTCCACCCCCATCACTCAGCCTGCACACTGAGGTCATCCTCCGAGGGTCTTCTGCTGGTTCCCTCACTGCAAGAAGCGAAGTTCTAGGGAACCAGACAGAGGGCCTTCTCAGTGGTGGCACCCACCCATCAGATGTCAAGGAAATAAACAACTATCTGACTTTTAGAAGACATATGAAGGCTGCCCTGTTTAGGGAAGTTCTTAAGGAATTTGACTGTGTTTTTAATATCCTGTTGGGAGCCTCTCAGAGTGGCTGGGATACAAATAGTGAAATTATTATGATCAAATGCCCAGCTCCCTCGACTGTTCCTCACAAGGCTTGGCTTCCAGGCCTTTTATCACTTCTGGTTCTGCTGCATTTCTGTTTCGGGAAGTTCCACTTAGGTACAAAACGCAAAAGGAGCGATTTTCTGCTCCTCCCCAATTCCCCAGGGGCAGGAGAATGATCCGCAGGGCCAAAGGAAAGCCACTGAGCCTCACCGCAGTCTGGGAGCGAACACGACATCCAGCGCTCAGAGGGTCCTTCGCACTCGGCACCGCCATAGAGGCGCAGCTGGCGGCGGTGGCGCCGGGACGACCGTTGTCCGGAGCCACATGTCACGGAGCAGGGTGACCACGGGGACCACTCCGACCAGACGCAGGGCACTGCGAGAAGGGGGAGAGCGTCTGGGTGAGGGAGTGCGGCTGGCAGAGGGCATCCTGGGTGGGCGTCGGATCGGGGCCCGGTGCTGTGTGGGGCAAGTGGTGGCTGGGAGGGCAGAGAAGCGCCCAGGTAATTGCCCCAGAAGGGGGGCAAATATGGGTGTGGCATCCCTGCCCCCTTGTGGCTCAGTCCTGAAGCGTGGGATGCAAGAATTCAGGGCAGAGCTCTCGCTTTTGAGAAGGGGTTGGGCTGGGGTTCGGGGACGGGAGGAATGCACTCTGCACAGGCTCAGAGGAAGCGTTGGCCGTCTGGTCCCAGGGCTGAGAACAGGAAGTTGGCAGGAAAACACAAGCCAAACACAGGCACTCCAGACCCCTTTTGCCCCCTTCCCGGTGCCGTGGGGCTGAAGGCAATGGGGCTGCAGGGGGCAAGCTCTGCCTGGAGAGGGTCTGTGCCCCTTGGCAGCCTCTTACCATCGCAGTCCTCCTGGGTGCAGGTGAAGACCCCCCTCTGGCAGACACTGCGGAGCCAAACAAAAGGAGTCAGAGGGCAGCCAAGGAAGGTGCAACTGATTAGCAGAGCCCAGGGCTGGGTGGGAGGAGACCCGGGTTCAAATCTCCACTGAGTGGCCTTCAGCCAGTCTTCCTCTCTCTGTCTAGCCTACTTCCTTCCCTCCCTCTCCCCTTTATATGAAGATTCCCTGCTCTGGGATCCCACAGCTCATTCTCCCCTGGTCTCCTCGCTAGCCCAAATAGGACTCATTTAGCCAGCTAGCCCTCAAATGTTTATTGGATGGATTTCCCCCCTAAGTTGATTTTTGAATTCTGAATTTATTGTTATTCACGTTTTATACTGTATTTTATGTTGTTTTTTTATTGCACCAATTAAGTGTTTTAAATTTGTTGTTAGCCGCCCTGAGCCCGGTTTTCTGAACCAGGAAAAGAGGGGTATAAATAAAGATGTATTGTTTATTATTACTTTGCAGGGCTGTTGTGATGCTCAAATGCAGGAGCGGGAGAAACACACACACACACACACACACACACACACACACACGCCGTCCTGAACGGCTTACGGGAGAGGCAGGATATCAAAGTAGGCCATGGAAAGAGGCCCTCAAATCTCAAAGGTTGTCACACAAAATATGCCAACGGAGTCAAAGGACAAGAAATGAGATTTCAACTGAGCCTTGGGAAGAACTTTCTGGCGGTGGGAGCTATTTGACAGTGGAGCAAACCACCTCTGAAGATGGCGCAGTCTCCTTCCTCGGATACTTTAAAGCAGAAGTCGGACGGCCACCTGCCAGGGATTCTCCCGCTGTGATTCCTGCATCACAGGGGGGTGGACTAGAGAACCTTTGGGGGATCCCTTCTGAGTCTACGATTCTGTGATTCCTCCTGCAGCCCAGGGTGGGTGGGTGGGGAGAGGAGCCCCTGAAAAGGAAGGACCTTGCGTGGACGGCGCCGCCTGCTCTAAGTCAAGAACACCCTGCTCTACAATTTCCGCAGCTGGAACAGGACCCAGGAGTCCTGGCTCAAAGAGACTAAGAGAAAAAGACAACAGCGACTTTGAAAAAGAATGGGAACCATTTATATTATACTTGAGGAAACAAAGAAAGTCTATAGACTTGATGGCAGTATTTAAATAAACATGCACATCATTAGCATTAGAAAATGTGTGGAAGATAGAGAAACAGGATGGTGTCTTTTATTTTTATGTTTTAAGGTTTGATGTTGTTGTATAACTATGTTACTGGTATTATTTTCTTTTAGGAAATAGCAAAGTGGATGAAAGGAGAAACAAACCAGAAAGTTGGGGGAAGCCCAGAAGGGGAGGGAGGAAGGAATGTATAGTAAACGTTATGGACATGAGTTGCATGTAATGAATGAAAAAGGAAAATGAATGTGTGTGTGTGTATATATATATATATATATATATATATATATATATATATGCAGGTTTTGGTGTCCTCGGGTGTCTTCCCGTGTAAAAGTTGGGGTGTCTAGGCGACGTTTCGACGAGGTCTCACTCGTCATCTTCAGGCTGGTGCTTTCGGCTTCTTGTTACTGGAACAGAGCAGGATCTCAGTGTTTGAGTTCCTATAAATACTGTTGAGGGGGTGTGGTGTATAGCCTCCAATGTTCTGGGCAGAGAGGAAGTTCCCAGGTTAGTGTGCCTTTTCTTCTTTTGTTCCTTAATTACTTGAGGGATATCTTGAGTGATTTCTTGAGTGATATCCTGAGTACCACTTAGGTGGGTCATTAGGTGTGGATTAGTTGCTAAAGCCTTCGTGTCTTGACCTCTTGAACTTTGTGAAGAGTTTTTCTGAGAAGATGGCTGTACTGCAATTAGTTGTGCTCTGGCTTGGCTTCGTGTATAGGGGCGAGCTGTGGTTTTGTGTCCTGTGCCAGCCAGATCTGTGTAGGGATTGCAGGGGGGTGCAGCATCCGGAGGTGCCACCATGGTTTGGCTACTGGATGGTGTCTGTAATTTATCTGTGGAGAGGGTCTGGGTTTGGGTCTGGTGTGGTTGATTGGTGATGGCGTTCTGTGTGCCTCTGGATCTGGTGTTGGTTTTTGTGGGGAGGGCTAATTTCCAGATGTCTGGCAGGCGGGATGTGTCGTCACGCTTGTTCATGTTGTGAGGGTGTTTCTCTATCTCGATGGCTTCCATGATTATTCTCTTGTGGTGATGTTCCATGTTAGAGAGCAATTTGGAATCTGCAAAATTAATTTCGTGTCCTGTTTCTTTCATGTGTTGGAAAAGAGAGGAAGTTTTTTCTTCTTTTTTGACGGCATTCTTGTGTTCTGCGATACGTGCATTTATTCGTCTGTTTGTTTGTCCAATGTACGTGGCTGGGCAGACTTTGCAGGGTATTTCATAGACCCCTTGGTTTTCCAACTGGATTTTATCCTTGGGGTTTCTGAGGATATTGGCTATTTTTTGGTTGGTGCAAAAGGCTGTTTTGATATTGTGTTTATGGAGGATTTTGCTAATTTTATCTGTAGTGCCCTTGATATAAGGAAGATTTTATCTGTAGTGCCCTTGATATAAGGATATCTGGCTGGCACAGGACACAAAACCACAGCTCGCCCCTATACACGAAGCCAAGCCAGAGCACAACTAATTGCAGTACAGCCATCTTCTCAGAAAAACTCTTCACAAAGTTCAAGAGGTCAAGACACGAAGGCTTTAGCAACTAATCCACACCTAATGACCCACCTAAGTGGTACTCAGGATATCACTCAAGAAATCACTCAAGATATCCCTCAAGTAATTAAGGAACAAAAGAAGAAAAGGCACACTAACCTGGGAACTTCCTCTCTGCCCAGAACATTGGAGGCTATACACCACACCCCCTCAACAGTATTTATAGGAACTCAAACACTGAGATCCTGCTCTGTTCCAGTAACAAGAAGCCGAAAGCACCAGCCTGAAGATGACGAGTGAGACCTCGTCGAAACGTCGCCTAGACACCCCAACTTTTACACGGGAAGACACCCGAGGACACCAAAACCTGCATTCCTGTACCCGTGAAAATCTACGAAAGCATATATATATATATATATATATATATATATATATATATATATATGCTTTCGTAGATATATAATATTAAAAAAGCTTCTGTGCTGCAATGGGCAGCGTCGTCCGGTTTTCTCTTTTGCCCCCCAAAACGACTGTTTCAGGGATCCTGCCCCCCACCCAGCCCAGGCTCACCAGCTGTTGCACTCGTGGCGAATGACGCTGCCCGGCGGGTGCTCCTGTCCCCGTTCCTCTTCGGAAATGTTGGCAGCCCAGGGCATGGTGGGCACCGAGCCCAGCTGGCAGCGGCATTCTTCTGGGGGGACGCAGCCCCCGTCCTGCAGCACCTGTGGACCCAGAAGAGGTTCAGCGTCAGCAGGTGCGCTGCCGTGGGGCAAGGGAACCCCCCCTTCCTGCTTTGCGGCTGGCTGGCCCCCCGGGGAGAAGAGACTGGGCCGGGCACAGATGTGCTCCTGGGAAGGGGCTCTCGGCTCATAAGTGCGGGAAATTGCAGTCAGATAGCAAGTTTAGGGCTCATTAATGCACAAAGAGGTGAATGTCAATTTGCCATCTTTTTTAAAAAAAACTTTTCAAATTTATACATTTCATTAGTTTTATAATCAATTTGACATCCCAAAATTCCGCTTCCTTCGCCCTCTTTCTGTGGTTCCTTACATTTATTTTTTACTATCTTCTGCCTGGGACGCAGGTGGTGCTGTGGGTTAAAGCCTCAGCACCTAGGACTTGCCGATTGAAAGGTCGGCGGTTCGAATCCCTGCGGCGGGGTGCGCTTCCGTTGTTCGGTCCCAGTGCCTGCCAACCTAGCAGTTCGAAAGCACCTTCGGGTGCAAGTAGATAAATAGGGACCGCTTACTAGCGGGAAGGTAAATGGTGTTCCGTGTGCTGCGCTGGCTTGCCAGAGCAGCGATGTCACGCTGGCCACGTGACCCGGTAGTGTCTGCGGACAGCACTGGCTCCCGGCCTATACAGTGAGATGACCGCACAACCCTAGAGTCTGGCAAGACTGGCCCGTATGGGCAGGGGTACCTTTACCTTTTTATCTTCTGCCTATCCCAGTTTATTTAACGTGCTCATTTAATTACCTACTGTAAATATATCTGTAAACAATCCATAAACCATCTCCATTCTTTTATAAAAAGTTTGTTATCTCCATTTCTTATTCCTCCGGTGAGTTTCACCATTTCTGCATATTTCTTAAGTTTTTTTTGCATCCATTCTTCCTTTGCTGGGACTTCTGCTTCTTTCCATTTTGGGGCAAGAAACATTCTTGCCACTGTAGTAGCAGACATAAATAAATTTCTATACAATTTAGGTAGTTCTGTCCCTATAATTCCCAAAAGAAAAGCTTCTGGGTTGTTTTTTAAAAAAAATAAAAGTTATTTTGAGCATCCTTTTCAATTCCCATATATATCATTTCACATGCTCTTTTTTCGATGCTCACTGGGACGGTTTGAGCACATTACAGTGTTCCTATATAATTCTATACAATTTAGGTAGTTCTGTCCCTATAATTCCTAAAACTTTGCCATCTCAGCAGAGTCCAATCATTTTAGCAACCATTCCTCTGCCGCGGGTAATGATGAATGCATATTATTGCCATTTTGTGTGTCTCGAGGGCAGCGCTGCGGCTCAGTGGCAAAACATCTGCTTGCCATGGCAGAAGTTCCTGGGCTCAACCCTTCATGGCAGTTCCAGAAAGACCCCTGCCCCAAACCCTACAGAGTGGCTGCCAGCCAGTGTTGGCAACACCACCCTAGGTAGACAGATAGGGCAGCTTTGGGTGCTCTGAGCTCACTCACCTGTCCGGGGGGGCAAGCGCAGCCCGGCTGGCATTCCTCACGGAGGCACTGGGTGTGAGGGCGCAGGTCGGAGCACGACCGCGGGCAGGCGTTGGCGCAGTCGCTGTAGACTTGGTATCCTGGGCATTCTGGCACAGAGAGGAAGAGGCAACGGCGTAAAAGGCAGCGTTGCATAGTGGTTAGAGCAGGGGGGTCAGCAAACTTTTTCAGCAGGGGGCCGGTCCACTGTCCCTCAGACCTTGTGTGGGGGACGGACTATATTTTGGGGGGGAAATGAACGAATTCCTATGTCCCACAAATAACCCAGAGATGCATTCAATTTGTTGCATTCAATAGAATAGAATAGCAGAATATTCTCAGGTAAGATGTGCCAAATTAAATATCCGAATCCCCTTTGCAGTTAACTGCTATTTTGTCTAGTTCTCTGCCTGGCCTGCCTTTCAGGGTCGTTGTTCTTGGGATGAAATGAGGAGGTGGGATAACCTGAGCTCCTGGGTGGGATATAAATGCAAGGATAAACAGGGAGTCTTTGGTCCCCAGCTGCCGCTGAGCTGGCCCTGCCGTTGGGTGACTTTTTGGGGGTCTCACCTGGCGTGCAGTTCTGCGTGTTGCAGGCGTGGTGCTGCAGGAGCGGGTCGGCGCAGGGCTCCCCCAGCGGTGGGGAGAGGAGGCTGCGGTTCCTCTCGGACTCGCCTCCTCCACAGGTGGCGCTGCAAGGGCTCCAGGCTGACCACTCACTCAGTAGGCAGGCGGCTGCAGAAAGAAAGGGTGTGTGCGTCAGGGGCAGCGCTGGGATCTCCCTCCTGCGCCTGCTGGCCCGTGCCCAAGGAGGGATACTCCAGCTCAGGGCTCAGCAAAACTTTTTCAGCCATGGGCTGGTCCACTGTCCCTCAGACCTTGTGGGGAGCCGGACTATATTTGGGGCGGTGGCGGGGGGGGGGGAAATGAACAAATTCCTATGCCCCACAAATAACCCAGAGATGCATTTTAAATAAGAGGACACATTCTACTCATGTAAAAACACGCAGATTGCTGGACTGTCCACGGGCCGGATTTTGAAGGCGATTGGGCCACATCCAGCTCCTGGGCCTTAGGTTGCCTGCCTCTGCTCCAGCTGGTAGAACCAGAGGCAGGGGAGATTCAAAAGCTGGGGGCCACACAAAGGCTGTATCAGCCCTCACAATATTTCAATCAATACAAAATCAAACCATAAAATTATAATTGCATTATAAATTATACTGATATATCATATATATAAAAAAATTATATTTAATCAATGTAATGAGTGGAATAGTAATGCTAAAGTAAATATATACATAAATAAATGTATATGTAAAGACACGCAAGACTGTGTAACGCCATAAAAGTACCGTCTATCACCTACTACAAAGTGACACGTCCATCACTTTCAGTGGGTCTACTCTGTATACAATGAGCATCAGATACAACTCGTTGATAAGGCTTCTTATTTTGATCCTGCCCATCTGCATAGAGGAGTTAAGGGTGGAAAATCACAAAGTATCGCAACTCACAACGGGGGGGGGGGGGGGGGAAACAAACTGCTGTTCCCTGGATGAGAGTTGGCTGGGCTAGGATATAAATCCCCTCTGCAAGTTAATGGATATGGATTTATTAAATACGGATGAAAGTCATCACACCAGCGGCTGCTAAAACAAAGGATTAAGATCGGAATTGTGGAATTCGGACTAATTAAGAGAACTGGAGCAGGACCAAGAATTAACATCAACTCCAGATAACCGGAATATGGGAAGTCACCCAAAAACATTGAATTTGGAACTGATTAACTGGCTTTTTTGACTGTATTGTGACTTGGCATGATTTGGTATTGTATTAATGTGGCCTCCACTGGATTGTTATTAATGAAAAATTAATAAAAATTAATTAGAGAGAGAGAGAGAGAGTTGGCTGTGTTGGCAGGGCCCAGGGGTAGGGGCACCCGCTTGCCCTGACGCCAGGAGGCTGGCAGACTCACCCTCGCAGGGCTGTGGGCTGCACTGGGCTGCTTCCTCCATGGCATCGGCGGCACAGGGGGCTCCCACAGGGCTCTCGTGGCACTGCCGGTGCCGCAGGGTGCTGCCCCCACCGCAGCTGGCAGAACAGGGGCTCCATGCGGACCATTCCCCGTAGGACGGGCACTCCTTCTCAGGACACAAGAAGGTGCTGTTGGCACAGGTGCTACAGAGGGAAGGAATAGACAGGAACCCCAAATTACTAGGACCTGAGCAGCTTGGGACCGGCTGACCTGCGAGATCGCCTTACTGCGCATGCTCCCGCCCATCATCCAGCCATCGCTTCGTCTGCCACTTTCTCAGACGAAAACCAAGCTCCAAGCAGCTCAGGAAACAGAAAGGCAGTTCAAATTCAGGCACCGCAAGAGCATTTCATGGCGAAAAGCACAAGGTCAAGAGCGGCAACACACGAAACAACGAGAACGTTTCTGTGCCGTAAACGCATGGAACAAGATCACAGTCACAAAGCTCAGAACGGCAGCTCCACTTGGATCCCAGAAAAACCTCTTCCACAACATTGCCCTTTCGACTCCCCGAGAAACCAAAGAGAGAGACTTTTCCATACAGGGTGGGGGAAATGTGTGGACTATTTGAAGGATTACCGTAAACAACTTAAATCGTTAGCAGGGTTGATGTAAAAACGTGTGGCAAAAATAAGTTAAAGGGAATATAAAAGGAAAAATTAGCAAACAGGTTTGAACTGGATAGGCAGTGGTAAAAGATATAACATACGTAATCGCAGAAAGTGGAGACAGGAGTTGATTTGAAGATATGCTTGACTATGCAAATGTTTTCTTTGTTAAAATATTTGTAAAATGGAAAGTAAAATTTTTGGGGGGGAGTTTGCGACTTGATTTAAATTAGAACATTTAAGAAGTTAAATTCTCCAAGGTTTCCTTGCTTGGGAATGTGACCCCTTCCCCTCCAATTTGACCCCTTACCAGTTGTGGCAATCCAGCTCCACCGCCTGGCCTGGCATGACCTCCAGGGTGATGTTGGCCGTGGGGAGACCACAGCGGCAAGCCGGGATCGGAACGCAGACCCCGTCCTGGAGGAGCTGCCCGTCAGGACACCGGCATCCTGGGTGCGGAGGGGAGGGGGGGAGAGGAGGATGAGGAACTGGCCGAGCAAGAGAGGGGCGTTTCTTCTGCCCCTTTGGAGGAGGGCAGTTTGGGTTCTGACACGAAGGGTGTGGATGAGGCCGTGAACAGAGGGAATTCCAAAACACAAAAGGTACCTCCCACTTCTTCATGTATCTCACAGTTACTCTATGGAACTCATGGCCACCAGAAGCTGGGAATGTGGCTCTAGCAAGAATATGGACTTTGGGATGAATTAAAGGAGTGCAGGCTTCTCCTAGCCAAAGATGCACAGTCTCTTAAGAGTGGCAGCCGAAACGATAGGGATGATGGAGCAATGCCCCTATGAAGAAAAGCATTTGGGGCTTTTCAATGAAAATGATGTAAAAACAAATTGTTCAAAATGCAGGTAGTAAAAAAAGGAAGGAAAAGCCCAGTACTATTAAATGCCATTTCCTTAAAGGCTGCATTTTAATGTTGTATTTTAATCTTGTTTTTTAAGTTGTATTTCAATCAACTTGTTTTTATTATTGGTTGTTAGCTGCCCTGAGCCCGGCCTTGGCTGGGGAGGGCGGGGTATAAATAAAAATTATTATTATTATTATTATTATTATTATTAAACCCAAGCACACACATACAGAGCCTGGGATAGCTCAATTGGTAGAGCATGTGGCGCTTAATCTCAAGGTTGAGGGTTCGACCCCCACGTTGGGCAAAAGATTCCTGCATTGCAGGGGGTCGGAATAGATCAGGGGTTGGACTACGTGACCCTCGTGGTCCCTTCCATCTCTACAATTCTATGAAAAAATATTCACCTGTCAGCGGAAGGGCAACAAGGAGGGAACCAGTGTGAGACAAAATCCAGGACTGGGCAGGGCTGGAGGGGGGCAGAAGGAGGGGCGTTACCTTGCTTGCAGTCCCCTTGCAGACACTCCACATGCTCCCAGAGGTCTGTGCAGGTGCGAGGGCAGCTGTTAGCGCAGGACGGGGCCCGAACTTTGCCCCGATCTTCACATTCCTCTCCTGGGAGAAGGGAGGAAGAACAGCCCCCGGGACCATGAGAAAGCGGCACTTCTGGGTGAATCTTTTAGACTTGGGAACTCCCTGCCTCTTGACATCAACAGGCACCTTTGCTGTACAGGGGTACCTCGGTCTCCGAACGTAATCCGTTCCAGAAGACCATTTGAGCTCTGAAACGTTCAAAAACCAAGGTGCAAAGGGCGGTCTGCAAATTCAATTGAGAAAATTGAGAAAAATAACATACACAGTCAGCGGAAGCCGTTCGACTTCCAAGGCGTGTTTCAAAATGGAAGCATTTACTTCCGGGTTTACGGCATTTGAAAACCCGAACGTTCGTCAACAGAGACATTCAAAAACCGAGGAACCACTGTACTCTTTGCAGCACCTGCTGAAAACGTTCTTGTTTAGATGGGCCAAACTTGATGCTTAGAACGTTGGTGTGAATTTTAGCCCGTCTTGGTATTTTCATTTTTTGGGGATATGTTTGAAAGTATTGCAATTTTTTCTTGCTCATACTGTTGTTATCTTTTTGCAAACCACTTGGGTTTTTTCTTTCTAAACAACCAGGTGCCCGGGGAATCTTATGAAGTAAGTAAATAAGTGAGTTTCAGATTCGTATCTGATTGTGTCCACACCAGGCGTGTCGAGGCCTAGATTCCTGGATAAATGACAAAGGAACTTTGCTCACTTAGACCAATTCAGGGAGGAGCGGACGATCAATGGCTACTAGCCCTGGCCCCGCGGTTGGGAGGCAGCAGCACTTCCGGAAACCGAAGGAGGAGAAAGAGCTTTCGCGCTTGAGTGCTGCTTTTGTGTTTCCCACAATAGGGCACCTTCAGGATTAGCAAAACACAAGCGCAGGATCTGGTCTTCTGCCTGAAGCCATGGAGAGCTGCTGCCGTTCAGTGCAGACAATACTGGGCTAGATGGACCAATGGTCTGACTGTTAGAATTCCTGCTCCGTGATTGCAGTCATGGGATTGTTGTCTATCCCATGACAGTGTATGTTTTGACTCCACAGAGTGGGAAGTGACGGAGACAGGGTGTTTGTGTTAATGTGTTCCTTGAAGTAGGACTATTGTCCCTTGTTCTTTTTCTCTTTGCTGTCTGATGCTAGAGAGAGAGGGAGCCAAGTTGCAGTGCTCCGTGTGTGTTTATATGTAAATAAAGTAGATTAGCCAAAATGCTGAGTTGCTGAGGTCTGTCACACGAACTGTGCTAACTCTGCAGATCCCTAAGTGTGGTCCCGAACGATCGACCAGGAGGGAGGGAACATGCCAGTCGGGCATGTGTCTCTGCCAGGGTCCTACTCGAGAGTAGGGCAAGCTCCTGACACTGACTAGGTCAAAGGCAGCAGTTTCCTCCGTTTCCCAGCCTTTTGGGGATTTGCCCCCCCCATCCCAGCTGGAGGGAACGTACCTGGGCAGGCAGCCGTGTTGCAGCTCTCGGACTGGGACCACGGCCCGTGGCACCGGGTCTCTCCTGATGGGTGACGGGCGTAGCGCTGGCGCGTGCGGAACCCCCCGCTGCAGGGAGCACGGCAGGGGCTCCAGGAGGTCCAAACGCTCCACAGGCAGAAGTCTGGAAGGGAGAGGAGGAGCTGCAGATAGAGGCCTTGGGGCGGAATGGGACTGTCTCAGCTGCCTCCGCTGCTGCCCCCCCCCCAAGACCCCTCTCCCACATTAAGGACCATTAAAATGCAGATCTCTCTACAGGCGTTTGGGGACCTGAAGGAGCGTCTTCACCCCCATCGCTCAGCCCAGACACTGAGGTCCAGCGCCGAGGGCCTTCTGGCGGTTCCCTCCCTTCAAGAAGTGAAGATACAGGGAACCAGGCACAGGGCCTTCTCGGTGGTGGCACCCGCCCTGTGGAACGCCCTCCCATCTGCTGTCAAAGAGATAAACAACTATCTCAGGGGTCAGCAAACTTTTTCAGCAGGGGGCCGGTTCACTGTCCCTCAGACCTTGTGGGGGGCTGGACTATATTTTGGAGAAGAAGAAAAAAAATGAACGAATTCCTATGCCCCACAAATAACCCAGAGATGCATTTTAAATAAAAGACACAATCTACTCGTGTAAAAACATGCTGATTCCTGGACTGTCTGCAGGCCAGATTTAGAAGGCGATTGGGCCAGATCCGGCCCCCGGGTCTTAGTTTGCCTACCCATGAACTATCTGACTTTTAGAGGACATCTGAAGGCAGCCCTGTTTAGGGAAGTTTTTAATGTTTGATGTTTTATTGTGCTTTTAATTTTCTGTTGGGAGCCGCCCAGAGTGGCTGGGGAAACTCAGTCAGAGGGGTCGGGTTTAAATAAAAAATATATTATTATTATTATTACTATTATTAACTCCTCCCAGTCAGCACAGCTGATGGGATTTGTGGTCCAAAACATCTTGGGAGCTCAGTGTTGCCTTGATTCAGGGCGCTAGACATGACAAAGAGCTATTTTATATATTGATTAAAAAAACACACCAATCGTTTTATTATTTATACCCGACCATCTGGCTGGGTTGCCCGTCACCCTGGGCGGCTTCTGACACACATGAAAATGTAATAAAACATAGCAATCTAATCCAACGCAAAAAGTCGCAATGACTTTATTGATAATACCATTTGAACCCCTCCTGTGAAATATGCTGCCATTTGGAATTATTAGTAGCTTCTCGGCTTTGCGAGAACGGCACAAGGCCATATCCTGACTTTTATGAAGAAAGCAATTTTTTTAAAAAAAATGTTGTTACCGCTCAACCTGAATAAGCAATGTTTCTTCAAGGGTGTGTGAATGAAACGCCTCTCTTACAGGCGCGCTTGGTTTTCAGTTTGATTCAGTTCCAATTGTTTTTTATTTTTTGTTCTTGAATGTTATTTTGTACAAGTGAATTTTTGTTATAAAAAAAAACAAGCACAAAACCTTCGCAAATGTGAGGATCCGGGCAAAGGCGTTCCTGATCCAGCTCGGCTGAGCACAGAGTGGCCAGTCCTGTCCAGCTTCTGCCCGTCTGAGGGTCCAGGCAGAGTCGGAAGCGATGCTGGACGGACACCAGAGCAGGCCAGGGGTCTCCTTCTCCAGGGGACCAGCTGAGGTTGGAGACCACGCTGGGGCCGAGGGCCACGAAAGGCAGGCAAGAGGAGCAGGATGTCCACTCTGACCAGGCGCTGACTGGAAGCAGACCTGAGGGGGGAAAGGAATCCGAGAATGGTAGAGTTGGAAGGGACGCCAAGGGTCATCTAGACCAACCCCCTGAAATTCAGGAATCACAGCTAAAGGATCACTGACACATGGCCACCCAACCTCTGCTATAAAATCTCCAAGGAAGGAGAGTCCATAATCTTCTGAGGGAAACCACTCCACTGTCAAACACCTCTTGATGTTGAGTCGCAATCTCCTTTCTTATAACTTGAAGACATTGGTTCGAGTCCTACTCTCTGGAGCAGGAGAAAAGAAGCTTGTTCCATATTCCAGGTGAAAGCCCTTGAGATATTTGAAGATGGCTCTCATATCTCCTGTGAGTCTCCTCTTTTCCAGGCTAAACATCCCCACCTCCTTCAACCATTCCTCATCAGGCATGGTTTCCAGACCCTTGACCATCTTGGTCTCCCTCCTCTGCACACCTTCCAGCTTTTCAACAATGCTTTTGAATTCTGGTGCTGGAGGAGACTCTTGAGAGTCCCATGGACTGCAAGAAGATCAAACCTCTCCATTCTGAAGGAAATCAGCCTTGAATGCTGACTGGAAGGCCAGATCCTGAAGCTGAGGCTCCAAGACTTTGGCCACCTCATGAGAAGAGAAGACTCCCTGGAAAAGACCCTGATGTTGGGAAAGATGGAGGGCACAAGGAGAAGGGGACAACAGAGGACGAGATGGTTGGACAGTGTTCTCCAGGCTACCAACATGAGTTTGACCAAACTGCGGGAGGCAGTGGAAGACAGGAGGGCCTGGTGTGCTCTGGTCCAGGGCGTCACGAAGAGGCGGACACGACTCAACGACTAAACAACAACAACAACATGACTTCCCTTGATCTGGACACTAGACTTCTGCTGATGCAGCCTAGAATTGCATGATGTTAGTTTTTTCCTTGCTGCTGCATCACACGATTGAAAGGGGACTCTTGAACCCTAGAGGAGACCTGGGGCAACAAGGGCTGGAGTCCTAAGGACTTGAGAGAAGATTTCTGCCTCTCAGGACAGGCTTCTGCAAAGCGATGTGTGTGGGCATGCGGAGTGGCTTGCCCAGGTTCAGTATGCAAAGATCTGGTGCGAAAACCTATCATCTCTAATCCCCAACATGGATGGCAGGGTTCCTCCCTGGCCAGGCGCAGTCTACCCCGGGACAGTGAGGGGCGGAGCTTCCCTGGGAAAAAGTGCTCACCTTGGCAGCCTTCGCTGCTGCACTGCAGCTCCCCCTGCTGGCAGATACTGCAGAGAGAAAGCCGCAGGTTAATCACAGGTTTGGAAGGGACCCCTAAAGGCAATCTAGTCAAACGCCCCGCAATTAAAGTTGAACTAGCCAAAATGACAGAACTCATAAGAGATCACTCAGGCGACAAGGTGAAAAAAAGGAATGGGATTGCTTTAGAAACCACCTGACAAAATATGGTTCCAAAAACAATACTTGGTTGTGCTTAGATTAACTTCACAGATATAATGGGGGAAAAACTCATTTTAGTAAATGAATACAGAATATTTGTCACTTAAGAGAAGTGCTGAAGCCGCAAAGAGATAGAGGGAAGTCAGCAAATATAAAAGAGATTCAAACTAGTTTTCCGGAACAGAAGGAAAGTGACTGGAAAGAAAGAAAGAAAGAAAGAAAGAAAGAAAGAAAGAAAGAAAGAAAGAAAGAAGAGAAGGATTACAAAGGTATTTCTTTTGAGAACCTGGTGTATAGAATATTTAAATTACTGTTTGTATTCATTAAACAATTTTGTGTACTGGACCAATTCTTTTTTGGTTTTTATATCAATTTTCTCCCCCTTTTTTCCATCTTAATTTTTTTTTTTTACTTTTCCTGTATTTTTTTCTTTTTCTTTTTGAATATTTGGATGTAATGTTAAATTCATGCTTTCTATGCAATTTTTAAAAATGCAATAAAGATAATAATAATAATATCCCTGCAATTCACGACGAAAGCATCCCTGACAGATGGCCATGCAAGCTCTGCTTTAAAAGCTCAGAAGAAGGGGAGTCCATCAATTTCCACAAGAGTCTGTTCCACGATCATAACAAACCGAGGGTGCCATATCTGCATTGCTGGCTGGGGTTGCTGGGAGTTATAGTACAAAACATCTGGAGGGCACCAGGTTGGGGAAAGCTGGCTTGCAATGAAAGGTCCTGCCTCCCAAACTTTGGCCCCTCCCCTTTTCCTGCCCACCCCCGGAGTGAAGCCGTTCCCCCAGCCATCGACTCACCACTCCTTGCAGCCAATCGAAACGGTGTCTCCTGCCGCCAAGGATACGGGGCCTTCCGATTGGCTGAGGTGGAGGCAGCCGCACTGCGAGGGCGGGACGCAGGCCCCGTTCTGTTCCACCAGGCCCTTGAAGGGGGGCGAAGGAGAGAGAACCCAGAATCAGATCGGAAGGAGAGCCCGAATCCTGAGGCGGGGAGTTCCGCAGGTGATGGGTTCATCCCTAACCCAGAACAGCAGGTGCAGCTCTCACCTGTGGGCAGTAGCAGCCAGGCAGGCAGTGGGGGATGTCCTTGCATAGCTCTGGGTGGCGCATGGTGGAGCAGAGGCTGTCGCAGGGGGAGCCACACTCCCGGAATTCAAAGGGGGCCTCGCAGCTGGACTCTGGGGAAAACAGGAGGAAAAAGACAGTCGCGGAACCGAGAAATTGCACAAAACAAATGGAAATACCGTGAAAATCCCTGAAACGAGAAGTAATTGGCTGGAAATATTATCTTATGAAAATAAACTAAATAATACAAATCAAAGAGTTTAAGGAAAAAATTAGAAAAACCTCAAATTGAACAAAGCCTTAACGGGATGCCGCCTACAAACCTCGTTTCACTGAACTATTCCGTTTGCTCAGAAGGAAGTAGAGAAATCATAAACCTTAAATGACCAAAATTCACAGGAAGGGGGTAAACTCCCCAAAATTATGAAGTATTATAATACTAGCTCGACCTAGGTGAAGCAAAACAGCAATAAAGGATTGAATTTACAAAAAAGGTTTGAAGACCTAAATGGCAAGTTTTAGACAAAGCCCAACTTAGAGGAAGCCAAGCACAGTAATAAAGAGTTGAGGACTGACTCAGCTGTGAAAATTCTAGTGTTGCCTTTACAAAAAGGCTTAAAAAACCTAAATGGCACAAATTCAAAGAAAGGAATACAAGATAAGCTGTTTTAGATTTTAAACAAGCTCAAGAACAGGGCTGAAACACTCCCATGGTCTAGATGTTACTGCTGATGTTAAAGACTCTGGGGAAAAGCCGGCGGTGGGGAGGCGGGTGAAGCCGGAGTCCTCAACCGAGCAAGGAGACAGGCTGCTCCCAGGGTGCTGGGGGGTGTGAGGGGGGAGACCAGGAAACCCCTCCATCCTATCATGACCAGGTGGGGGAAATCCCTGGGGTACAACGAATATTGCAGGCAGAGGGCCTTCTCGGTGGTGGCGCCCGCCCTTTGGAACACCCTCCCATCAGATGTCAAAGAAATAAACAACTCTCTGACTTTTGGAAGACCGTGATGGCAGCCTTGTTTAGGGAAGCTTTTAATCCTGGATGAATCATTGTCTTTTAATATTCTGCTGGAAGCCGCCAGAGCTACTGATTGACTGTGTGACTGTGGAAATGGATAAAAGCCCCCCATCCAAACAAAGATTATCATCACTGCAAGTAAAAAGAAAATGATTATTGCTTTCCTTTTATGGATCAATGGTCTTGTTAGATAGCAAAATTCATGTGAAATTGCTGTTTTAGGGGTTATTTTTAAAAGTCTGGAATGGATTAATCCACTTTACATTACTTTCTATGGGAAAGCATGCCTTGGTTTTGGAATGCTTTGGTTTTGGAACGGACTTCCGGAACGGATGAAGTTTGAGAACCAAGGTACCACTGTATTCTCTTTCAGCAGAACATTGTGTGCTTTGCTCCTCCTACTTATCCCGGTGGGCGGGGCCATTCAAATGAGCTCCCCTCCCCCGGGTGGAAGTTGCTCTCTATGGGGGTACATTCTACGCCTTCCCTTCTAGCAATTTTCATAGAATCATAGAGTTGGACCACCCCGGAGTCGGATCCTCTACCTCAGTATTTAGCACACATACTTTTTTTCCTGAAAAGTATGAAAAGTGGAAGTGCAATTCACTCTTAAATGCAGGAATCGAGGAAGCTGCCTGTACAGATCATATTGATCCATCTAGCTCACTGGTGTCAACATGGACAGGAAACAGATTTTCAGGGTTTAATGCAGTGCATCCCAAATTTTTTTGGTCCCCCACCCCCCCCGACTCCGTAAACTCACCCCCAGTGCCCCTCTAATCTAAAAAAGCATTATTCAGAATAGCGGTTTGCACGACCCACTAAGGAAGATAAGGACACCGTAAAATTAATAACCATCACAATTGATTGTGCCTGAATTCAAAATCCAATTAAGCCAAGTTTAATTAAGCTGACAAAACTGATGAGCCAGGGATACCAGCTCTTCAAAGTTTGTTTGCTATTATTTATTGAATATATATACCACCCTATACCGGGGGGGGGGGAGGGTCTCAGGACAGTTCACAGAAGAAAATCAAGATATAAAACCACAAAATACATAATAAAAATAAAAACAACAACCCAATAGCCCTCCCAACAAAAAAAACCACAACAAAAAACAAAACATGTTTTAAAAGGTTAAAAATGAACACTTTTGCCTGGCTAGTTTGCTTTGTATATGGGATAATGCAATACCCTATTACCACAGTTTTGGGTTGTTAGTAATGGTAATAAAGTTGTGTGTTTTTTTAAAGACCTCATTACTCTACGGAACTCACGGCCACAAGAAACTGTGACGGCTCACCTGAGCACTGGGAATAGTCGCACATGCGGAACTGGCCGTCCAGCCCCACACAGGGCTGTCCGTCGCCCCCCGAGCCACGCTGGTTCCGGTATCGCTGCTGCACCAGGAAGCTGCACGAACACCTGGTCCACTTTGTCCAGGGACTCCAGGGGCACTCTGGGGGGGCGGGAGAGGAGGATCAGAGCAGTTTGCAAAGTGTGCCAGCCTGAGACCACAGAACCGTACACCTGGAAGGAACTCCCAGGGTCATCTAGTCCAACCCTCTGCAATGCGGGAATCGCAGCGAAAGCATCCTTGACAGATGGCCGTCCAACCTCTGCTTAAAAGCTTCTGATGAATGTGTTGAATATTGCAGAGTATAAGCCGACTTTCTGGAAGTATCTGGTTGCAAGCTGACAGGATGACCAGGGAAGTCCCCAAATAGGAGTTCCATCACAGAAGGAGAAAGGAAAAAGGGTAAGCACAGTCACAGGTAATCTGAACCCTTCTCACCTTCGCAAGCCCCGAGGTAGCAAGCCTCCACGTCCTGGCGGTGCCCATCTTTGCAAAACACTCCCGCAGCCGCCTCCTCGGGGGTCGGGCAAGGACACGTCCCCATCCGCGTGGCCAAGCCCGTTCCGCAAGATCTCGAACACGGACCCCAGGAGGACCAATGGCACAGCTCGTCCCCTGCGTGGAAGGAACACACTGTCTATGCGGTGTGGACATTCTGATCTCTGTGGTCTTTTTTAAAAAAATGGAGATTAGGACTCCCTGAATGTTTTGCTCTCCCCCCCCCCCATCTCCAGAGCTCCTGAATCTGGAAGGTCCATGTTTTAAAATAGAAATTGCGAATAATATTGCGGTCGACAGGTCAACACTTATATCCAGCTGGGGAAACAGGAATAATCAAATAACAGATCTTATTCTAATTGCCCCCGCTAAAAAACTTGCAGTTTTTGCTGTCACCTGATCATCTTGATCTTCTAAAAGAAAGGACACAATAGCAGTGGTTGAGCGACAATAATAGAGGGGTAATAACCTCACTCCTCAAATCTTTATAAAGACAGCAAGCCAGAAGCACGGGAGCCGCTGACTCAATGCTGCCATCTCCACAGGGACACAACCGTTTTTCAATTGGAATTGTTTGAAATCGACCCTCAAGTACAACCCAAAGCAGTATATTCAACCTTGTGGAAGTGCCTGTAGTTTGGAATTGTTAAATTTTGCAAAGAGGGTGCCAAAATGACTAGGTGGAAAACAGTCATACCATGGACAAAATTTCCTTATTGTGGCCAGATTATTCTGTCGCTCGATATCATATAGGCACTGTCCAATTCAATTATTTGCCTCACTGGAGCCCAGTGTTAGTAATGGTTGTGGCGATAAACCAGAAAAGGAAAGCTTTCGGGTGGCAACTTTAGTCCAGGCGCTCTCAGGACAATCTTGCGATAGACCAGCGGGGTTTAAATTTAGGTGAAGTCAATAATTAAAAGTCCTACGCCAAATCTGCAATTCAACAGAGAGGAGATTTAGCCTCCAAGCGCAATGAAGCATTTGGAACAGAGGATGGAACACAAAAAAATTGCCTTAGGAATAGAAGAGGAATAGCTGTGGTCATTGGGTGTGTGAGCTGAAAACTGGATGCTGGAAGCTGGAGAGACAGAGACCGCGTCTCCATCAGTGCTGAGCTTCTGGGAACCTGATGGGGAAGCAGGCTCTGTTGGGGTGCCCATGCTCTGCGCCCCTCACCTGGGCAGGGCGGGATGGAGCAGTTCTGCGCTTGCGTCTCGGGGCCGGCGCAGGGGAGGCCCTCGTTGCGTGGCGGTGGGTTGACGCAGGCCCGGGTGCGGATCTGGGTGCCTCGGCCGCAGGTGAGGGGGCAGTCGGACCAGGGCGACCAGGGGGTCCAGGCTCCGTGCACTGTCAGGAAGGAGAGATAAGATAGATAAGATAAACTTTATTCGCATTAGACAACGGCCACAGCAACATAAAACAAGCAATATATACAAATAAAATATATACAAATAAAAAAGACAGCAATGGGTAAAAAGGGCAATCAAATGGCCAAGATCATCGTTCAATAGTGGCCCTTAATCTCATTGCACCCTCGATAAACCTAGCAACCTTTGCTGTTGTCTGATCATTTTGATCTGATAACAGAAAGAACAATGTGGCCTCAGATGGGCGGCCTGGGATGGTAAGAGTGGGGTGATGATCTCATTCCTCAGATCTTTGTAAAGGGGACAGGACAGGAGAACATGAGCCACTGTTTCCAGACTGCCATCTCCACAGGGGCAGAGTCGTTTCTCAGTTGGAAACTTTTGGTATCTGCCACATTCCCCTTCCTAGCTAGGCCTCCAAGGTCCCTCTTGTCCCCAAGTCCTCTGCGTGTTTTCCCCTTCGCAAACCAGCTCATCGCATCCACCCGTAAAATGTCAATTGCATTTCGACAGGGACAAATGTCACGTTCTACCTTTAGGCAGGAAGAAGCAGTTGCACCGATAAAAGATGGGGGGGACACCTGGCTTGTCAGTGGTACATGTGAAAAGGATCCCCTAGGGGTCTTGGTGGACTACAAGCTTAACAAAAGTCAACTGTGTGATGCAGCAGCAAAAAAGGCTAATGCTATTCTGGGCTGCATCAATGGAAGTCTTGTGTCCAGATCGACTGTGCTGTCTGGGGTGATGGGACTTGTAGTCTAAAAACATCCGGAGGGCACCAGGTTGGCAGAAGTCTGTTTATGTTGACCGATGCCCCAGATCAGCTGATGAAGGAAAGACTCACCTGCGCAGGCGATGTCCAGGCAATAGACGCCCTCCGGGGTGCAAATACTGGGGAAAGGATGGAGAAAAGGGGTCAGCGATTGCCAACGGGCTGACAGCCCTTCACCTGGCTTCCAATCTCCAACCACCCAGGAGACGCCATTAAGCAGTTGGTCCCTTTCCTTCCTTGCCCTGATCGGGCCACAGTGATCCATGCGACGGTCATCTCCAGGCTTGACTACTGTAATTCGCTCTACGCGGGGCTGCCCCTGAAGCTGACCCATAAACTCCAGCGGGTGCAGAATGCTGTGGCGAGACTCCATACGGGGTCCTTGCCGTGGGATGACATTCATCCAGTGCTTTACCAGTTGCACTGGCTCCTGGTGGAGTACAGGGTCAGGTTTAAGGTGCTGGTTTAAAGCCCTTCACGGCCTAGGACCCATGTACCTATGGGACTGCCTCTCCTGGTATGCCCCTCAGAGGACCTTAAGGGCCACAAATAACAACACTTTGGAGGTCCCAAGTCCACAAGGTGGTTAGATTGGTCTGAACTAGGGCCAGGGCCTTTTCAGTGCTGGCCCCGACATGGCGGAACGCTCTGTCACAAGAGATCAGGGCCCTGCGGGACTTGACATCTTTCTGCAGGGCCTGCAAGACAGAGCTGTTCCTCCTGGCCTTTGGTTTGGACTCAGTCTGACCCTTCTGTTTCCCTCCCCTTATGGTTTTGATCTATGGGCTACTTTTAAAATTTTAACCTGTATTTTAAATTGGGTTTTTAAATGTTTTTACTGTAATTTTACAGTAACTTTTAGCCGCCCTGAGCCCGGCTCTGGACGGGGAGGGCAGGGTATAAATAAAATTTATTATTATTATTATTATTATTATTATTATTATTATTATTATTATTGTCATTGCTCCATCTAGCCCAGTAGTGTCTACTCTGACTGGCAGCAGCTCTTCAGAGCCACCTGGAGAGGAACAGTCCTTAAAGAACCTAAGAAAAGAGGCTGTGGGAAACCAGGAATCAGGATCTGAACACAAGAGCAATAATTGACAATAATCAATCAATATTACATGGGACTCCGCTCCCTGAGTCGAGCGAGGCACTCACCATTGCTGGCACTCTCCCAGGAGCCAGGTGCTCCCCAGACCCATCTCCCGCCCCTCGTGCAGGCACAGAGGGGGGCAGGATCCTGGGGCGCAGGGGCGAGTCTGCAGCTCCTCCTGAAGACACTCAGCAGCCCATGAGCCGGATGTGGGGGTCCTGGAGGGGGAGGAAAAACAGGCAGCCTTCATCGCGTGCTGGGCCAGAAGGAAACAGACCCCCCCTCACCAATTCATTTTAATTTATTTATTTCATTGCCTTTGTCTCCTGCTTTCTCCCCCTCCAAGGAGTTCCACGGGGAAGTCGCCTTGAGCTCCCCAGAGGAAAAGGCAGGATTTAACACAATCAACCAATCAATTGCACCAGGAACAACGTTCTGACAGATCACTCACAGCATGTTATTCTTTGAAGGAGAACTACCTGAAAATGATTGACAGATGGTATTTAACTCCAAGTAGACTTGCTAAGATGTACTGTACAAGGCAGAATCAGATTAAGTGCTGGAGGTGCAAAGAGGCGGCCGGAACGTTCTTGTAAAACGTCTTGTAAAAGGGTAAAAAGGTATTGGGAAATGATCTATAACGAATTGAAAAAAATATTTAAAAGTACTTTCCCAAAAAGCCCAGAATCCGTTCTGTTGGGGATAATTCAGACTGAAATTCCCATGTTTCAAAAAAGGTTATTTATGTATGCTACTGCTGCAGCTAATGTGTTGTTAGCCCAAAAATGGAAAATGAGTGAGGTCCAAACCAAAGAAGAATGGCAACTTAAACTGTTGGAATATGCGCAGCTTGCGGATCTAACACAGAATTAGATAACAAGAAGAACATTCATTTAAAGAAGTTTGGGAAATGTTTATCGGTGGATAATTGCAGTTACAGATAGGTAGCCGTGTTGGTCTGCCATAGTCAAAATAAAAAAATTCCTTCCAGTAGCACCTTAAAGACCAACTAAGTTAGTTCTTGGTATGAGCTTTCGTGTGCATGCACACTTCTTCAGATACACAGAATTAGATAACAAGAAGAACATTCATTTAAAGAAGTTTGGGAAATGTTTATCGGTGGATAATTGTGTACACTTGAAAACCCCGGCAGCACTAAGATAAATTCAACAGTGTAAATAAGTTTTGATGGAAGAAACAACGGAATACTGAATGGTTTAGTTTATATAAAATACGCAGGGATTTATGGTATGCAGAATGAACCATGGAAAGAAAAGAAGGGAAGTTATTGATATTTTAAGGTTTTTATTTAAGTGTTTATTTAAGTATTAATTAGGAAGATTAAGTTTTTTTATGCATGTAAATCTGTTTTTTCTTCTTTCTTTTTTCTGTATTTTCTTCTTTTCTTTTTTCTGTATTTTCTTTTTTTCTTTTTTCTTAATTGTTTTTTCTTTAATTTTCTTTTTGTAGTATGAGACTGTAAATTCTTTGTATATGTGTGTAATTTAAATTAATAAAGTTTATTTTTTAAAAAAGAAGAAGATATTTTAAGGTTGTCTAAATGGATATTCTAAATTGTAAAACAGAAAATTTAATAAAAATCACACACACACACACAACTTTCTGGCAGTGACAGCCCTCGAGAGATTGCGGACTGGGTGGCCACCGGTCATGGATGCTTTAGCCGAGATTCCTACATGGCAGGGGGGTTGGACTAGATGACCCCCAGGGTCCCTTCCAACGCCACGTTTCTATGATTCCCCGAATAATACCTGAAGCGGGTGTGCAGGCCGTTCCCGCAGGTGACGCTGCACTGGGACCAGCTGGACCAGAGGCTCCAGGCGCACTCGCTGGGGGCGCAGGTGTGGTTGGTGCAGAGCAGCCTCCCCCCGGAGCAGGTGCAGTTGTCGCACCCGTCGTCGCGGACACTGCCCGGCGCCCAGCTGTGCCCCTGGGCATCGGTGCACTCGCAGTGGGCGGGGGGGACGCAGGCGCCGTCTTGCTCCAGCGTCCCTGGGGGAGGAGAGTGGGGGGGGAGAGCAGGAAGGGGAAAGCAGGTGAGGAAGGGGGCTGAGACCCACAGGCAGCTGGAATCAGGGGGCTGGAAAAACCGGCTCTTCCCACCTGCCTTGCCCCCTTCTCCCTTCCTGGCGCCCTTACAAGGAGCAGCTGCCATTCAAGCACTTATCCTTGCTCCCTGCCCACCTTCGCCAAGCTGGTGCCCCCCCCAGATGCCCCCAAGGAGGCTGAAAAGTGGCCTGAGCGCAACAACAGCCCTTTCCTCCCCTGTGACTCCCAGGAAGAAGATATTCAGTCTTCTGAGATTGGACACAGAATCCTGTAGTGATTTCATGCTCTTTATTGCAGCTTGTAAAACAGTGATTTAATTGCCCTACAAACCTCAGGCTTTTATATACATTATTTACACAAAGAGTCCCGTCTGATTGGCTGGTTCTGCTTCCCTCCTGGAGCCTGATTGGTCTTTTCCTGCAAGCCAATCAGGTGTTGCATTCTAGGATCCTACTTGCCTATTGTTCTAGGATCCAAGCTTAGTACATAACAGACACAGAACAGAGCCACTGGGGCTGGTGGCCGCTGACAGCCTTCTCCTCATTCTACTCATGTAAAAACACGCTGATTCCCAAACCATCTACGCAGTGGCGTAGCGTGGGGGGGTGCAGGGGGGCCCGGCCGCACCGGGAGCAACATCTGGGGGTTAGGGTTAGGGGGCGCAAATCCACGGGTTAGGGGGCGCAAATCCACGGGTTAGGGGGCGCAAATCCATGGGTTAGGGGGTGCAAATCCACGGGTTAGGGGGCGCAAATCCATGGGTTAGGGGGTGCAAATCCACGGGTTAGGGGGTGCAAATCCACGGGTTAGGGGGCGCAAATCCATGGGTTAGGGGGTGCAAATCCACGGGTTAGGGGGCGCAAATCCACGGGTTAGGGGGTGCAAATCCACGGGTTAGGGGGCACAAATCCACGGGTTAGGGGGTGCAAATCCACGGGTTAGGGGGCGCAAATCCACGGGTTAGGGGGTACAAATCCACGGGTTAGGGGGCGCAAATCCACGGGTTAGGGGGCGCAAATCCACGGGTTAGGGGGCGCAAATTACTTGCCCCGGGTGCTGACAACCCACGCTACGCCACTGCATCTACGGGCCAGATTTAGAAGGTGATTGGGCTGGATCCGGCCCCCGGGCCTTTGTTTGCCTACCCATGCTTAAGATTAAGAGCGTAAGGAGAGTCTTGCTGGATCAGGCCAACAGCCCATCCTGTTCTCACAGTGGCCAACCAGATACCCCAATGGGAAACCTGCAAGCAGGAGCTGAATGTGAGAGCAACGCTCCCCTCCGGAGCTTTCCAGCAGCTGCTCAGTTTTCCCTTTTCTGTACCTGTTCCAGCTTCACAAGGAGCGCCAATGTTACAACTGCAACAACTTGGGACCAGTCTGCCTGCGATATCGCTTTAGTGCCCATGTGCCTGCCTGATCTGCAGAACTCGTATCGGTACACAGAACCCCCATTCTGCATTTGTAGCAACTTGATCTTTTAGTGTGCCCTTGGGAACTTCCTGCCTCTTGATGATCAGGCAGGCTCTTGTTTATCTTTTTTTATTTTTTCAGACCGCCGTAAAGTTTTTTCCTACCACCCAGCGGCGTATGAAATTTACAAAATAAATAAAAAGGAAAGAACAATTGGGGGATATTCCCCCATGTTTAATTGCACCGTGGAGCACGCAAAAGAACATTGCTTACCCTCCGGGCACCGGCAGCCGGGCTCGCAGACCTCCCCGTCCTGGCAGGCGATGCCCTCCTGGAGGTCCCAGCAGTGGCGTGGGCATTCATTGGCGCAGCCCACCGTGAGCATCTCTGGGGGGCAGCCCTCCTCTGCTGGGAGAGAGCCGCCTGTTATCTTGCTGTGGTCCAGGGAGGGGAGTTGGGGGCAACTGGGGAGCAGCTTCCCCAGACTTTGGGGGGAAGACCTCTCCTCTTCCCCTCAACTTACCGCAGGGTTTGGCATTGCAGACTCGCACTTGGTACTTCTCCCCGGGGCAGTGGCGCCCCCCGTTTTTGGGTGGGGGGCTGGTGCACATCCTTGTCCGCGACGAGCGCCCCCCGCCGCAGAGGCGGTCGCACCACGACCAGGGGCTCCACTTGGACCAGGCACCGTCCACTGCAGAGGGGAGAAACAAGGGGGGGCTGAGGGGGGCTGCCCAGGGGGGCCAAATGGACATGCAAAGGGGGCCGGACACTCAGCTCCTTTCTGGGACAGGCTCTGAGCCATTCCTCACCCTCCCCTCCACATCCCAACAAATGCTGATGCACCCATCTTCGGAACTCCTTGCCACAGGATATTGTGTTTTGTTCCTTTATTTTGGCATGCCCAGCTTCTCCTCTGCATCCCCACAACAGAGAGTAAATGACCCCAGGCTTCACGGCCGGGTGAGGGGGATTTGAACCCTGGTCACGCAGGTCCTGCTCTGACGCTCTCTAACCCCTGCGCCGGGATGTTTGGAGGTCTCATTCCCAGAGGCTGGATTGTGGAGAATTGCCAGAGAGGGGTCTTGCCTGTTAGCTCTGCCCCTGAACTTCCCTGGGGGAAGCCGGCCAAATCTTGAACTCGGGCGCTGGCTGACCAGAGGAAAGAGGCAAGGGATCTCTACTTTCTCCGAAATTAAGGCCCACCTGGGCTGGCTGTAATAAGTCATAAAAGCACCTGCTGGATCAGGCCAAAGGGGGCCATCTGGTCCAGCATCCTGTTCTCACAGGGACCACCCAGATGCCCATCACTGGAAACCTGCAAGCAGGATCTGGGCACAAGAGCAGCCCTCTCCTTCTGGGGTTTCCTGGGGTCTTCAGAAGCATTTCTGCCTCCGACTAGCCTGGCTAGTAGCCCTCCTTCACTCTCTCCTCCTCCTCCATGAATTTGCCTAATCCTCTTTTAAAGCCAGCTGTGCTGGTGGCCATCCCTGTGGCAGGGAGTTCCACAGTCTAGCAATGTTGTTATAGCGCGATGAGGGTGAAAAGTGTTGGGATGCGTCCGGGGAGACAAGGGCATCAGGTAGGCCCCCAGCTGACTCCAGCCACCGGCCAGCAGCCGGGTGATCTCCAGTCTTCAGAACAGCATCAAACAGCGACACAATCCTCAGAAGCCTTCAGAAGACTTGAGCACACTCTTATCAGAAGAGTGAATAACTTCTCATAACGGAAGTGGCGGACAGAAACATGTGTAAGCATTATTTACAAGCGTTTATTCAGCATAGTTCAGGAACAAAGGAAAAACATGTCTGCATCCCTTTATGTCCAAGCACACATCAAGATAGCAAAAGCAATATACAAACGGAAGTTCCCAGCAGACTGTGCTGGAAGTAAACAGGCATGTGACACACAAGAGTCATGCCTGTTCCTTTTAAGGTGGAACGGAACTATATCCTAACAAAAAGGCCTTTCTCTGCCCACTTTCTCTATGCCATGGAGAACTTGGAGGGGAGACAGAAGCCAGCGAGCCCCAAGCGGGACCTGCGTGCGACTCCTACCTTTGCAAGCCTGCAGGTTGCAGAACTGCCGCTCCGCGTTGGCCGTCAAGATATCTTGGCACCAGTGCCCTCCTTGCCCCGGCGGGTTGTAGGTCCGCAGGCGCTGCTGCTGCCCGACCCCACAGCTGCGGGAACATGCGCTCCAGGGAGACCAGGCGTTCCAAGTGCAGTTCAGGCCCAGGCATTCCTCGCCCTGGCACAGGGGGGCGTCTGCGGAGGGCAGCGGAAAAAGGCAGAGGGTCGTTCTGAGCCATTGCCTTTAAAAGAGCCTGCTGCTGGATCAGGCCAAGCGCCCACCTGGACCAGCATCCCGTTCTCTCAGTGGCCAAACAGATGCCCATTATGGGAAACCCACAATCAGGATTCGAACACAAGACCCTACTCTCCCCTCCTGTGGTTTCCAGCAAGCGGAATTCAGAAGCATCGCTGCCTGCAGCTGTTGAGGCAGAGCGCAGCCGTCCTGGCTAGTGGCCATTGCTGACCCTCCGTGAATTTGCCTAATCCTTTTTTAAAGCCATCTAGGTCGGTAGTGATGTAATTGAAGTGAGAGCTGGACCATAAAGAAGGCTGATCGCCGAAGAATTGTTGCCTTTGAATTCTGGTGCTGGAGGAGACTCTTGAGAGTCCCATGGACTGCAAGAAGATCAAACCTCTCCATTCTGAAGGAAATCAGCCCTGAGTGCTCACTGGAAGGACAGATCCTGAAGCTGAGGCTCCAATCCTTTGGCCACCTCATGAGAAGAGAAGACTCCCTGGAAAAGACCCTGATGTTGGGAAAGATGGAGGCCACAAGGAGAAGGGGACGACAGAGGAGGAGATGGTTGGACAGTGTTCTTGAAGCTACCAGCATGAGTTTGACCAAATTGTGGGGGGCAGTGGAAGACAGGAGTGCCAGGCGTGCTCTGGTCCAGGGGGTCACGAAGAGTTGGACACCACTAAACGACTAAACAACAACAACAACAGGTCAGTGGGCTGCACTGTGGGAGGGAGTTCCACAGTTTAACAGTGAGCTGCGTGACGATGGACCTCTTTTTATCTGCTCTTTTCACACTGTGTCGACCTCTTTATTGGGCTCTCCACCCTGACCCCAAAGGTCTCGTTCCCGGTCCATCACTTCCAGTTCAGACCCCGTGAGAAATTAAGATTCTTTGCCCCAGTTGAGCATCACTTTGCACCTGTTGGGGAAGGTCTTCCTGTGTTATTTCAGCCCACCCACTAACCGCTGGCTGTGAGCCCCTATAATTACAGCAATAATTTCATTATTTGTACCCTGCCCATCTGGCTGGGACTGCTCCCAGCCCCTCTGGGCGGCTGGCTCTGGGTCCCTCACCTGTGCACTGGGGCAGGTTGCACTCCCGCTCCTGGAAGGAGTCCCCCGTGCAGTTGGCCCACCCTTGGCAGAACCGCATGCGGGTCTTGAGGGCCGGCAGGTCGGGGTCACTGCAGGTTTTGGAGCAAGGCGTCCAGGGTGACCAAGGGGTGAAGCTGTCCTCCTCGGAGCCTGGAGAGTGGGGCAGAGGAGCAGCTTGGCTTTCCGGGTGGGGTGGGGTTCCGCTGCCTCCCCAAAGGGAACAGGCCGAGGAGAGGACTTCTCAACCAGATTTTGGGTCCTCCCCATTCCTCTCCCCACCGCCTTACCTGGGACGACAGAGACAGGCTGTTTTGTGGGTCCAGTCACCGCTGTGAAGGAGGAGGAAAAGAACATGCTGGGGTTAACCAATGGTGTCAGTCTTCACAGGTTTCCCCTTGTCTCCACCATCATGCAGGTACCACTGGTGGAAACCCCCGCCTGCGTGTCATCACAGGGCGATGATCTGTGGCAAAACCAGTGGCCAGACAGCTGGGGCCCTGACCGGCTGCGTGCCGTTGGGCAGAGCGAAGAATAACAATAATAAATAATAATTTTGTTTTTTATACCCCACCCATCTGGCTGGAATTCTCCAGTAGACCAGAAGGAGCGTCTTCATCCCCATCGTTCAGCCCGGACACTGAGGTCCAGCACCGAGGGCCTTCTGGCAGTTCCCTCACTGCAAGAAGTGAAGTTACAGGGAACCAGGCAGAGGGCCTTCTCGGTAGTGGCGCCTGCTCTGTGGAACACCCTCCCATCAGATGTCAAGGAAATAAACAACTATTTGACTTTTAGAAGACACCTGAAGGCAGCCCTGCTTAGGGAAGTTTTTAATGTTTGATCTTTTATTAAAAAAATTAATATCCTGTTGGGAGCCTTCCAGAGTGCCTGGGGAAACTCATCTAGATTATTATCATTTTCCAGTCTTCCTTTATTGTTTATTGTTTTTAATTTTTTTTTTACCAACAACCAAAACACAAACAGCGTAAACAAACAGTGAAACCCCCCAGACGGCCAATACATTGGGTATACATAGACAATAATAACATATTCAAATCAGCCATATGTACAAGTCTATATACCTTAACACTCCTCCCTCCACGAGGTTTATTTAACTTTTAACATTTTAATTGCCCCAAATTGTTCAAACCTGCCCAAATAATTCAATATCTTCTCAAACCAATCCTCCTCCTCCTCATTGACCTTAAATTCTTTCACTTTATGTATCTTCACAGTTATTCGAAGATAATAATATTTTTCAAGTTTTCCCTCCATTGGTTCACCCCAGCTCTTCTGCATTTTTCCAGGAACTCGCTATAACCTGTCTGGCTGCAATTACCATCAATTTTACCCATTTACATTATTATTATTATTATTATTATTATTATTATTATTATTATTATTAGGCACCTTTGCTCCTGACTCTGGCCTCTTACCTTGGCAATCCAGCGTCTGACAGTACTTGATGTCCACTCGAGGGCCGGCGCATCCCTTCCCGCCGTTGGCAGGCTTGGGGTTGGCGCACTCTCTTGTCCTGGTCATGTTCCCCAGCCCCCCGCAGGTTAAGGAGCAGGGGGCCCACGGGCTCCAGGCTGAGAAGCCCCCGTCCACGGGGCAGCGGGAGAAAGCGCAGACCAGCTGCCCGTTGCGGCAGGAGCTGAACGGAGGAGATGCGACAGTCGGGAAGAGTCTCAAAGTCAGTTGCGATTCCTGCCTTTGCAGAGGGTTGGTCTAGATGACCCCTATGGGTCTCCTTCCAACATTTCTATGATAATCCTCAAGAGTATCTCCAGGTAAGGATGGGAAAAGGCTCCTCACTGCCTGGAGAACTGCAGTTGACCAGGCAGAGCCATAATCTGACTCAATACAGTGGTCCCTTGGTTCTCAAACGCTTTGGTTCCCAAATGCCAAAAACCTGAAAGTAAGTTTTCCGGTTTTCAAACGTTTTTTAGGGTGGCTGTCAGCTATTGTTTCTGGGGCGTCTGCACCAAATCAGAAGCTGCGCCTTGGTTTTTGAACATTTCGGAAGTCAAATGGACTTCCGGAATGGATTAAGTTTGGCGCTTTTGTTTTTGCTGTTTATTTTGCATTTTTTGTTTCTGAGGCTTTTTCGGTTCATTGTTTTTGTGACCGTGTGGAACCCAGTTCAGCTACTGACTGATTGATTGTGTGACTGAGAAAATGGATAAAAGCCCCCCATCCAAACAAGGACTATCATCAGTGCAGTAAAAAAAATTAATTATCATTTTTATCAGTGCATTGATTCTTGCTTTCGTTTTATGGATCAGTGGTCTCGTTAGACAGTAAAATCCATGTTAAATTGCTGTTTTGGGGGTTGCTTTTAAAAGTCTTGAACAGATTAATCCATTTTGAATTACTTCCTACGGGAAAGCGCACCTTGGCTTTGGAACGCTTTGGTTTTGGAATGGACTTCCGGAAGGGATTAAGTCTGAGAACCAAGGTACCACTGTATCAGGCAGCCTCTTGGGATGCTACACAAATGTGAACGCTGATGGCAAACCTGGAACCAGCAGCTGGAATTATTACCCGGCATATAAGACGACCCCCGACTTTTTAACCTCTTTTCTGGGGTTAAAAAGCCGTCTTATACGCCGGAATCTACGGTAATAAAAATAGCTTAATAATAATTTAAAAAGCTTAATATTTATTTATAAACCATCTCTCCCCCCCCCCCTTGCTGGGCTCAAGGTAGCTTACAGATAAAAAGAAGAATATTCACCATTAATCGAATTAAACTACAGTGGACGCTTGGGTTGTGAACATGATCCGTGCGTGATGCACGTTCGCAACCCGCAGCGTTTGCAACCCGTGTCTGCGCACATGGGGGTTGCGATTTGGCGCTTCTGAGCATGTGTGACTGCCGAAACCTAAAAGTAACCCGTTCCGTACTTCCGGGTTTCGGCAGTCCGTAACCCAAAAAAATGCAACCTGAAGCATCTGTAACCCGAGGTATGACTGTATATCTATACAGCGGTGACCCGCAAGACGAATGCCTCGCAAGACGGAAAACCCGCTAGACGAAAGTGTTTTCCGTTTTGGAGGTGCTTCGCAAAACGAATTTCCTATGGGCTTGCTTCACAAGACGACAATGCCTTGCGAGTTCCTGCGGGTTTTTTCCCCTCCCCCCCTTTTTCCCAAGCCGCTAAGCCGCTTATCAGCTGATCCGATCAGCAGATAAGCTGCTAAAAGCCGCTAATAGCGCTAATCCGCTAATCCGTCAATGGGCTTGCTTCGCAAGACGAAAAAACCGCTAGACGAAGAGAATCACAGAACGGATTCTTTTCATCTTGCGAGGCACCACTGTATGTTGTATTCCTTTCTTTGAATTTGTGCCATTTAGGTTTTTTAAACCTTTTCGTAAAGGCAACACTAGAATTTTCACAGCTGAGTCCTCAACTCTTTATTACTGTGCTTTGCTAGACGAAGAGAATCACAGAACGGATTCTTTTCGTCTTGCAAGGCACCACTGTATATAAAATCTGTTCCAAATATACAAATCATAAGAAAAAAATCATAAGCTGGGTGGGCAGCTGGCATGCCAGGGGGGCAGCCACGTGTGGGATGAGACACTTTCCGCTCGTCTTTCAGGCCGCAGTGGCACAGGTGAGGCTTTGCCTGTGAGCTGGGCATGGAGGGAACGGTTGAAATCTGACCGAGCTCACCAGTTGCTGCAGGCAGAATAGATGGTGGTATTTGGGGCAACTTCTTCTCCCAGGGAGAGCCGCTGACCCTGGGCTGTGAGGATGTCCAGAGGGGGGCTGGGATCCGAGGAGTGGTTCCAGAACATCTTGAGGGCGTCTTCGGTCAGGATGCAGGGGCACTCCTAAGGCAGAGAGAAAGAGAAAGAGAGGGGACTTGTAAAGAGGTCAATTTACAGATTGTTCTCTTTTCAAGAAAACTACATGAAAATGATGTATAGATGGTATGTAACACCAGTACAGATAGCAAGAAATATGCTGGAAATGTAAAGAAAAGGAAGGGACCTTTTATCAAATGTGGTGGGAATGCAGAGAAATTTTAAAAAATTGGGAAATGATATATAATGAGCTGAAGAAAATGTTTAAAATGACATTTGTAAAAAAAACAACCTAGAAGCATTTTTGTTAGGGATTGTAGGACAAGACCTGCCAAGGAAAATAAGGAACTATACGCTACAACAGCTGCAAGAGTCTTGATAGCACAAGGATGGAAGAATGAAGAAGCCCCGACAAAAGAACAGACGCAAGAGAAATTGATGAGCTATGCACAGCTGGCGAAACTGACATGCAAATTGCGAGATAAGGACAACTGTGACTTTAAAGAAGAATGGGAACTTTTTACAAATTACTTAAAACAACAACAAAATGAACTGGACTCCTTGGCAGGTTTTGAATAAACATACACAAATTTAGTGAGGGTCAACATAGTAGATAGATAACACAAGGATGTATACAATTTTACAATATGCAGAGAACAACATGAGTTGAGAAATCAGAGAGAGGAACTGAGAGAAGTTTTGGGGGGAGGGAGAAAAAAAGGGGCAGGGAAATAATGAAGACGATTTATTTTAATAATTTGTTGTGTAGAAATTATTATTATTAAACCACTCCAAAGCACACCGAGATCCAGCTCTGAGGGCCTTCTGGCAATCCCTCCCTGCGAGAAGCGAGGTTACAGGGAACCAGGCAGAGGGCCTTCTCGGTGGTGGCGCCCGCCCTGTGGAACACCCTCCCTTCAGATGTGAAGGAAATAAGCAGCTATCTTCCCTTTAAAAGACACCTGAAGGCAGCCCTGTTCCGGGAAGTTTTTAATGTCTGTTGTTTTATTGCATTGTTGTTGTTTAATATATATTATTTTTTACCAACCACCAAAACACAAACAGTGAAACCCCCAGGCGGCTGATACATTGGGTATACAATATTCAATAATATACATATTCAATAATAACATATTCAAATCAACCTGTTGTTGTTATATTATTTCTGTTGGGAGCCACCCAGAGTGACTGGGGAAACCCAGCCAGGTGGGCAGGGTATAAATAATAAATTATTACAGTGGCGCCTCGCAAGACGAAATTAATCCATTCCGCGAGTCTCTTCGTCTAGCGGTTTTTTCGTCTTGCGAAGCAACCCTATTAGCGGCTTAGCGGATTAGCGGCTAAAAGGCTATTAGCGGCTTAGAAAAAGGGGGGGGAGAGAAAAAAAATCGGAACACTCGCAAGACGTTTTCGTCTTGCAAAGCAAGCCCATAGGGAAAATCATCTTGCGAAGCAGCTCAAAAACGGAAAACCCTTTCGTCTAGCGGGTTTTCCGTCTTGCGAGGCATTCGTCTTGCGGGGCACCACTGTATTAGTATTAGTACTAGTATTAGTATTATTAAAAGTAAAGGTAAAGGTAAAGGGACCCCTGACCATTCGGTCCAGCCATGACCGACTCTGGGGTTACGGCACTCATCTCACTTTACTGGCCGAGGGAGCCGGCGTACAGCTTCCGGGTCATGTGGTCAGCAGGACTAAGCCGCTTCTGGCAAACCAGAGCAGCGCACGGAAACGCCGTTTACCTTCCCGCCGGAGCGGTACCTACTTATCTACTTGGACTTTGAGGTGCTTTCGAACTGCTAGGTTGGCAGGAGCAGGGACCGAGCAACGGGAGCTCACCCCGTCACAGGGATTCGAACCGCTGACCTTCTGATCGGCAAGCTCTAGGCTCTGTGGTTTAACCCACAGCGCCACCCGTGTACCTATTAGTATTATTAGTTGAGTGCAAAAATTCAGCCTTCCTCAGCACAGGTTTTGGGGAAGGACTTTTGTTCAGGGGTGGAGCTCAACGGCTATGTTCTACCTCCACCACCAGACCAACAGAGAGAGACAGAGAAGTTCAGAGGTCCCCACCTGGACGCAGGCCCCTTCGTGCTGGTAGGTGCCCACGGGGCAGTGGCACCCTTCCTCGCAGCCGTCCGAGAAGCAGTCCATCTGGCGGGTGAGATGGGCGCAGCTGTAGGGGCACCCCTCTTCCTGCAGGCATTCGCGGTACAGACGCCCCACCGGGCAGCCGACCTCTGAGAGGATGGGAGAAGGATCGCAGCAGTGACCAGAGGCCCTTCTCTCGGTCCCTTGGGGAGGACCAGTGCCGGATTTATGTATAAGCTGAACAAGCTATAGCTTAGGGCCCCACTATCTTGGGGCCCCCCAAAAAATTAAAGGAAAAAAACCCTGGATGTGCATTTCCAAAATATAAGATAAAAAACAAATAGAATAAAACCTACCTACAGCAACAGTGTTTTGTGTTGTGTCAGTTCCTATGGTTTAAGTCATGGGCCCCGCCTGCTAGTCTGCTTCCTCAGATATCCCTGGTTTGCTCCTTTCTATATATAGGGTGCCTACATTCTGCTATTTATAATTATTAGTAGTTGGCATCTTATATTTACACCTATTATTATTTCATGTTATGGGAAGTTTCTAGAGACTAGATGCTGAGTCTTTGTAAATGGTGTTTCTAAAGGAACTTTTGTTCTTGCCAAATGCCAATGTGTTTGCATTATTAAGTTCGTTATGAAAAAAATAATTTTAACTTAGAGCTTAGTAATTATTTCACTATTAATATACTTCTTCTTAATTGTATTTCAGTTCAGCAATTACTTTGATATAATGCATATTTTGTGATGTGCAAATGGCTTGAGATACCTATGAGGTCCATAAATGACCATATAGTATATATTCAACACACAAAAAACAGCAACAATTTGTTGCTGACAAAGGACAGCTGGACATAGAAAGGGCCCCGTCACCTTCAGCAGCTTAGGGCCTCAATCAAACCTAAATCTGGTCCTGGTGGGGATGCCTAGCAGGGCCTTCTCGGTGGTGGCTCCTCCCAGGCAACTTTGGAACTCGCTGCCTGGAGAAGCTGGATTGGGGAGGAGACAGTGGGCCGGTCTGCGCTCCTCAGAGAAGTGGGGAGTTTCAATATTGGGGGGAGCCACCCAGTGGCAGAGGAACCCTCTCTGTCGCTTGGGGCGGGGGCAAACCGCTGGTGATGCACGCAAGACATCTGTATGGACTGTGCATGCGCGGCAGCCGGTACAGTAGCCACGTGAGCGGTGCCCACACTGACTGCGTGTGCGCCCTCCACCGCTTTACAGCTGGGGGAGGCAGCAGGCATCTTGTCACCCCCACCCCAGGGCGGTGCCCGGGGCGACCTGCCCCCTCCCCCCTTCGCACGCCCCTGGAGCCACCGACTCACCAAGGCACACTTGTGTGTTGCAGGTCTTGCTCTGGGCGGCCAAGCCCTGGCAGTCGGGCTCCCGGCACCGGCGGATCCGCATTTGCTCTCCTCCTCCGCAGGAGACACTGCAGGGCTCCCAGGGGGACCAGTCGCCCCAGGCGTCCTCCTCTGTGGGGAGACGGAGGGGGCAGAGGTCAAGGGAAGGAAGGAGGGAAGGAAGGAGAGAGGGAAAACAAAACAAAACAGGAATGTTTCTTATTATTATTTTAAAAACTTTAGAACAGAAAAGTTAAAAACACATCAGTTTTTTATTATTTTTATCACTTTATTAATTTAAATTTTAAAAATAATTACAATAATAATAATAATCTGTTGGGAGCAGCCCAGAGTGGCTGGAGAGGCCCAGTCAGATCAGCGGGGTATAAATAAATTATTATTATTATTATTATTATTATTATTATTATTATTATTATCCCCCCCCCCCCCCGTTCTCCTCACCTGGGCATTCTTGCTGGCTCTGGCAAGCTTTCTGCTGCTCCCTGCTGCCCAGGCACCCCCTGCCTCCGTTCTGGGGGGCTGGGTGGTCACACTCGCGGAATCGGAACTCGGCTCCCTCCCCGCAGCTCTGGCTGCAGGGCGACCAGGGCCCCCAGGGGCCCCAGCCCCCATCCAGGCGGCACGAGGGGTCCACGTCGCATTGCAGGTGCCCGGCCACGCAGGTGCTGGGGGGAAGAAAGGGGGCAGAGGGATGCTAATGGCCGGGCAGACATAACACCATTCACATTTCTTTATTTTTATTTACAGAAATTGTTTCCATTCTGTGTTTCACATTTCCACGAGAAAAAGAAGGAAAAGAATCTCTAAGTGGTTTATAAGCTGCTTTGAAACAGAAGGTCACAAAATGTCTGAATGAAAGATTATGAATAAAAAGCAAAGTCAAAATTCCATGTATAACTGTTCCGCATTTGTAAGAAACAGATTTTTCACTTTGGAACTGCCTGCCACTTGACAACAGTCAGCAGCCTTCATTGTACACTTTTGGCACCTGCTAAACATTTTGGTTTAGACAAGCCCAACCAGACATCTAGAATGTGGGTGGGGGTTTTAGTCTGGTTTTAGCTTACTGCTGATTTTTAATTTTGGGAAGGTATTAAATTGTTGTTTTTAATTGTTTTTTTAACCGATAAACTTACTGTTTTCTTTTCTTTTTGTAAACCACCTTGAGGCTTGTTTGTTTGTTTTTAAATGATTTTTATTAAATTTTTAACAATAAGTACATCAAACATCATATTTCCAAAACAGGAGCTACAAAATCCCCCAAACTGGAATTTCCACAGTAGTAACACACAAAAGAACTGATTTGGGTGTATAAAGAACTGATGGAGGGTGTATAAATCTTACCAAATAAACCAAATAAAGGTATTAAAAGCGTCATTAGCCTGCCTTGGCCAGACTCACCAGTTCTGGCAGGGCCAGTCACCGTCTCCCCAGGCTGGACGTACTCCCAGGGGGGGAGCCCTGACCACAGAGAGAGATTCCGTCCTTCGGGGACACCTGCCAAGATGAGAAGAGGAGGGAATAATTCAGAGTCGGCAGTTTCCTCCTGCTCCCCTTGCCCTCCTTGTGTGAATCAGGCCCCCTCCATCTTGAATTCCCTCCTCTAAAATCATAGAATCATCCAAAAATGTTATGAATAGTTGTGTTTTCTTTTATTTTTTCTCTTTTATATATTTTGTTGGTGTATTTGTATTTGTATTTACTTTTTTGTTTGTTATTTCTTTTGGTGAAGGGATTTTGTGCGTTTAATATGTGTTGCTTTGTTTTATGTTTGAAAACTTAATAAAATATTTATTATAAAAAATAAAAAATAAAATCATAGAATCCTAGAGTTGGAAGAGACCACAAGAGCCATCGAGTCCAACCCCCTGCCAAGCAGGAAACACCATCAGAGCACTCCTGGCATATGGTTGTCAAGCCTCTGCTTAAAGACCTCCAAAGTAGGAGACTCCACCACACTCCTTGGCAGCAAATTCCACCGTCAAACAGCTCTTACTGTCAGGAAGTTCTTCCTAATGTTTAGGTGGAATCTTCTTTCTTGTAGTTTGGATCCATTGCTCCGTGTCCGCTTCTCTGGAGCAGCAGAAAACAACCTTTCTCCCTCCTCTATGTGACATCCTTTTATATATTTGAACATGGCTATCATATCACCCCTTAACCTCCTCTTCTCCAGGCTAAACATGCCCAGCTCCCTTAGCCGTTCCTCATAAGGCATCGTTTCCAGGCCTTTGACCATGTTGGTTGCCCTCCTCTGGACACGTTCCAGTTTGTCAGTGTCCTTCTTGAACTGTGGTGCCCAGAACTGGACACAGTACTTCAGGTGAGGTCTGACCAGAGCAGAATACAGTGGCACTATTACTTCCCTTGATCTAGATGCTATACTCCTATTGATGCAGCCCAGAATTGCATTGGCTTTTTTAGCTGCCGCGTCGCGTCACACTGTTGGCTCATGTCAAGTTTGTGGTCAACCAAGACTCCTTGCCAAATGATTGCCAAGCCCAGCAAACTGGGCTGGGAAAGATCTGTGGCTCAGTGGCAGAGCAGCTGCTTGGCCTGCAGAAGGTCGCTGGCTGTATGTAACTGCTCTTTAGGTGTGCTTGCTGTGACTGATCATGCAGTGCCTTTCTGCTATTCCGGAGAGCTGAAATAAACTCTTTCTCTGAACCTACCCTCGGTGTCTATTGGCTCCTCCCTCCCTCCTGGGAGCAACGATCACCCGACCCATGGGAAAGGTCTGAAAGGCTACAGTAGAACACGTGCTTGGCATGCAGAAGGTCCTTGATTCATTCAATTCCCCTGCCTGAAATCCTGGAGAGCTTCTGCCAGCCAGTGTGGTCATTACAGAGTTAGACGGGGCAATGGCTTGACTCCAAACAAGGCAGCTCCCTTTGTTAAAGATTCATTCATCCACTCACCCAGCCAGGTGTTCTGGTACTTGCAGCGGCAGTGCACTGGCGGGACGCACACACCATCCTGCAGCAGCTGCCCGCCTGGGCAGGCGCACGAGAGCTGGCACTGGGGGCTGTCCAAGCAGGCGGTGTCCGGGTGCAGGTCCTCGCAGGTGCGTGGGCAGGCCTTGCCGCAGGGGAACGACACCTGCCCCCCGCTGCAGTCTGGGGGGAACCAGGAAAAAGCCACTCAGATCTCTGCGCGCACCTTGGGGATGATGTTTCACTCTGTGTTCCCACCCAGGGCCGGATTTAGGTTTGATGCGGCCCTCAGCTACTGAAGGTAATGGGGCCCTTTCTATGTCCAGCTGTCCTTTGTCAGCAACAAATTGTTGCTGTTTTTTGTGTTGAATCTATGCTATAGGGTCATTTATGGACCTCATATCTAAAGCCATTTGCACATCACAAAATACGTACTTTATCAAAGTCATTGTTGTACTGAAATACAATTAAGAAGAAGTATATTAATAGTGAAATAATTATTAAGCTCTAACTTAAAATGATTTTTTTTCATAACAAACTTAATAATGCAAACACATTGTCATTTGGCAAGAACGAAAGTTCCTTTAGAAACACCATTTACAAAGACTTATCGTCTAGTCTCTAGAAACTTCCCATAACATGAAATAATAATAGGTGTAAATATATGATGCAAACTACTAATAATTATAAATAGCAGAATGTAGGCACCCTATATATAGAAAGGAGCAAACCAGGGATATTTGAGGGAGCAGGCTAGCAGGCGGAGCCCATGACTTACATCACAGGAGCCGACACAACACAAAACACGGTTGCTGTATGTAGGTTTTGTTTTATTTGTTTTTTAATCTTATATTTTGGAAATGTACATCCCATCAGATGTCAAGGAAATAAACAACTCTCTGACTTTTAGAAGACATCTGAAAGCAGCCCTGTTTAGGGAAGTCTCTAATGTTTGATGTTTTATTGTGTTTTAAATATTCTGTTGGGAGCTGCCCAGAGTGGCTGGGGAAAGCCAGCCGGGTGGGCAGGGTATGTATGTATGTATATATATATATGTATGTATGCATAAATAAATAAATATTATTATTCCTGTTAATCAACATCAATCTCTTAGCAACCCTTAGGGCAGCTGGGCTCCATTTTCGCTCTCCCATTGTCACTTTCCACGCAACAGCTATAGAGTTCAAACGAAAATTCTCATCTGAAAATCTTAAATTCTTCTCCAACATATTATTGATATAATCTCATGCTTTCTCCCAATACTTACTCACTGTGGGCCAGTGTTAAAGCAGGTGTTTCAAAGGAGCCTTATCCAATGAATTTATTACCAATAAAAAAAAGTCTGGTGGGCGCGAGCAAATTTTCCTTCTGAAAATGTGGGTATAAAGGGTGTTTTTTGAGGGCCACTGTTGTATGTTCTGACGTTCATCTCCCCAACATCAGTGCCACCCACACCTCTCTGGTTATGGGGCTTTGGGGGGGCAACAACAGCACCCCCCAGAATATCTTTTTTTGTTTTGTTTTTATTTTATTTTATTACCAACCACCGAAACACAAACAGTGAAACCCCCAGGCGGCTGATACATTGGGTATACAATATTCAATAATATACATATTCAATAATATTCAATAATAACATATTCAAATCAACTATATGTACTCTTCTATATACCTTAACACTCCTCCTTCCACAAGGTTTATTTAACTTTTAACATTTTAATTGCCCCAAATTGTTCAATTAATTCAATATCTTCTCGAACCAACCCTCCCCTTTCTCACTGACCCTTTCATTCTGTGTATCTTCACAGGTATTCTAAAATTATCCGCCCAGCCCATTGCACCTTCTCACCTTCGCACTCGGTGACTCCGTCGTGGCACGGGAGGGTCTGCCGGGCTTCGCCAGGGCAGGGAAGCCCCCCAAAGCGGGCAGGGGGGTTGCTGCACTCCCGGATCCGGGCCGACTCTCCTCCGCAGGCGTCGCAAGGGGACCAGGGGCTCCACGTGCTCCAGGCCCCGTCCACTGTGAGGCGCAAGAGAAAAGGGGTGTGTGTGTGTGTGTGTGTCAGCTGAGCCCTTCCTCTGTCCTCGATATCAATTTTTATTAAGGGTATTAGACGTAAAATGCAATAAAAGCCAAACTGATGAAAAGAAGGTAAGTAGGAAAGAAGCGAGAATAAGCAAAGGAAAGAAGGGAAAATAAACACAAGGTGCTCCGGTATCTAGGAGTCTTGGTTGACCACAAACTTGACATGAGCCAACAGTGTGACGCGGCAGCTAAAAAAGCCAATGCAATTCTGGGCTGCATCAATAGGAGTATAGCATCTAGATCAAGGGAAGTAATAGTGCCACTGTATTCTGCTCTGGTCAGACCTCACCTGGAGTACTGTGTCCAGTTCTGGGCACCACAGTTCAAGAAGGACACTGACAAACTGGAACGTGTCCAGAGGAGGGCAACCAAAATGGTCAAAGGCCTGGAAACGATGCCTTATGAGGAACGGCTAAGGGAGCTGGGCATGTTTAGCCTGGAGAAGAGGAGGTTAAGGGGTGATATGATAGCCATGTTCAAATATATAAAAGGATGTCATATAGAGGAGGGAGAAAGGTTGTTTTCTGCTGCTCCAGAGAAGCGGACACGGAGCAATGGATCCAAACTACAAGAAAGAAGATTCCACCTAAACATTAGGAAGAACTTCCTGACAGTAAGAGCTGTTTGACAGTGGAATTTGCTGCCAAGGAGTGTGGTGGAGTCTCCTTCTTTGGAGGTCTTTAAGCAGAGGCTTGACAACCATATGTTAGGAGTGCTCTGATGGTGTTTCCTGCTTGGCAGGGGGTTGGACTCGATGGCCCTTGTGGTCTCTTCCAACTCTAGGATTCTATGATTCTAGGGTATAATTATATCGTAACCCAGGCTTCCTCGAACTCAGCCCTCCAGCTGTTTTGAGACTACAACTCCCATCATCCCTGACCACTGGTCCTGCTAGCTAGGGATCATGGGAGTTGCAGGCCAAACCTGGGTCACAATATAATTATAACAGAGCACCTTGTGTTTATTTTCCCTTCTTTCCCTTCTTCCTTTGCTTTTTCTCTCTTCTTTCCTGCTTCCCTTCTTTCGATCAGTTTGCTTTTATTGTATTTTACGTTGAAAACCTTTAATAAAAATTGACCTGTTGTAACCCTTATTCCCTTCCTAAACACCCATCAACCCAGTCGGATGGGTGGGGTACAAGTAATAAAATTATTATTATTATTATTATTATTATTATTAAGCTGGGGTAGGAGTCAGAGTGTCAGGCTGGGAGCTGGAGGGACGAGGGTTCAAATCACTAAGGTTTAGCTATGAAGCTTGGTGGGTGCCAGTCGCTGCCCCTCAGCCTAGCCTACCTCTCAGGGCTGTTGTGACGATTAAATGGAGGGGAGAAGAACCCTCTAGGTCAGTGTTTCCCAACCTTGGGCCTCCAGCTGTTTTTGAACTACAATTCCCATCATCCCTGACCACTGGTCTTGCTAGCTAGGGATGATGGGAGTTGTAGTCCAAAAACAGCTGGAGGCCCAAGGTTGGGAAACACTGCTCTAGGTCACCCTGAGCTCTTCAAGGTGGGCTATAAATGCACAATAAGAATATTGCACAGTAGGAAGAAAGGGGGCTGAGCCTTTCCCTCCCTAACCACTTTTGCAAAAGTTCACTTGCGGGATCTGTGAGTCTGGTTTCAGCACCCAGCCACCCTCCTGTTTGCCCCAGAGGTTGGGTACCTGGGCAGAAAGAGTCCATGGGGCACTCCTTCCTCTGGAGCTGGATTCCGCTGTCGCCGTGCTGCTCCTGCAGTCCCTCGCACTCGGGACCCCCGTTCTGGGGCTTGGGGCAAGCACAGGCCCGGTAGCGGGTGACCATTTCGTTGCCACACGTCCTGGAGCAGGGGCTCCATGGGGACCAGTCGCACCACCCGCCGGGAACTGGAATAAGGAGGGAAAGAGGTTGCTGGGGTCCTAATAAAGCCTTCCCCACGGGGGGGGGGCTCCTTCCTCTCTGTGAGGCCCCCCCTCTGCCCGGCAAAACCACCCTGTGGGACTCACCGGCACAAGCTTGACTGGTGCAGATCAGCTTCCCTTTGGAGCAGGTGCTGGGAAGAGAGAAAGAGGCAGGAGATGGGAGACCCCCTTGCCTGTCATCGATGTGCAAGATAACAAAAGCATTCTGGGAAATGATTTATAATGAGTTGAAAAAAATGTTTAAAATAACATTGGGGGGGGGGGACAGAGGATTTTCTACTAGGTACCGTATTTTTCGTTCCACAAGATGCACTTTTTTCTTCCTAAATATTAAGGGGAAATGTCTGTGTGTCTTATGGAGCGAATGCGTGGTCCCTGGAACCGAATTGCCCAGGGGAGAGGTAAAAGCACATGGATCCTCAGGATTTTTGCATGGGGTCACCCCAAATTCACCATCAGGTCACATGTCTGTGGCCACAGCATGAACCACAAAAATTATACATTCACTGTTTCGTTCACAATATTTTTTTTCTTGTTTTCCTCCTCTAAAAACTAGGTGCATCTTATGGTCAGGTGCGTACTTTAGGTGCAGAGATTCTGAAGGAGCAGAAATTACTATTCATGTACGCAATGACAGGAGCGCAGATACTACTGGCCCAGAGATGGAAAGATGATAAAGTTCCGACCAGAGACAAATGGTTGATGAAGATGATGGACTACACCGAAATGGCAAAATTGACCAGGGAAATCAGAAACCAGGAAGAGAAGAACTTTAAGAAGGTATGGGGGGAATTGACAATGTGCTTAAGCAGCTAAAAACTTCGGCAGGATTGAGTCATGCTTGTAATATACGAATAATTATGGTAAAAAAATTGATTATTTGATTTTTTTGAAAAATAGAGAAAATAAGGGAGACAGTTGGGGAAAAAAGATTGATAATGGTAACCATGGAAAGGTGGAGGGGAGTTAAGGGGTTTAGGGAATCCTAAATGATGATGTTGATGTACTGTATAATGTTTGAATTCAAATTGGTTATGTAAAATTCAATCAATCAATCAATGAAAGGGTCCCTGAGAGCCATCTAGACCAGGGGTCGGAGGAGTACCGGAAATAGCTTGTGCGCATGTGCACGGCCTCCTTCGACCAGGATGTGCACTGGAAATAACGCTTGCGTATGTGCAAATAATGTGTGTGCATGCACACAAGCTATTTCCGGTGCTCCTCCGACCCGGAAGTGAGCAGCTGTGCAGCGCAGTGCTGGTAAGAGCGGGCGGCGGCAGTGGGTGGTGGGGGTCGCCGCAGGCCGGATAAACGAGTCCCTTCGGCCTTATCTGGCCTGTGGGCCTCAGTTTGGGGTCCCCTGATCTAGACTAACCTAAGGTTACCAGAAGCAATGACAAACCTAGACAGCATCTTAAAAAGCAGAGACATCACTTTGCCAACAAAGGTCCGTATAGTTAAAGCTCTGGTTTTCCCAGTAGTGATGTATGGAAGTGAGAGCTGGACCATAAAGAAGGCTGATCGCCGAAGAATGGATGCTTTTGAATTCTGGTGCTGGAGGAGACTCTGGAGAGTCCCATGGACTGGAAAAAGATCAAACCTCTCCATTCTGAAGGAAATCAGCCCTGAGTGCTCCCTGGAAGGACAGATCGTGAAGCTGAGGCTCCAAGACTTTGGCCACCTCATGAGAAGAGAAGACTCCCTGGAAAAGACCCTGATGTTGGGAAAGATGGAGGGCACAAGGAGAAGGGGACGACTGAGGATGAGATGGTTGGACAGTGTTCTCGAAGCCACCAGCATGAGTTTGACCAAACTGCGGGAGGCAGTGGAAGACAGGAGTGCCTGGCCTGCTCTGGTCCAGGGGGTCACAAAGAGTCGGACATGACTAAACAACAAGGTTACCAGACATCCCAGTTTCCCGGGGACAGTTCCCGGATTTACAAATCAGTCCCCTGGCAAAATCCATTGAAGTTGAAAAGTGTCCCTGGATCCATTGGAAAAAATCTGGTAACCTTAGACTAACCCCCTGCAATGCTGGAGTCACAAGTAAATGATAACAGAATCATGGAGTTGTAGAGGCCGGAGATGCGCCCAACCTGCTGCAATGCAGGAATCGCAGCTAGATAGTAGCTGGTCTTTGACCCCCGCCCCCCTGGAGGCCCCAGCCCTCAGCGCCACATCTCTGCCTGGCCTCACCAGGTGTTGCATCCGTCGGAGCGAGGGACGGTCTCTCCCGGCAGGTGTCGGAGGCCGGTGAGCAGGTCCAGGCAGGTGCACAGGTCCTTCTCCACGCAGGCCGTGCTGTTCAGGACTTTCCCCCTGGTGCAGTAGCAGCCGGGCTCGCAGGTCCACAGGCAGTGCTATGGGGGGGAGAGGGGGTGAGAGGGGGCAGGGAGACGAAGGCACAGGGCAGCGAGGAGGGGCAGGGTTCGCAAGAGAGCGCCGGGGTCTACTGCAGCCTCTGGCAACCCAGCGAGGCAGAGCTACGTGCGCCATGCAGCCATGTCAGCTGGGGCAGGCGGGAGTTGAACCTCACAGGGTTGTTGTGAGGATGACATGAGGAGAGGACTACCTTGAGCTCCTTGGGGCGGGAAGGTGGGGTAGGAAAGCAATTAATGAAGATGAAATATGTCCCAGAGACAAAAGCCGTGGGCTGGGGGTCCCCCAGGCAGAGATGCCCACCGGGCCTCACCGAGATGTCGTCGCAGGAGCGGGGGCAGGGGGGCCCACAGCGGCTGTAGGTGGCGCCCTCCAGGGCAGAGCAGTCCACACCTGCGCCAGGTAGGAAAGAAAGGACAGGTGAAGTCCCCGAGGGGAAGAGACTTGGGCAGTTCCCACAACCTCTCACCACAACCACCCTCCAAAAGTGCAGCTTCCTGGGCCCTAAAGTGACTGGCAGGGAGGCAGGCAGGCAAATGGATGTCGCCAGAGGGGGATCAGGAGATCAAGTAGCCCCCCAACGAGGCACTCACTTCCCCCACTTTCTGGACTCCTGTTACAGTCATACCTCGGGTTACAGCCGCTTCATTTTGCGTTTTTTTCAGGTTACGGACCACCAAAACCTGGAAGTACCAGTATGGGTTACTTCCGGGTTTTGGCGGTCGCGCATGTGCAGAAGCGCTAAACTGTGCTTTGCGCATGCACAGAAGTGCCAAATCGCAACCCATGCAGGTTGCAAATGCTGTGGGTTTCGAACATGCATCCCGCATGGATCATGTTTGCAACCCGAGCGTCCACTGTATGCCATGGTTACTCTCATTTCAGATATCTCAATATGTGGGGCGCACCTTGCCCACCTAGAAATATACTTTGCCCCTTCTGCACCCCTCCCCTGAATATATATATTTTTGCGGTGCCATCACTGAGCAGGCAGGAGGACTTTTCAGGCTCTATTGCAGGGCGAACGTGACGTCATGGCTGGAGACGTCGTCTGGGGAGATCTGGGTCCAAATCTTCTTCGGCCACAAAACTCTCTCTCTCTGTGTCTCTGCCTAGTCTCCCTTGCAGGGTTGCTGGGAAGACAAAGCCAGTGTCTGTGTGGGGAGAGCCATGCCGGTTCACCACAGAGTTAGAGCCTGAAAGTAGCCCCCAAGACTTCTCTTCCTGGCCCCCGGCACTCTCCCCAGGCGCCCTCCTCCGCTCCCCAGCCCTGCTTGCCTGGGATGTTTCCTTGAACCTCAATAATAATAATGCCTGGAAGGGTTGTCTGCAAAGGGGTGTTAAACTTTCGCTCCAACATAAACGGACGTTTGTGGCCCAGACTGCTTTGGCCCCTGGGGGTGATGTGGCCCCTGAGAGGCACCCCGGAAGGGAATGCGGCCCTCAGAGGGAAAAGGGTTCCCTGCACCTTGAGTTGACACTGAGCCACTTAGGAAAACGAGGGTGGAAGAAGAATGGGATTGTAGCATTGTAGAGCTGGAGGGGACCCCCAAGGTCATCTAGGCGGGGCTGCCCTTGATGATGATGATGATGATAATAATAATAATAATAATAATAATAATAATAATAATAATTTATTATTTATACTCCGCCCATCTGGCTGGGTTTCCCCAGCCACTCTGGGCAGCTTCCAACAAAACACTAAAATACAATAACCTATTAAACATTAAAAGCTTCCCTAAACAGGGCTGCCTTCAGATGTCTACTTCAGATGGGCTACTTTTAATATGAGGCTGCATTTTAAATTGCATTTTAACCTGTATTTTAAATTGGGTCCCCCCGCAATTATGTTTTTACTGTAATTTTACTGGTGTTAGCTGCCCTGAGCCCGGCTCTGGCGGGGTATAAATAAAATCTATTATTATTATTATTATTATTATTATTATTATTATTAGCCTAACCCTCTGTAGCAGGTCGCTGAAATGGCTCTTGTCACACCACAGTGGTGCCTGCTCCCAAGCGCACACTTCCCCCAGGTAGCAGGGGCCATCCTTCTTACAGGAAGGGCTCCCCAGAAGCCCCCCCCCATTTTGGGGTGAGGGGGAAGAGCGATGGGACAGGGGTGTCTCCGGCATGCAGGGTCTTCTGATCCCAGCCCTGACTTACCTGGACACGGGTTCAAGCTGCATCCCTCCACCTGGGTGGGGACCCCCTCGCAGTAGTCCCCGCCCCCCTGTGGGGCGGGGGTGTCGCAGGCTCTCGCCCGGCTCCTCATGCCTCCCCCACAGCTGGCGGTGCAGTCGGTCCAGGGGCTCCAGCCCCCCCAGCCCCCGTTCCCTGCAACCAAAGGGGAGAAACGAGCATGTGTGGGTCGCTGGACGCCCCATTGCAGACTCCCTCCCTCCTGTGTGGTTTGCCCCCCAGGTGGAGGAAAGAGGGAAGTTGTTGTTATAAGAATTCTAAGGTCTCAAATACAAATTAAATGTGCATTAATGTACTAGGCAAACACATACATAAGTATATTAAATAGTATAGGAGAGCAATCCTGAAGTCATTTTGACTCTCCCAGTGACCTCAAATATTCCTCTACAGTAAGGGAGGCAAATGGAGAAAGGCTTCCCATTGTCTTTTTGCTTGCAAATCCTGTCTTAAGGGCCTATTTCTGTGTGAATAGGGTGAGCCTGTGACCCAGAGTCAGGAACTAAAGCATTAACTATCACAAAAGAATGGCCAGGTAATGCAATCAGTGACCATTATCAGGTATCCTGGCAAAGCAGGATTTCTGCTGTAGACTGCCTCCTTCTGTGATGTATGTATGATTTTGGGGGTGGTGGTCTTGAGCTAGAGGGTGGGCAATTTCAAAAGTCTATATAAGGGCTGGCACACCATTTTTCTGGGTTCCTTCTCCCTCCTGCATATGGTGAGTGAGGACCCTGTTGCAACAGTTTAAAAAAGATCAGGCTTACTAGCCGCTTTGCTTCTCAATATTCTCTGGCTGGCCTCTGTTATTTTCTCCTACCAATAGAGAACCTACATAAGGACTCTATACGGGCTCTTGGGTCCCCCATAAGGGAAAAACAGCAGGTTTTTCTTATAACATTGCGAAGGTGAAGTCTTGACTCTTGGAAAGGCAGCAGGAAGGAATAGGGGTGTTTAGGGGGACACTTACGGGCACAGGGCTGGGCCTGGCAAGGTTTGTCCTCGCGTTCGGGACCCAAGCAGGGCAGCCCCATCCCAGACGGAGGGGGATCCGTGCAGAAGTGGTACCGGTTCTGTAGCCCCAGCCCGCAGGACGCTGAGCACTCACTCCAGGGGGTCCATTCTGACCACTGGCCGTTCACTGGGGAAAAGGGAAGTCACCAGTAAAAAGGTCTGAATGGGAGGTGGCGAGCTGTGATCTTTCTGGGGGAGACCCTAGATGGAGCAGGGGGTGGGATGGGGGCACAGCAAGGCTCAGATTGTGGACAGAATGTCCTCCTTCACACAGAGTTGGCCTGTGGAACTCCTTCCCACAGGAGACAGGGATGACCACCAACCTGGATGGCTTTAAAAGAGGATTCATGGAGAAGGAGAGGGCTACTAGATATGACAGCTCTGTTAGAATTCCTGCTCCGTGATTGCAGTCATGGGATCGTTGTCTTTCACATGATGGTGTATGTTTTGACTCCACAGAGTGGGAAGTGACGGAGACAGGATGTTTGTGTTCCTGTGATCCGTGAAGTGGGACTATTGTCCTTTGTTCTTTTCCTCTTCGCTGTCTGATGCTAGAGAGGGAGGGAGCCATGTTGCAGTGCTCCGTGTGTGTTTATTCGTAAATAAAGTAGATTAGCCAAAATGCTGAGTTGCTGAGTTCTGTTACGCATGATGCGCTAACTCTGCAGATCCCTAAGTGTGCCGGTGTCAGTTGGCATCGGTCGCTGTGATGTTCGGGCTGAAGAAAGCTTTTGAAGCTCCCAAACAATTGACCAGAAGGGAGAGAACATGCCAGTCGGGCATGTGTCTCTGCCAGGGTCCTACTCAAGTGTAGGCTAAACTCCTGACAAGCTCTGCTCTGCTTGTGGGACACCAACAAGCCGGATCCGAGCACAAGAGCAACTCTCTCGTCTTGTGGTTTTCAGCAACTGGTCTTCAAAAGCATCGCTACCCAGGATGTGGAGGAAGATTGCAGTCCTCGTGGCTAGGAGCCATCAGTAGCCCCAGGTGATTCAAAGTCACCTGAAAAGGCTCGAGCTCTTTGCAGAGGGAAGCAAGAGGATGGCTGTTTCGGAGCAAGAACCTCCAAACCCAAAGTCTCCCAGCGAGTCAGGCCTTACCGTCACCGCAGGCTGCCCTGGAGCAGTTGCGCACCCGACCGGAGAGGCAGGTGCTGCAGAGAGGAAGAGAGAGTGTTTTTAGTGTAGGGTAACCATCCTCATATCACCGACATGCTTCTTCTTCATCATCATCATCATCATTTTTAATTTGTATACCGTCTTTCTATCTTAAAATACTCAAGGCGTTTTACAAGCTGAAGAAACAAAAAATGTACATCTTATTACAATCTAATGCAATACAAAAATGTGATAATAAAACATAACTTTAAAATAGGCAATCTACATCAAAAAGTAACATTCAACAATCATTAGAGTAGTATAAAATAGTAATATCAACATATACAATACGATACGATATCTTTATTGTCATTGTCCCAAACAGAACAATGAAATATAAAAGTTAAACAGAAATCCACTCAACAGTTACAATAAATAATATCTTAACTATAATCAATAAGACAACGGCAAGCCACAGTACAGTGGTGGCTCGCAAGACGAAAAGAATCCGTTCCGCGATTCTCTTCGTCTAGCGGTTTTTTGGCTTGCGAAGCAACCCCATTGCTGGCTAAGCGGATTAGCGCTATTAGCGATTTAGCGCTATCAGCGGCTTAGTGGGCTTAGCGGCTAAGCTGTTAAAAGGCTATTAACGGCTTAGCGGCTTTGAAAAGGGGAAAGCGGGGGGAAAATTGCAAGACTCGCAAGACGTTTTCGTCTTGCGAAGCAAGCCCATAGGGAAATTCGTCTTGCGAAGCGCCTCCGCAACGGAAAACCCTTTCGTCTTGCGAGGCATTCGTCTTGCGGGGCACCACTGTACATAAAAAAATACAAGACACATTGAGAAGCAGAGACTAGAGGGTGGGGCAAGGCAGGTGGAAAGATGCCTTGCCTGATGGAGTCTCTCCCCTCACAGTTCTTCCTCCAGGAACAGCTCCTAGGGTTGGAGGGTGGGACCAGGCAGGTGGAAGGAGGCTTCAGTCTAATTAAGGCATGAAGGGGTTAAAACCATGGAGTAAGCTGTCCTGCCAGGCTTAGCTATGTCCACTTCCCCTGACCTGGGGAGGAACTAGGGAGGAATCAAGCTTTTGTTCTCCTACAAGCTACTTGTGAATCTCAACGCATGAAGAGAGTTGAGCCAGTTGCTCCAGCTCGGACCACATGGCTGTCACCAGCCGCTCTTGAGTTCCTATACCAAGAATCTAGCAACTTTTACCACTTTCCAAGCAAGCTACGTTTCACTGCCTGTGCAACCGTTCTGAAGCACGTGAAACTGACCTTTGGAGAATTTGTAATCATTTTTAAACTTACCAAAGGTGTGGTCTTTTCCAATGCTGGGGGAAGAGGGAAACTTTGGAAAAAAGCCTTTTTTGGAACTCGCTTGAAAGGGCATATTTTTTAAATCCTATATGTCTCCCCCCCAATAGATTTTATTAAAGTTTGAAAGAAAATATACAAAGGTCATTATCAAATATCTTTTTATCTAAGATAAAAAACTATAATTAAAATCACAAAGCAAAAGGAAGAGAAGAGGAAAGAGAGAGGAGAACTTTCGATTCTGTGTCTCTCAGCTTCTTCGGTCCTCAAGCCCAGACATAAGATCATTTTTTCCCCACACAAAAAAGTCTATAAGAAATTCCCAAACTTAATACTGACAATGGTTTTCCTTTGATTGAACCAATCCATTTTGCCATCCCAGCCAAATCCGATAATTTTAACCACCGTTCCTCCGTGCAAGGCGACAACGAATCTTGTGTATAGACAAGTCTCACTGCTAACAACCTATATTTCTATGCTTTGCTTTGTGGCATATTTTCTTTCTTTTTTAAAAATCATTTTTATTGATTTTCCAATAAAAGCAGCCAATCAACATATCCACATCATAATCCAATTGAACACTAGAAACTAAAATTTGAAAAAGACCAAATTGTACTCCAAATTGTAATTATTAATTTTTCCAGGTTCCCCATAGTCTGGACCTCTGAAGCATATCTCCAAATCTTCAGTCCTGCCTCTTCTCGTGCCATGAGAAGCTTTGTGGCATATTTTCTGGCTCTAAATCTCTGCTGGGGTCCTCTCACAAAAGGAGTCCTTGCCCCAAACTTGGACCTTGGCACCCAGGAACTCCTCCTTCCTTTCTCTCTCTCTCTCTCTCTCTCTCTCTCTCTCTCTAGGCATATTTGTGCCAGCGGTCAGAGCTGGCAGGAAGGGGCAGGGCTGGGCAAGAAGCAGAGGAAGAGGCACTGACCAGTTTTCACAGCCTCTGGGTACCACGTCTCCCGGGCCGTACAGCATCCCATCGAGGGCGCAGGGGCAGTCCTCCTCCGGCACGCAGAGATTGTTCTGTAAGCGGCAGAGAGGGAAGGGGGCAGCATTAGAGGCAGAAACACGCCACCCTCCCCTCCTTCTGAAACCAGCCTCTCCCAAACGGGGGCCCTCTGGAAGTTTTGAATGACAAAACTTATTTTGTATACACAAAAAATGAATTATGCTGCCCAGTATTGGGAAGTTTTTAATGGTTTTTTTTTGTTTTTGCTTTTCCTTTTTAAAAAAATAAATATATTTATTGATTTAAAATAAATAAATTTCATAGAATCATAGAATCATAGAGTTGGAATAGACCACATTTATGGGAAAACAGACATACAAAGAAACAAACAAACATACATACAATCAAACAAACAAATAATAGAAAAGTCAAACAAACCACCACAATATAAGAAACAACAAAATTAATATAACTAACATCATTTATACTCCAGATACTGAAAGCAATTATAAAACTTATAGACAAAGAAATTAAAAATGACTTCCAATTGATCTCACTGTACTTTATCTATCAATTATCTTATACCGCACAGTTGCATATTTCTTCTATAGTTTCTTTTTACCTCCCTACAAACTTATATTTATACAATACACGGATCAGTCTAATTCTGCCAAGATGTTTCCTCTTATACCATAGTTTTTTTAAAAAAAATGTTTGATGTTTTATTATGTTTTTATATGTGCTGGAAACCGCCCAGAGTGGATGGGGCAACCCAGCCAGATGGGCGAGGCATAAATAACAACATTGTTAATTATTATTAATATGTACCTAATTAAAACATCTTGTGTTTTCCCCATTGTCTGGGGGTGCTGCTGCTGGGAGTTGTAGTTCAGACCTTTCCCGAGGGCCCAGGTTGGGGAAGACTAATCTGCTATCAATCAATCAATCAATCAATTATCCGTCCTTCGCCCTAAGGCCCCAAGGCAGCATTACAGCATTAAAACACAATATTAAAAAGAGTGTAAGGCAACTTGCGAACATAAAAATGAGGTGGGTCCAGATTAGGCGCCGCCAAGGAGAAGGCCCTGCCCTGGGGGACGCCCCCCCCAGCCTCTGCACGGGAAGAATGGTGGGGAGCAGAGACTCACCAGCAAGAAGGTGCTGTTGGGGCAGTAGCAGCCAGCATGGCAGGTCTTGTTGGCGCTGGGCACCGCACTGAGCTCCGCGCAGGAAGCCGGTCCGTCGGCACATTCCTGCCACACCTTCCCCTCCGGGCAGACGCCGGGCACCTCACCTGGGTGGGAAAGTGCAGGGCAGAAGTGGGTGGAGCATTTAGAGGGGGCAGGGGCCAGCTGGGGGGTTAGCCTGGCGCTAATGAGGTCATTCGCCGAAATAGATGCAGAGAACCGTGCCAGGAGTTTCTGTGCACTCAGTGGAATGGGGAGTCATCACACCTTTCAGATTTATCCATTTCTCCCTTTCTTTCATTTATACACTGCTCGATTGCAAATGCAGCCTCTGAAGCAGTTTGCAGAAAAAATAATCAATAAGAAAAAAAACAATTTAAGGCTTTTGTAAGAATAGACCTAAAAACAGATCGAAACTCTAAGCAGCTTGTCCAAACAAGAATGTTTTTAACAGGTGCTGAAAAGAAAACAGTGAAGGATATATTGTTTATTAATATCCTTCCTAACTTGCACTAGCAAGTTCTTTTACTTAGCAGAGTTTCACATTCCCCTTTCAAACGCACAGCGGATAACTGGTTGCAGGCTTGTGTAAGCCTCTCACTATTAGGTCCCTGGTAAGTTCCCTTATATCCCTCTTAAAAGAATAAAGACACGACAATCTTATTTAAAGTCAATAAAAGAAGTTTACTCACATCATCAGTTCACAGTTGGATCCCTGAAGGCAGACTTAGTTACAAAGTATATACATGTGGGTCTATCCCATATGGATAAAAGCCAACAGAGCATTTCTAGCTAAAAAAAGCTGCTCCAACGACGGAGGAAGTCAAAGAGAGAGAGTGTGGCAGCATGCCTTGTCCTTTTGTTACTTGGACAGGTAAGGTCACGCCCACCTCTAGTCACATGCAAAAGGAAGGATGTTCCAGCTCAGGAAGAAACAGGAAGTTTTCGACTGGCTGGACCAAACATCCCCTTGTATGTCCACTCCAGGAAAACAAGGAATGTTGTCTTTGACTGCTCCCAGTGGATTACATCTGACAGCACCGCCCCCCCCCTTTGGGGATCATAACAGCCTTTCTGTCTCACCCAGAACCGAGATGGGTCCATCGGACTCACCTGTGCAGGGGGGAAGGTGGCAGGTGGCAAATTCGATCCGGCGTAAGATGGTCAGGCTGGCCCTTGTGCGATTCCGGTATCCGCCTCCGCACGGCACAGAGCACTCAGACCAGGGCCCCCACTCCATGCCAGAAGCTGGGAAGGGGAGGAGACAAAGGAGAAGGAATAACAACAACACAAACAACAATTTATGATTTGTACCCCGCGCATCTGGCTGGGTTTCCCCAGCCACTCTGGGCGGCTTCCAACAAAGATTAAAAAATACATTAAAATATCACACATCAAAAACTTTCCTGAACAGGGCTGCCTCAGATGTCTTCTAAATGTCAGGTAGTTGTTTATCTCTTTGACATCTGATGGGAGGGCGTTCCACAGGGTGGGTGCCACCACCGAGAAGGCCCTCTTCCTGGTTCCCTATAGCTTTGCTTCTTACAATGAGGGAACCGACAGAAGGCCCTCGGCACTGGACCTCAGCGTCCGGGCAGAACGATGGGGGTGGAGACGCTTCTTCAGGTATACTGGACCGAGGCCATTTAGGGCTTTAAAGGTCAACACCAACACTTTGAATTGTGCTCGGAAACGTACATGACTAGAGCATGCACAACTCTGGCAAGACAGTCCACTGGCAGATAGGGTCTCATCCTGCATACCAGATGTAGCTGGTAGATAGCTGCCCTGGATGCAGAATTGACCTGCGCCTCCATGGACAGCTGTGAGTCCAAAATGACTCCCAGGCTGCGCACCTGGTCCTTCAGGGGCACAGTTACCCCATTCAGGACCAGGGAGTCCCACACACCTGCCCACCCCCTGTCCCCCCAAAACAATACTTCTGTCTTGTCAGGATTCAACCTCAATCCATTAGCCGCCACCCAGGAGGGCACAATGAGAAGCCGCAGAGGAAAGATGGAGATGGGGGAGAGACTCTGTGTTGGCCACCAGGCCATGGCTATTCCCACCTGCCTTGCCCCACCCTCCAGCCCTGTGAAGGGGGGAGAGAGCTGTTAGCCATTGGTGGGGAGGTGGGATTGCTGCCCCACCTCTGGCCCAAGGAACCTTCAGGAGGGAGTTGCTGCATGGGCACCATGTGTCTGTACATTTTAATGTGCTGAAAGGAGCGCAAGATTACGAGTCATGCAGGATGTAGAGAGAGTGTGCATGAACGTAACAGTGCTAAGTTTATTTTTTGGTTGCTATTTTGTTAATGCTTTCAAATACTGTTTTACAGATTATAAATGCTGATTTTTTAATCATATGGTATGACTTCAGCTTATTTTCCACTTGCTGCTTTGTCAACAGTCTGCTGCAAATTGTCATTGTTAATTGCAGTAGTACCTTGGTTCTCAAACTTAAACAGTTTTGGAAGTCCATTCCAAAACCAAAGCGTTCCAAAACCAAGGCAGATTAATCTGTTCCATATTTCTAAAAACAACCCCTAAAACAGCAATTTAACATGAATTTTACTACGTAACAAGACCATTGATCCATAGAATGAAAGCAATAATCAATCCACTGTACTATAAAATAAATAAGATAGTATTGTAGAAGATAAAAATTAAAATTACTCTTTTTTTCTTGCCTGCACTGATGATAGTCAATGTTTGTATGGGGGGGCTTTTATCCATTTCCGCAGTCACACAATCAGTAGCTGAACTGGGTTCCACACAGTCACAAAACCAAATTAACCGAGAAAGCCTCAAAAACAAAAAAGGCAAAATAAAGAGCAAAAACAAAAGCACTAAACTTAATCCGTTCCGGAAGTCCGTTTGACTTCCAAAATGTTTGAAAACCAAGGCGCAGCTTCTGATTGGCGCAGGCGCCCCAGAAACAATAGCCGACAGCCGCATCGGACATTCGGCTTCTGAAAACCGGAACACTTACTTCTGGATTTTTGGCGTTTGAGAACCAAGGCATTTGAGAACCAAGGTACCACTGTATTCTACATTGTTTCTACTGTATTTGTGATGTTCAGTTCTGTTCTATTTATGGTTTGTAAGCCCCTTTGGGATTCAATCGAATGAAAAGAGGCCTGGAAATGCAATGAATCAAATCAGCGGCAACCTCCCTCTTTTCAGTGTGCTCCTCTACTCCCTTTCCTCCCCACCCCTCTGACCCACAGCCTGACCCCCTCCCCTCTCCTTGAACCCCCTTCCCCACTCTCTCTTACCCTGGCAAGGCTGCAGGCTGCAGAACTCAATCTCCACATTGGGTCCCTGGCAGGGCTGTCCTCCGTCGGAGGCAGGGGGCTGGGAGCTGGAGCGGAAGCGGCGCCGAGTGCCCACGTTGCAGCTGCGGCTGCAGGAGCCCCAGGCCGTCCAGTCGCTCCAGGCGCAGTCGGCTGCAGAGAGGAAGGCCAGCTCAGGGCAGGGGGAATCTCTTTCCGAGCGCCTTCCCCAGATATTATTTGTATTATTACATTTATTACAGTGGTGCCTCGCAAGACGAAATTAATTCGTTCCGCGAGTTTTTTCTTCTTGCGAGTTTTTTGTCTTGCGAAGCACGGTTTCACATAGGAATGCATTGAAAATCAATCAATGCTTTCCTATGGAAACTGCCTTCAGACCAGGTCCGGGGACAGTCTGTCCCCCGACCTCTTCTGAAGGCTGGGGGGGGGGACAAGGGCTTTTCTTCCCACCCCAGCCTTCAGAAGGCTGTTCTGAAGGCTGGCGGTGGGAAGAAAAGCCCTTCTCCCCACCTCCCGCCCCGCAAGCTCCAGGGACAGGAGGGCTTTGCTGCCGCCCGCCAGCATTTTAAAAGCCCCCGGGACAGCGGAGAAGTCTCCGCTGTCCCGGGAAGGCAGGCGCAGGGGAGCAAAGACTTTCGCCCCCCGCCGGCTTTCAGAAGAGGTCCTCTGAAGGCCGGCGGTGGGCGAAAGTCTTTGCTCCCGACCGCCAGCATTTTAAAAGAGGTCCCCTGAGATTTCCCTATGGGCTTTCTTCTTGCGAAGCAAGCCCATAGGGAAATTCGTCTGGCGAAGCACCTCGAAAAACAGAAAACCCTTTCGTCTAGCGAGTTTTCCGTCTTGCGAGGCGTTCGTCTTGCGGGGCACCACTGTATATAAAATACTTTAAAATAAAACGAGCCTCTGATGGAACTCAAGCCCATTCAATATATGGCGTTCAGAGACCCAAGTTATTTTTCATTTGTGTGTTTTCGAGGTCAGATTTCCAAAAGCATGTAAGAAACATAACAAGGACTTAATTCTCAAATTACTTTTTAAAAAATGGAAAAAGAAATAATGCCGACAAAATAAGAATGGCAAGACAAATTATTTGATTATACTGAACTGGCTAAATTGAAAGAGACAATTAAGGATCTGCCAAGCAAAAATTCCCAAAAGAATGGGGAAAATATGGAATTGAATTTTATTATTTTGGTCACAGACCAGTTCCAGCCCACATACAATATCAAAGAAGTCATAAAACACAACAGGGATAAATTTGAATTTGCAATTAGTTATAACAGGGGCAATACAGATATAGCAACAGTTTTAAAAATATATAAATTAAAACTTAGTCACTAACATATAACCTAAAATTATCATTTAAAACCTTAATCATTATGATAGCACAGCTTGTGAAAAATATAGAGCATACCTTTAAAAGCAGTGCCCCCAAATTAATACTTAGACTTGTTTTGATTAACTTCTGCAGGATAATTTATGGTACTTGAGTTAAAAATGGTAAAAAAAGGGGGTAATAACAAACTAAGAAGGAGACAGTTTACCAAAAACGAAAAGAGAACCATGTAGAGGATGAAGGAAGTCAATTGGAAGAAAAGAAGAAATGAAATATGGTGTATATATATATACCGTTAACTATCTGTTTTGTATAAATTTTGGTACGTTAGTAGATGACCCCTGGGGTCTCTTCCAACTCTAGAATTCTTTGATGGTATGTTTCTAAGTCCTTCTCCACTTCTCTGCCCTGGAGAACTGCCACCTGTCTGTGTGAGCCATCCTGGGCTAGAGCGATAAATACTCTGACCTAGTAGGAAAGGCAGTCGTCTCTGTTTACCTGGGCAGGGCTCCGTGGTACACACCATCTCTCCATCTTTGCAGGTGCTGGAAAAGGGAAAGGGGCACATTATGTCACTGAGTAGATGTCTTACGAGTTGCCTCAATGGGAAAATGCAAGATGAAAATCATTTAGAATGCTTTGCACTCGGAAGAGCAGGGCGGATCGAGGCCCGGAGGGTAGGGACTTTATCTTCTTTCCATCTCTGGGCCAATAACATCCGCACAGCCGTGGTCGCTATCAGAGAAGGCAGGTGGATCAAGTTGATGGACTATGTCAAAATGGCTAAAATGACCGGAAGAATCAGAAATCAGAAAGGTGAAAAGCTTAATAAGGAATGGGGGGGGGGATTTATAACTTATCTTAAAGACCATTGTAAACAGTTAAAATCCTTGGAATCTAGTTTTTATGTCGTATATGGGATACGTGACTGTGAAATTTCAATCTGAAATACTAAATAAATTAATTTCTGGAGGGAAAAAAAAAGAGGTCTGGAGGTTAGCAACACGAGAACGGGGCCTTTTCTGCAGTGGCTCCCAGTTTGTGGAAGGCTCTCCCCAGTTAGTCTCGCCTGGCACCTTCCGTATACACCTTTAGGCTTCTGGCGAAATAAATATATAACTTGGGGATCACTTAAGAAGGAAGTGTTTTATAGATGCATACAATTACAAATTGTGGTATGTGTGTGTGTGTGTGTGTGTGTGTGTGTGTGTGTAGGAATACAGGTTTTCATAAGGGGGGGTCTCCTGGGAGGGGGAATAAATAAAAAGAAGGAAAAAGAAGGAGAAGAAATGCAATATATTCATCACCAGTTGTTGCAGGAGTCCAGGAGGGCGACGTCCCCCGGCTGGTAGAGCTCCCCCTGGTGGTAGCAAGGGCACTCTCTGAGCGGCAGGCAGGTGTCGTTGTGCAGGAAGAGACCCCCGGGGCAGGAGCAGCCCTCACGGCAGCGGGAGGCGCACTCCACGTGGGAGCCTTGGTCCAGGCAGAGGCGAGGGCAGGCGCCCCCCTTCCGCTCGCACTCCTCGGCCGTCTGGTACACCAGGTTCCCCGGGCAGAGCGCTGTGTGGGGTTTGCGGGGACGACAAAGGGAGAGGTATCTGGTGAGAGACGTAGGGTACCCAGAGGTGTAGCAGGATGGGCCGGGGCTGGAGAGGAAGTGTCTGTCAGGTGTGCGTGCAGGAGCCAGGCCCTGTGACCAGTAGGACTTTGCAGGACTGGGGCCTTCCTAAGTTTGTTCTGAAGAGGCAAAGCACGGCCGCACAGGTGAGGCCACTTGGTAACTCACAGCACCTGGTGGCAAGAGCCAGGAAGGGATATAAGGTCAGCATTTCCCTTCAGCTCTTTGCCACAGCAACACGTTCCCTGGCTTGCTGTGTTTGACTCCTTGATTCCTTGTTTCTTGATCCTCGGACCCCTGACTCCCTGACTCCTTGCTTCCTGACCCTCGGACCCTTGACTTCGTGGCTCCTTGCTTCTTGACCGTCAGACCCTTGATTCGTGGCTCCTTGCTTCTTGATCCTCAGACCCTTAGACTCCCAGCCCTCTGACCCTCTGACTTTTGGCTTTCTGACTCCTGGCTTCTGGACTCCCGTTCTTGCTCCCACCCCGCTATTGTGTCCCCGGTCCCGACGTCCTCAGCTGGGACTTGGATTGCCCATGAACCAAACCATGACAGTGTCAGGGAATGGTCTGAAGACGAGGACTGGGGGATGCATTCTGATGGAGAGCTGGAGCGGGAAAGGTCGCCCCCCCCTTGTCCGCAGCGTGTTCAGAAGCAGAGAGAGAAACAGGAGATGGACAGCTTAGGGGGGAGTTACCCAGTTATGAGATAAGGACATGAGATAAGAAGCAGAAGGGAGGGGGAAGCTAGTTGAGACGTCACTCAAGAGTGTGGCGGACCCCCCCTCACCATGGACTTGGAGGTTCGAACGTATCAGAGAGCAAAGGAGTCAGAGGGAGGGGGGACTTCCCGTCGGCACCTGAAATGCTGTGGAAGCCGGAAAGAAGATTAGACTGGCCTACTGCCTCCTTGTGGAGAGCTGTGTATTTGTGCTCGCAATGTGGTGCTGTAATAAAAGGACCACAAATCTATCAACTGCTCATTGATTCTTATCTTGATTCTTATCTGCGAAGCTACCGAAGGGAGGGGAAGACTCTCCACGCCTGACAGGGACCCCATATCCCAAATGTGTACCTTTGCAGGGCTGGGTGTTGCAATCGCGGGTCTGGATGAGGGGTCCGGAGCACTCTGGGCCCCCGTGGGCTGGCTTGGAGCAGGTGCGGTTGCGGGTCTGGACCCCGGAGTCGCAAGGGGCCGAGCACTGGGACCAGGAGGTCCATGGGGTCCAGATGCCTTCCACTGAGGAGGAGGGAGGGAGGGAAGAAGGAACAAAAGATGATAAGGAGGTGGTCTGCCTGCTGGGGGCCTGAAGGACCCTGCCCCTGCCTCTTTCCACCTGGCTCGACAGGCTTCACAAGGACTGCAGCTGCTTTTATATTTTTAATTTTTATCTGTGGTGTTTTAAACGAGACCATCTTGGCTGTGAGCCCTGGAAGACCTGCACCCTGCCTTGCCGGTCCTTCCCCATCTGGCCTGGGAGAGAGTGGAGAGCGGACTGACTCCAGCTACAAAAGCTGAGGCTGTTGAACAGATTCTCGCGCTGGAGTATTTATTTACAGGGGGCGTTGAGAGAGCCTGTTGCTGTTATCGATATCATGGTTGCGTTTTTAGTTTTAGCTCTTATGATTTGCGTGGAAATTGTTCCCATTGGGTTGTGTACTTTTTGAGGTGTTTTATTTATTGTTTATGACCTCTGTTATGTTTGTAATTATGTAAATCTTGTCGTGTTGTAAGCCGCCTTGAGCGTAGTTTCAACTATGGAAAGGCAGCATACAAATAAAATGATGAGGATGATGGTCTCTCCTTTAGCTGTGATCCTTGCATTGGAGGCTGTTGAACTCGATGACCCCCAGGGTAACTTTACCATTCTGTTTCTCTATCCTAGAATCATAGAGCTGAAAGGGTCCCTCAGCAGTCATCTATCCCAACCCCCCTGCAATGCAGGGATGCTCTTTCGACTTGCCACTGCACCAGGGAAGAACCTGACGGCCCTTCCTGTACGGCGGCCACCTTTCGGGTAAGATCAGCCAAACCTCGGACCCCAAAGGACGCAATTCCCCAACCTGGTGCCTTTTGGATATTTCAGACTGCAAACTCCCATCAACCCCAAGCCCAGAGGGGGGGGCTCAGCGCTGCCCCCCTCCTTCTGCCCCCCTCCTCTCACCTGGGCAGGGGGGCGTGTCACAAAGCTCCTCCTGCACCGTCTCTCCGCTGCAGCTGGCGGCGTCCGTGGTGCCATTGCAGTCCCGGAACCGCTTCCTGACGCCCACCATGTCCGTGGCGTAGTAGCAGGTTTTTGAGCAGGGGGACCAGGGCGTCCATTCGCTCCAGGCGAAGGTGATCTCTGGGGAGGGACAGGAGAAAAAGTGTGGGGAGCGAGAAGCCTCAGGGTTGGGGTCACGGGGTCCCCTTCCAGGAGAAGTGAGGGCTCTAGTCTACTGGCAGGCGGAATAATGAGGAACTTAAAAACATGATCAAGGTATCATTTAAAAAAACAAAACCTGGAGGCTTTTCTCCTGGGGATTTTGGGCCCAGACATACCAAAAAATGCAAAGGAAATATTCCTGTATGTGACAGTAGCAGCAAGAATACTGATCGCAATGAATTGGAAGGGAGAGGAAATCCCAACAAAGCTGGAGTGACAAAGTTGGAGTACGCCGAACTGGCAAAAGTGACAGAAAAACCTTTATTCGAAAATGAGACATGTACAGAAAACCCTAGAGGATTATTGCAGTAATATGTTGTCAGTGGCAGCATTTGAATGACTTCTCTATTAGGATAAATAAATATAAGAGAATATAATATTGACAAATATTAGTAAAAAGAAAATCGAGATTAACTGTGTATCAGATACCTTAAGTAATATTGTAAATACATGGGATGGTGGGAAGTCGTAGGAATTTTTTAAAGAAGAATGTATGGTGATATGAATTAGCAAACATTGATATTTTCTTGTATTCTCAATCGGTTGCTTCATACATTTGTTTGTTGTGCTTTTTTGAATATCAATAAAGCATTATATTAAAAAAAGAGTGCAAAACCACTCCCTGAACAAAAGACTGGCTTGAGAGCTGACGCAGAGGAGTGGAGCTTCTCCTCCAGCCTCCCAAGGCATCGGATTTACTTATTTGATGGAAGTGACGCACCTCTCCCCTGTCGGGACCCCTTACCTGAGATGCAGACGGTGTGGCATTCGCGGACCTCCTGGGCATCGCCTTGGCACGGGGCACCACCATTGGCAGCAGCCGGGTTGGAGGGAGACCTGCAAAAGAGGCAGGGTGGTCCATAAGTTAGGGACAGGGAAGAGAGGGTGCAGCTCTGCCTCTGCACCCATCCAGATGGATGGACCCCTAAAGGATGCTGCAATTCCTTTTCTCTTATTCATTTCTTTAACAAAACGTATAGAGTTAATGAATCGAGTATCTCTAAGCGACTTAGAAGCATTGCATTGTAGAGTCCAGTCCAGCCGCCTGCAATGCAGGAATATTTTGCCCCTTGTGGGGCTCGAACCCACAACCGTGAGATTAAGAGTCTCCTGCTCTACTGACTGAGCTATCCTAGAAGAGGACTTGCATAACATATTACTGGGGAAAGGACTGCTTTTCCTGTCCGTTTGCATTTCCTAGTGCAGTAAGTATTGATCTGATGTGCAGAGATCTTTCCTATTCTGCTTAATTCAAGAGGGTTCTGGAAACCTCTTTGTGTGAAAGAAGTAAGCAGAAGGTTCATGATGTTTGGGTTATTTCTTCAGAGAAGCTGAGTACAGCTGCCTTAAATTGGTTACAATATGATAATCTTTATTGTCATTGTCCCATACAGAACAACGAAATTGAAAAATCTACATCAGACATTCAAAAACCCACAAGCCTGCTATCCCAGCTATCCCAACCTGGTTAGCCCCCTAAAAACTCTGATACCCCATTTTTAAATACAATATACTCCCATAGAGACTCCTTACACTGCGTTTAAAACCAAAATCGCATTTGGGTAGAAACTGTTTCTCAGTTAGTCCTAGTCTTTATAGTTCTGTAAACTCTTTCTGTTAAGGCCATACTGACTACAGTGGCGATGCAACGACAGGTTCCATGTCTGCATGTGCTATACAGTGTATGTGCGGCGTCGCTACGTACAACGCATGCGTGCGACACCACACATGCGCTGTACTTAGCGGTTTGCCGCCGGCGCCACTCCAGCACCGTATGGACAGTGCTGGGATCCTCTGCTCGTGGCTGTAGCAGCAACAGAGGGATCCTGGCACCATCTGTACGGCACTGGAGCGGCGCCAGCAGCAAACTGCCAAGTACAGCGCATGTGCGGTGGCGCTACGTACGGCACATGCATCATGCGTAGCAACACCGCACATGCGCCCTACATAGCGACGCCCACCCCGGGTGTCACGACGCCTTCCTTCGCCCCTGTCTGACTATAATAATAAGGCCAGAAGGAGCCTGGGTTTCACTCTTTTGTATCTCTTTCCTTCTGGTGTGGTGTTCTGTATGTGGTGTGCTTAGTCTTAAGGTTTAGACTTATTATAAATTACCGTGAGTTTAAGTTAAGTCTGCTGCAACTGGACTTCTTATGGACAGGGCCAATCCTGAATGTATTGGATTTGTGACCATGATGCTCATCTGCCTTCAGCAGCAGTAAAGCTCTGCTGGATGAAATATTCATTGCCTCTGGTCTACTTTTTGGGGGGAAATCCTGCAATGTGTTTAAGATTGATCCAATGTGGATCAATACTGAGTAGAATTTCAATGACAGTTCCATCCATTCATTTTTTTAAAAAATCAAGAAAAACACAACTAATACATGTGTTAATTGAATTTATATACTGCCCTATACTCACAGGTCTAAACATTAGGAAGAACTCTCTGGCGGTAAGAGCTCTTCAACAGCAGAACAGACTCCACTGAAAAGTGGTGGTCTCTCTTTGGTTGTCAGTTTTTAAACAGTTTGGAGACTGGAGAGCTACCTGCCAGGGTTTCTTCAACCAGGCTGATGGACATCCATGCACTTTTAAATGTGTTGGAGGGGGGTTATTGGGTGTGTTTTTTAAAATTTTGTTTTCTTTTTAGGTATTTTGTTTTTATCTTGTACAGTGGTGCCTCGCAAGACGAAAAGAATCCGTTCCGCGAGTCTCTTCGTCTTGCGGTTTTTTCGTCTTGCGAAGCAAGCCCATTAGCGGCTTAGTGGGCTTAGCGGATCAGCTGATAAGTGGCTTAGCGGCTTGGGAAAAAGGGGGGGGGAGGAAAAAAAACCATGCAGGAACTCGCAAGACATTTTCGTCTTGCGAAGCAAGCCCATAGGAAATTTGTTTTGCGAAGCACCTCCAAAACGGAAAACCCTTTCGTCTAGCGGGTTTTCCATCTTGCGAGGCATTCGTCTTGCGGGGCACCACTGTATTTTTATGCTGTGATCTGCTCTGAGATCTTAAATAAAAAGGCAATGTCAATGACTAATTCGCACCACCTACTCCAGTGGGACGAGTTGGGGGTCAAGGAGAGAAAACAACCTCCCCCCCCCCACATTTTGATCACAACCTTCCTTGGGAGGGCCGGATAAAAAAAACCTGCCTCTGTTAGGGTATAGTTCCGTTCCACCTTAAAAGGGTACAGGCATGACTGTTGTGTGTCACATGCCTGTTTACTTCCAGCACTGTCTGCTGGGAACTTCCGTTTGTATATAGCTTTTGTGTTACTGCTGTTTTGCTGGAGACGAAGGGAAGCAGACATGTTTTCCGTTGTTCCTGAACTATGCTGAATAAATGCTGTACATTATGCTTGCACATCTCTCTGTCCACCTCTTCTGCTGTGAGGTGATTTACACACTCTGCTGACAGAGCGTGCATGAGTCTCTAAACGTATCTGAGGCTCGTGTCACTGTTTGATGCTGTTCCAAGAGAGACCGGTGATCGTCCGGCTGCCGGCCGGTGGCTTGAGCCAGCTGGGGGTCTGCCGGATGCCCCCCGTCCCCCCGGCAGTATCCCAACAGCCACATCCCGCCCACAGGTGGACGCTGCCCTCCTTCACCTGAATCTCTGCTGCATGCCGACTCCGCAGCTCCTTCCGCAACGGCTCCACGGAGACCAAGCTGACCAGCCGCACTTCACGGGGCAGGAAACTGAGTCGCAGGTCACGGCGCCTTCCAGGCAGACGCTGGTGGTGGGAGCGGGAAGGAGGCGGAGGACAAAAGCTCGTCAGGACTGAATCTGGACCCCACCACCACCACCCCAAAAGGGGGGAACCTGTGACCCTCCAAGCCCTGATTGGACTCCAACTCCCATCAGCCCCAGGGGCAAAGGCAAAGATTGGGAACCTTTCATATCTTGAGGGCCACATTCTCTTTTTTTATATATAAAATTTATTTGGTTTTTCCAATATTGTACAGAGATATATCACACATAAATAATAAAAACAAGATTCACAGGAATCTCCTGGACTTCCACCCTCCCCTTTGTGGGTCCTATTATTCATCCTTCCCTCCCGCATTTTTTATGATACTGTAATCCAATCCTTTGCCTCTTCTGTTATGTCCAGAATTCAACATTAAACTACAAGTGATATTCCAACCCTACTAACGATTTTAACTGTTTACAATGGTCTTTAAGTTATAAATTTTCCCCACTCCTTGTTAAAATTTTGGTCTTGCTGATTTCTGACTCTTCCGGTCATTTTAGCCATTTCAGCACAGTCCATTCACTTCACCTGCCATTCTTCTCTGGTGGGGGGGCCACATTCTTTTCTGGGTGGCCTCCCAAGCGTTAGCCTCTAGGCAGCTGGCCACAGGTCTGGGTGCAATGGAGCAGTTTCTGAAAGAATGGGACCCTCAGCTCCTCAGGCATAGATACCCTCCCTGGCGGGTTATGGGCCCACAACCCGAGACTTCTCCCGCGCAGAAGTCGTCATTGCTCTTCCCTTTTCATGCCCCTCCTGGCGCTAGGAGGTAGTGGAGCAGGTGAAGGTGGGCAGTCTACTGACTTGTCCCTCGCCTGAACCATCCCTTCTTCCTCTGCCCAATCCTGTGTGCCTTCCTCCGCCTCAGACTGCCCGACTCTCGCTCCTCTTCAGTGTCAGGGTCTGGACTGAGGAGGAATGGTGGAGACCTCCCCCTCCTCCTGCACTTCCCAGAAAAGGGGGAGACAGTATAGATTTAGAACAGTGGTTTGCAGAAGGTCACAGTTCAGAGGCTGCAGAGGGGAGAAGCTGGGAAATATTGGGAGGCGAGCAGGAAGAAGTCGAAGAAGTCCCAGGGGAGAGACAGCGGAAAGACTCAGTGTCTTTAGAAAACATGCCAGACCCCCCTCCCAGAACCCGGCAGGCATCGAAAGTAGGAGAACAGAAAGCTCAGAGGCAGAAAGCACAGATCAGCCAATGTAGGGATGGCGTATAATAGGAGAGACGGAGGGGGTGGGACTTTACTCGGAGCAACGCCATTATCCAAGAGACAGCACTTCCACATCTCTCTGTGAATATTGAATAAAAGACCTTGGTGAGAGCTTCTTGTCTTTCCATTACTGGCAGCCTGCCGTGAGGGAGGGGTGTCAGATTCCCTGAAGCCTGACACTCAGACTTCTGCCTTGTGGGTGGCGGGGCTCCCGGTGAAGTACAGGGAGAGCCAGTGTGGTGTAGTGGTTAAGAGCGGTAGTCTCATAATCTGGGGAACCGGGTTCGCGTCTCCGCTCCTCCACATGCAGCTGCTGGGTGACCTTGGGCTGGTCACACTTCTCTGAAGTCTCTCAGCCCCACTCACCTCACAGAGTGTTTGTTGTGGGGGAGGAAGGGAAAGGAGAATGTTAGCCGCTTTGAGACTCCTGAAAGGGAGTGAAAGGCGGGATATCAAATCCAAACTCTTCTTCAGGGTCAGGTTTAAGGTGCTGGTTTTGACCTTTAAAGCCCTGTGCGGCCTAGGACCCACGTTCCTACGGGACCGCCTCTCCTGGTATGCCCCACGGAGGACCTTAAGGTCCACAAATGACAATATTTTGGAGGTCCCAAGTCGCAAGGTGGTTAGATTGGTCTCAACTAGGGCCAGGGCCTTTTCAGCACTGGCCCCGACTTGGTGGAACGCTCTGTCCCAAGAGACCAGGGCCCTGCGGGACTTGACATCTTTCCGCAGGGCCTGCAAGACAGAGCTGTTCCGTCTGGCCTTTGGTTTGGACTCAGTCTGACCCTTACGTTTCCCTCCCCTTACGGTTTTGTTCTATGGGCTACTTATAAAATGAGGCTGCATTTTAAATTGCATTTTAACCTGTATTTTAAATTGGGGTTTTTTTCCTCATTGTGTTTTTAATGAAATTTTACTGGTGTTAGCCGCCCTGAGCCTGGCTCTGGCTGAGGAGGGTGGGATATTTATTATTATTATTATTATTATTATTATTATTATTATTATTATTAATTGCTGGTCCCCTCTCCTGGGTTGCTCCCCTGGTCGCCTGACTGTACCCTGTGCTCTTCGGAGCCCTGCCAGAGGAGGAGGAGGAGGAGGAGGAGGGTGGGGCACCAGAGGGACCCCGTCCCCTGCTCACCACTGGCTGCAGTTGTCCCTCAGGAACATCTCCCCCGGGAGGCGGCGCTCGTGGTCGAAGAAGCAGTGGCACTGGCTGACGTTCACGCAGCCCCCGTCCTGCAGGAAGAGCCCCGGGGGGCAGCGGCAGCCTGGAAGGGGAGACAGAGGGGGCTGGAGGTCAGAGCAGAGGGCAGGGATAGAGGGAGCCCCTTTTCTAGGCTAGGAAAGGGACGCCGTGCTCACCCTCCACGCAGCTGCTGGGGCAACTCGTCTTCAGGCTGAGCTGGCGGCACGTTTGGGGACAGGGAGCCACGAGGCCTCGATCGCAGTGCCCGGCTTGCACGTAGACCATGTCTGGCCCACAGTCTGCAGAGGAAACAGACAAGGGGAGGAGGTCAGGTTGTGGGAGAAGGGAAGTGAAGTCTAGTGGGTGGAGGGGGTTTTCAGGGGGTTTATACGCTGCACCTTTAAACATTTTTTTTGGGGGGGGGTATAAAAAAGTGATGTGCCAGTGCAAAATGGCTGCCAAAAAAAGGCAGCAAATAAGGTGGCAGTACTCCGTACAAGTGAGGAGAGATAGTGTGGCACAGTGGTTACAGCGCCAGACGAGAACCAGGGTTCAGATTCCCCCATGAAGTTCGCTGGGTGCGTCCTTTGGGCCAGTCGCTGTCCCTCAGACTAGCTTACCTCACAGGGTGGTTGTGGGGATTAAAGGAGATGTGGGGAGAACAATGGTCTCCTTGGAGGGGAAAATGGGATATAAATGAATACGTAAATAAGAGACAAATAACTGAAGAAGCATTAAAGCCACAGTCATAAACCAAAATACTAAAAAAAATGTACATCCATCCATATTCATATCAAGCAAGGATTAATTCTACTCACTTCTCTACATGATGAGCATGACTAATAATAATAATAATATCAGCAAATAAGGCCCTGTTTTTAAAGCACAATCAAAGCACAATCTTTCCCTCAAAGAATTCTGGGAAATGTAGTTTTACCCCAAAGAGTTACAATTCCCAGCAGCCCTTAACAGTGCCCAGAATTCTTTGAAGGGGGAGAAATGTGCTTTAAAAAGAGTCTAGTAGTGTGTAGAGAGCCTCCGTATCCAAAGATTATGAAGTGGGTCTGCAGTTGATCTGAGGAAACGCCTCCTGGCTGACCTAACCTTTAAAGCTGATCTCCCCCCAGCCCCTTGGCCCCTGTGTTCGAAGACGACAATATGGAGACCCCAAAACCGACAGCACAACCCAGCAGTCACTTCCACTCCCCTGTGCAAGCTCCATTGAAGTGAATGGGTACTTGGGCTTGTGCAACTTCCATTCATTTCAAGGAGGTGAGCCCAGGTAAATATTCCCACTGGACTTATAAGCTTCTTTTATCACCAGCACCTTTGTAATTCACAAGGCAAACCAGAAGCGCCCATAGCTCCTGCCTGTCTGCCCCTTCTGGAAGTCCAAGGATCCTTCGGTTTGTAACTCAAGGGTTAACTTGGTAACTCAGAAGGAGTTGCTTAGCAACCAGGCAGAGTGGCATGATCTCAAGTGTGGCGGCACAGGGCCCCGATTGGTTGTGAGTTTCTGAAGGAGTTTTTCCTCTGTGTGTTTGGTTGAAGGCCTCTCTGGTACGTACAAGGCCAGATGTAAAGAAAGACAAAAGTTATTTCCTCCCCAAATTGTTCACTGTTTTTGTTTGGTTTCCCAATGTTCCTGACATCCCCCAGGCTCATCCCTCCCCCAATCTCAGGCTCCATCAACGGCCCCCCTTTCCTTTCTGACCCTCCCTGTCTCCCAACTACAGCCACCACTTACCCCGGGCATCTCCGCAGGGCTGCTGGTTGCAAGTCTCCATCTGCACAGCGTCCCCCGGGCAAGGCTGCCCCCCGTTCTTGGGCGGGGGGTCGGCGCAGGTCCTGGTGCGGCTCCGCACGCCGCCACGGCACTCGGCATCGCAGTCCGACCATTCGCCCCAGGATGCCCAGGCGCCGTTAACTGGGCGGAGAGAGAGAGCCACGCGACTGAGCTCCAGCCTCTTCGTCATGCGACCACAGAATATTCTACACTTGGACTTGGGCCCCTGTATCTGAAGGCAGTATTTGTCATGCCAACCTTCCCATGCCTTTTTTGAATTAATAACGGGGAGCCGGTTTAAATGATTTCGTTGACTATGAATGGAAGACGTGTTTTTATGAGTCTGGCAAAATGAACGTTTTAAGCAAAATACTGCACGTGAAGCCTGCAAGCTCTTCGCTTTATCCCACCTCACAAGGCCTTCTCGGTGGTGGTGCCTGCCCTGTGGAACGCCCTCCCAGCAGATGTCAAGGCAAGAAACAACTATTTTACTTTTAAAAGACAACTGAAGGCGGCCCTGTTTAGGGAAGTTTTCGAATATCTGACACTGTATTGTTTTTAATATTTGGTTGGAAGCCACCCTGAGTGGCTGGGGAAACCCAGCCAGATGGGTGGGGTATAAATAAATTATTATTATTATTATTATTATTATTATTATTATTATTATTATTATCATCATTATCATCACTATTATTACTATTATTATTACTATTATTATTATTATTATTAATTGGCACAGGTGACGCATAATACCCATTCTGGATTTGCAAGAACTTGATCTTTTAATGTGGCAGCACCTGTCCTTTGGAACTCCCTGCCTCTTGACATCAGGCAGAGACGCCTTCATTGCACTCTTTTTGGAGCCTGCTAAATACGTTATTGTTCAGGCAAGCCTGTTCAGGTGCTTAGAAAGTTTCAATCCTGTTTTCAATCCTGTTTTCAGCCAGTTGTTATTTCAACTTTTTGAATGTCTTAAATTATTGCTGTTAATCTTCCTTACTGCTAACGTTTGATTTATCTCCCCGCCCCCCGTAAACTGTTTTGAGGCCGTTTAGTTTGTATTCTAGTGGTGTATTCATTTTATGAAATAAACTCTGCATCTTTCATAAAACGTATACGCCACTAGATTGCAAACTAAACAGCCTCAAAGCAGCAATGCAAAAAGATAAATCAGTTGGTAGCTCAGTTGGTTAGCACGTGGTGCTGATAACACAAAGGTTGCAGGTTCGATCCAGCTGCATATTCCTGCATTGCAAGGGGTTGGACTGGATGACCCTCAGGGTCCTTTCCAACCCTACAATTCCATAATTCCATGTTTTTATGAAGGGCTTCAGGCCTGAGAAGGCTTAAGAGGGTTATTGGGCTCGAATCCTGCTTGCGGAGTTTCACTTTGGGGGCATCTGGTTGGCACTGATTCTATATGAATAAGTTTCTGTTTGAAATATTCAGCACGTGCAAAATTCAATTCCTTGCCCAAAGGGTTCTCCTTCAGGCCGGGCATCTGCAGAGACGATGAGAGGAGCCTTTTGAGCCCCGCCTGTCGGGAACCCGCTGCTCCCAGGTAAGTGGGGAGAAGGCCCTACCTGGGCAGGCCCGCAGGAAGCAGGAGCGGCTGTCAAACTCATCGCGGTCACACTGCCCCCCGGGGAGCGCGTTGCGGAGCAAGTCCCGGCGCCGGAAGGTCACCCCCAGCCCGCACGACCGACTGCATTCACTCCAGGTGGTCCACGGGGACATGATGCAGTCCGCTGCCAGAGAAGGGAGAGGGGCAGGATTGGACCAGAACTATAGTTCCGGCAAAGGCCAAGAGAGAAACTTCCTCCATTTGCAGCGAAACATCCTAACCTTGATCTGAGCTGGTGCCCTTTTCTTTAGGACAGAGGTGTGTGTGTGGGGGGGAGATTTCATCGCCCAAGGGCCGCATTCCATGCTGGACAACCTTCCAGGGGCCACATGACCAGTGGTGGGTGGAGCCAGAGGCAGAAGTGGGAGGGGCCACAGATTTAAATTTGACACATGGCAGGTGTCAGGAGCGAGCCGGCAGGAAACCACACTGTGCAAGTTAGCTCTTCATTAGCAAGAACACAATCTGCACAGACTTGGTGGACTGTCAGAAATGACACGCTGAAATGACACACAGAAATGTCTTGGGTTGGGGCACTGTTGAGGGCTTTTTGTTGGGGGGGGCATTGTGGCTGTTGATACTGATTTTGTGTATCTTCATTTTGGATTAATGTGGAAATTGTTCAATTGGGTTGTGCACTTTTTGAAGCTTTCTTTATTATTATAACTGCTTTTATGTTTGTTAGATATGTGGGGGGTTTTTATACGTTGTAAGCTGCCTTGAGCATAGTTTTAACTTTGGAAAAGCAGCATACAAATAAAATGATTGACTGATTGACTGTCAGGACTCCTGAGCACAACAGCTCATCCCCAGTAGGTCTGGCCCCATGGATCAGTTGCTGAGACTGAAAGTCCCTGCCTCCCCCTCCTGCTAAGTCCCCTCCTATCCAGAGTTTTCCCCAAGCAATCAGAGACTGTGGCTGAGTGCGGCAAACCTCTCCTCCGCCCTTTTCATGCCTCTCTTGGTTCTGGGGAGCTTGTCGCAGCAGGAGGGGGAGACACCTGCGGCTCTTCTGCCGCTGATGCTTGACTTCTCTCTGCCGCAGATTCCCCGCACTCACCTTCCATCCAGGCAAGTGAGAGGCATCCTCCGCATTCAGGGACACAGTCCAGCCAGGCAAAAACCCTCAAGGAAGGCTGGCGACGGAGTATGGCCGAGCCATGTCCTGAGGGCCACATTTGCCCACCCCTGCTCTCCTGCAGAATGGGGGGTAGGGGAGTGATTATCCGCCCCGATCTGACATACCACAGTTGGCCTCGTCGGACCCATCCTGGCAATCCTGGCGGAGATCGCAGCGCCGCTCCAGCGCCAGGCATTCCCCGCTGCCGCAGGTGAACTGCTTGGCAGAGCAGACGCTGGGAGGGCCCAGTGGGGGCAGCAGGGTGGCGGCGGGGGTGGCGGGAGCAGTGGGACCACCTGTGGGGGTGGGAAAGTGCAGTGCAATGGTTAGAGCGTCGGACTAGGACCAGGGAGATCAGGCTCCTAGTCCCACTTTGTTAGGCATAACTTCACTGGCAAGAATTAACAAGCAGTTTATATTTTGTAGTCCTTTTTATTCAGTCACCTGGTTACAAGCAAAAATCCACATCTCTCCACAAGGAGAGCAGCTGACTACTCTAAATCCTCCCCTTTCCATCCTGGGCACCAAAGGAAAGTTCCTTCTCCTCTCTACTCTTTGTTCTTTAATACAGACAGACCTCCTAGTTCTTGGGGAGGGAAGATTCCCCACACTCTCTCATGACGCCTCTGCTGGCTGTTCCCTCCCTTCTGTCTCTCTTCCCATTATCTCGTAACTAGGCAACTCCTGTTGAAACTGCTCAGTGTCCGTGTCTCTCTCTGTTCCTGAAACTGCTGGAAATGGGGGGGGGATCTTCCTCCTCCTCCCAGTGGTGGAGGAACCCTCTCCATCACCCAGGGCAGGATGCCGAGGGGTGGGGCGAACTGCCCGGTGATGCATGTGTGACGTCTGTACAGACTGCGCACATGTGGCAGCTGGTATGGACTGTGCACACGCAGCAGCTGGTACGGTTGCCACACGAGTGCCAGCCTGCACAGATGCCGCGCATGAGCGCCAGCCCATACAGATGTCCGTATGGTCACCATGCAAGCAGCAGCCCATATGGACGCCGGGTGGGCGTGGCACCCACACTGACTGTGTGTGTGCCCTCCGCCGCTCTACAGCTGGGGGGAGGCAGCGGGCCATCTTGTCACACACACCCCGGGTTGTGCCCAGGGCGGCCCACTCCCTCCGCCCCCCTTCGTACGCCCCTGCCTCCTCCTCCTCTTCAGAGAGGAGCTGATCTGCCTGAGAATGCATTCTCCAATCCTCTGATTCAGACCATTCCCTGACACCCTTGTTCCTGAAGCCCATTGGGTGACTTGACAGACGGCAAAAGCATCCCTGGGGGAGAACCACCAACCCCTGAACTTTTGGTTAACGGCACTTGCCACCAGCCGTGTGGCCTCCGTGCATGGGTGCAGTGGCACCTTTGAGATCTTCCCTGGCACCCACAGAGCACCTGTGACCCCAGGTTGGATATATGTGCAAATTAAAAGCACCACATTGGACTCCGTTCCACGGAAACCGGAGCTGCGTCTGCGCCTTGGATCCCCGGAGTTTCTCGCCTCTTGGCAAAGGCAGGTAGCAAAACTCACCGCAGTGCGTCTCGTCCGAACCATCCAGACAGTCTTCTTGGCCGTCACAAACAAAGGCGGCCTCAACGCAGCCGAAGACTTCACAGGCGAACTGCCCCTGGGTGCAGAGGATTCTGGGAAGCCCGGGGCTGGGAGTTCGAGTCAGCGCTGTCAGAGGAAAACAGCACCTTATCGGGGGCTGGCAGGGGGGCTGACTTCCAGTTGCTCTGGGGCTCGCATCCTGCTTGCGGGTTTCCCAGGATGGCCTCGTGAGAGCAGGAAGCTGGACCAAATGGGCCACAGGCCGGATCCAGCCACAGGGCTCATTATTATTATTATTATTAAACATTTCAACATAACAATTTATCAAAAACATATCAACCTCATTTCCCCCCCATAAATCCCCCCCTAAAAAGATAATGCTGCCAGTGTTTTTTTATCCGTTTACAATTTATCTGTAAATATTCAATAAACCATTCCCATCCTTTTCTAAAAAGTTTGTCATCTTGATTTCTTATTCTCCCAGTAAGGTTCGCCATTTCTGCATAGTCCGTAAGTCTGGCCTCCTCTGAACCTTTTCCAACTCTACAATCTCTTCTTTCAGGTGAGGCGACCAGAACCCTACACAGCATTCCAAATGCTCTTTGAGCAAGATCAGCCCCAGACGCACACACCCCCCGTCGCCCCCTTTGGATACGGCAGCCCTGCTTACCGGACAGCGTGGTTCGCAGGCCTGGCTGGTACGGAAAGGTTTGGGACGCGGGCAGCACCGTCGTGCCAGGGGTACCAGTGGCGAGTCTGGGCAAAGCGGGTCCCAATGGCCAGGAGGTGGACCAGGAAGGCGAGACGGGATGCTCCTTGGAGGGCTGGATCCGGGGCGATTCTGGGATGCCGGTTGCTCCTCCAGGGCGCTGGGACTCCTGCGATACACTTGGCAGCCCGGTGCGCCACTGCGGAAGAGATGCTCTCTCTGGGGCAGGAGGTCTTGTGCCAGTGACCGTAGAGGTCACACCAGCTGTGGGGTTGGAAAGAAGCAGGGGAGAAGCTTGAGTGTCTGGCCTCATGAACTACAAACCCCAGGATTTGGGGTCCAAACCGGTGTCAAAGCTTTGCAGCTGCTTGGCAGTGTTGTGTAGCGCGAATCCCGTGTTTTGCAGCGCCCCCAAATGTTTTATTCTTATCTGTTTGCTTGTTTGTTTGTGTGTTTGATTGACAAACCGCCCTTCATCAGAAGACCGCGGGGCGGCTCGCAAGGTAAACTACAAAGCAAAAAGGCAAAAAAATAGTGAAAACAAAAACAGCAAAACCAAGGAGCCTCCCAAGTAATAGATACATCAAACCGGGGTTCGTGGTTAACACATGGAAATCCAACATCCAATTCACTCCAAAGCCGTACCAAAGTTTTGTAATAGTTTTGCAGGAAAATCTGCAGGTTTTGCAGTGCCCCCTTCAAATGGAGTAATTGTGGTACCTCGGTTTTCGAACATAATCTATTCCGGTAGGCTGTTTTGAGTTCTGAAACGTTCGAAAACCGAGGCGCAAAGGGCAGTCTGCAAATTTAATGGAGGAAGTTGAGAAAAATAACATATACATTTAGCTTCTGAGGTGTGTTCAAAAACGGAAGCACTTACTTCCGGGTTTTACGGCATTCGAAAACCAAAACGTTTGTCAACGGAGACGTTCAAAAACCAAGGTACAGTGGAACCTCAGTTTACAAACGTATTCCATTCCAGAAGACCATTCAGCTTCCGCAAAGTTCGAAAACTGAGGATCAAAGGGCTGGCCGCAAAGTCAATGGGGGGAAATGAAAAATGTGCCCCGGAAGCCGTTCAGGAACAGAACCGTTCAAAAACAGAAGCATTTACTTCCGGGGTGTCGGCATTCGAAAACTGAAATGTATGTCAACGGAGACATTAGAAAACCAAGGTTCCACTGTAGCACTGTACTCAAAGCAGCCCCCCTTGAAAAGACAGGGGGCACTGTTTTCCTGGAGAAAACCTTGCCCTGTGCCAGCCTCAGCCTTCCCCTATTCCCTACCCTCTATCTTCCATGCCCATGCCCATGCCCAAAGACAGGAACAATGGATAGCAGCCTTCCATAGCCCTCTCCTCCACAAGGAATTTGTCTGTTCCTCTTTTCAAACCACCTGGGCCATCATTGTCTCTTGTGGGAGGGAGTTCCACAGTTTAACCGCTATCGAAAGCATCTGGAGGGTGCCAGGTTGTCCGAGGCTGGCATAGACTCTGGAAGAGAGACCCCGTCAGCCGACCACCTTCCCCCGGAAGAAGCCTCCAGGTGCCCCCGCCAGTCCCCCCAAACTCACTCCAGGGGCAGCCGATCACCTCCATGCGCAAGGAGGGGCTCCCGCGAAACTCCATGGGCACGAGGCGGAGGATGCGGGCCAAGATGGGTGGGCGCAGCTCCTGGCGCATTGCCGTGGCGCTGTTGAAGTTGCCCTCCAGAACCTGTGGGAAGTTGAGAAGTGTAAGCCGAGGCGGCAGAGGGCAAGAGCGAGGCTCAGAACGGGCGGGGCATGACTATTCCCCCCCAATTGTTTTTATTGGAAAAGGGTTAGAGGGCTTTGGTAGAACTCTGCCAAGGCCTTCTAAAAGTATGTCAACTCAAAATTAGGTGCCATCGAGTTCAGCATTGCTCCAGGTAAGCATTGATGGGCAGAATTGGCACAGCTACTGACAGCCCATAATCCCCGTTCCGCATTTTTTAGGACTTGGTCATTCAGTGTGGCAGCCCCTGCCCTTTGGAACTCCCTGCCTCTTGAGATCAAACAGGCACCCGCTCAAAGCATTCTTGTTTAGACAAGCCTCCCCAGATGCTTAGAAAGCTATGGTAATTTTAATCCTCTTTTAGTGTTTTTTTGGGGGTGGACTAGATGACTCTGTGGGTCCCTTCTAGCTCTATGATTCTGTGATATTAGCACCATAGCTGTATGTCTTGGGACCCACTGTATTTTCAGTGACTGTAAATTGTTTTTAAATATTGAAGGAAGGGTGGAGGCAATAAAAAGATTGATAGATGCAAGTAACATAACTGCTTCACAAACAGAGCAGAAGATAAAGTAGAGCAGGATATAATCTGATTCCCATGTCTTCTTGGTGCAAGCTGAGCAGGATGAGTGCTTAGTAAGCGGGTCGTCTGTCAGGGGGCCTTTAGCTGTGATTCCTGCGTTGCAGGGGGGGGTGGACTAGATGAGCCCTGGGGATCTCTCTCCACCCAACCCACTGAGCAGCTCTGCCTTCTTTTGGGAGCCCTGAGAGATCTCCTGGGAAGTGGGGGAGCCTGTCCTCAGCACCCGCTCAGGAGGATCCCGTGCCAGGCAGGACGAAGGGCCTGGGCAGAGGTGGTACCTGGGCCCGCAGGGAAGCGCTAGGGCCGTATCCAGATCGGGCGTAATCCCGGAAGTTGACCCCGTCGTCGCTGTAGACCAGGCGGTAACGGGAGACGTAGCCCCGGGAGGGCCCCCCGCCTTGCGTGACCACGGCAGTGAGGAACGTGGGCTGAAGGAAGTCCACCTGGAAATAGGGGTCGGGGTCCGAGGGGCCCGGGCTCCACCCGGGGGCCATGTTCTGCCTGGTGGGGGTCGGGAGAAGAATCAAGGTTTGGCCTATTAACCATTCAGCAAAATAAGCAGCTGCTGAGGGCATCAGGAGAGGGGGAGGGGCAACACAGAATTTTTTCCATAGCCCATTTTTTTTTAACATTAATAGTCACAAGTTGCTCAGCCCTCTCCTCCAGGAATTAGTCTAATCCCCTTTTAAAGAGGATTTAACATATTTTGTGGTTTTCATCTTGTATTTTTATGCCCTGACGTCTACAGCTGACGGGCAGCCTACCAATTTAATAAATAAGAATAATAAATGACAATAATAATACTGAAAGAAATGGTACCCTCACCCCAATGCTCTTTCAGCTCCCCCTATCTGTCCCTGACTCCATGAAGCTGACTTGGACCCCCAAACTTACATGTTGGGCACGATGTTGAGGCGCCCGGCGTCTGGTGGGTTCCCGTCCTGGTAGGACGAGGCGCTCAGCTGCTGCTGGTGGATTCGCCCGTCTTCCAGACCGAGGGCTTCGCTGCAGGAACCTGCATCAAGAGAGTGCACAAATCCAAGAGTTAGAGGCGCCCCCAGCTTCGCTTCCGTGGATTTGCAAAGCCAGTTTTATTTTTATTTTATTACACCAATATACCGCCCTTTGCCCAGAGATCTCAGGGCACATCACAACACGTGTCAGCTTAGAAATCGGCACAACAGCCTCTTGAGGTAGGCCAGTGTTATTTCTGCTGTATCCGAGGTTCCCAAGAGTTTTGCGGCTCCTACCCACTCGGTACCAGGAGCTCTTTCTCAGTGCCCCCTAACCCTGCCCCATAAATAAATGAAAACCATTGCTCAGGACAGCAGTTTGGACGACCTACTAGAGGAGACAATGGTAAAATTCAGCAGCGAATACTGCATGCGAAATATTTTCACACCTTCTGATCAACGAAAACAGGACAGAGGAAATTTATGGCATATTTACGTACTTTCCAAACCCACACAAACCTTCACTGCCACAGATGTACGGTAAGTAATTTATGTGAAAAATGAATCACTATCGCCAATAATGGTCTATCTTGTGACAACTCAGAATCATGAACAATAATAATAATAAAATTTATTTTATACCCCGCTCTCCCCGGCCAGAGCCGAGCTCAGGGAGGCTAACACCAGTAAAATTACAGTAAAAACCAATTTAAAATACAGGTTAAAATGCAGGTTAAAATGCAATTTAAAAAGCAGTCTCGTGCTCTACCCACTGGGCTATCCCATCAACATGGAGGAATGAAAGGTGACGGGTGCAGATCTTGGAGAGGGCTGGAACCAAGCCCCTCCCCCCCCCCCGTCTGGGAAGAGATGTGCTTTACCTGGCTGGGGGAAGGTGAGACCTTCAGGAAGCGGCCATCTGCTGGGGGACACCTGCAAGGATGGAGAGAAAAGAGAGTCACCTTCTGCTAGCCAGTTTGGATAAACGGGAATTGTCCTTCCAGGGAGCTGACGGTGTTGCTACTTGGCTCCCCGGTTTTAACTGCACCACAGTCCTGCGAGGAAGGCTGGAAAAGGGTAACCGAGAGATACCGAAACATGATAAAAAATTGTTCTTATATGCAACAACTGCGGCAAGAGTTTTGTTAGCCCAGAGATGGAAGCAACAGGAGTTAGAAGAGTGGGAGGTGAAGCTGATGGACTTTGCAAATTTATACTATATTTGAAGGACAACTGTAAGCCATTAGCACCATTAGCAGGGGTATCTGAAGATCTGTAAGGTGAAATTGCTACCTATCCAGGTTGAGTAATATAATATTTTAGGTTATGGTATAACAAGGATAGGAAGCGAAGCGGAATATATAGATGCAAAGTTTAATTTCGATTCCCCTTGGCACTCTCACCTGAGTTGCGTGGGGCACGGAAGGCTTCGTCGGCTGTTTTTCAGAGGTCCAGGAGCTGAAATAAATATTGCAAGGACTTTTGCTAAGGGGTTCCCCACAAAAGCTCCTAAACTGCAATCGTTGGCGGAGGTGCTACTGGAAGGAATTTTTTTATTTTGTTTTGCCTCTGACTGTGGAAGCAGAGCAGGGCCATCCTGGCTTGCTGCCTTTGCCAGGCCTCTCCTCCTCCACAAATTTGCCTAATCCTCTTTTAAAGCCATCCAGGTTGGCGGCCATGGCTGCCTCCTGTGGCAGAGAGTTCCCCAGTTTAGCTCTGTAGAATCGTACAATCGCTGTTAGGATATTGATGCTCCATTCCACCCTAAGAGGAACAGATATGTGGATTGTCATATGTCACATGTCTGTTTACATTCCAGCACAGCTTGCTGGGAACTTCCGTTTGTGTATTGCTTTTGCTTAGTGTTCTTCCTGCTCTTAGACATGAAGGAGTGCAGACATGTTTCCTTTGTCTTGATCTATGCTGAATAAACTGCTTGTAAATATGCTTTACATATGCCTCTGTCCGCCCTTCTGAAATATATTCGGAGTCGAAAGTGGATTTCATGCTCTTTATTCAGCTCATAGTGGTAAGGAGGAATAGAAGTTCCCCCAGAATGTCTGCTTTATATACATTATTTACACAATGGGCCCCACGTGATTGGCTAATTCTGGGATTCTCCTGTAGGCCAATCAGGTTGCGGATTCACTTCCAGCTGGAGTTGGATTGGGTGGCTCCTGCGGACCAATCAGACTGCTGCATTCTGGATCCTATTGTTCTAGGACCAATCAGACTGCCGCTTTCTGACTCCTCTTGTTCTAGGACCAATCAGACTGCTGCATTTTGGATCCTATTCAACTCAGTACATAACATCTTCCATCGCAAAGAGTTAATTACTCTGCTGATTAGAGGCTGCTCCAGCTTCTGAAGAGTTCTGAAGCTGCAGGTCGCTGTTTGATGCTGTTCCAAGGACTGGCGTTCGCCTGGTTACCGGCCAGTGGGCTGGAGCCAGCTGGGGGCCTGCGAATTACCCCCGTTCCCTTGGAAACATCCCATCAGGGTCATCTAACCCAACCTCCTGCAACGCAGGAATCTTTTGCCCGACACGGGGCTCGAACCCACAGCCCTGAGATGAAGAATCTCATGCTCCACCGACTGAGCTATCTCACCAAACCCACAGCCCATATACCAGGCTGGGGGGCAGGCTCTAAAGGAGACTCCCCCCCCGCCATGCATTACCTGCTGGTCCCAGCCGGGGGCGCTCTGCTTTCGGGCACACAGCCGACCTCATCGTCGGCGTCTGGGCAGTCGGTGACCCCATCGCACCTCTGGGAAGCTTGGATGCAGACCCCCGACGTGGCGCAGCGGAACTGGGAGGGCAAGCAGCCCCCTGGGATGGAGGGCTCTGGAGATGGGCCGACTCCTGCCAAGGGAACCCACAGCACAGATCCGGTGAAGGAAGGATCCAACAGAATTTATTACGAACCCCAACTCTGTGTAGAAAAGTAACCCAGCCTGCTAAAACGTAGCCCAGTAACCAAGCCTGTAAGAAAGGGAAAGCTTTATTTCTGCAAACTTGCAACTCACAAAGGGTGAGGCAAAGTTTAGGCTGACCGACTGAACTGACCACTGTCAGAAGTTGGCAAAGACTAGCAGTAAGGAAGGAACATTATCTTTGAAACTTGGAATCTTCTTGATTTTAAAAAGAAATGGGGGGAAAATTATAATGTATTTAAGAGAACACCGTAAACAACGAAAAACTTTGGCAGGATTTGATTAATGCTTCTGATCACGCAAAACTGTGGAAAATGAGGAGGTGAATGATATGTTTGAATTTAAACTTGTTATATAAAACTTATTAAAAATATTAAAATGCAAGAGAGAGAGAGAGAAGGGCCATTTGGGGGCGCCAGATTTTGGCCATATTACGGAAGATTACCAAAGCGTGACCCTTTTCCAATTCTGCAATCTCCTTTTTGAGCAGAGGCAACCGGAACTGCATGCAATATATTAGACGGATTGCTTGGTTTTACGTACTTCTTAAGGGGTCTCTGCCCACTACTCACCGCAGTGCCTCTCGTCCGAGAAGTCCCCGCAGTCGTTGAATCCGTCGCAAATGGCCCCATGGGGCCCAGCGGGGACGCAGCGCCCGTTCTGGCACTGGAACTCCCCGGTCCAGCAAGGCCTGGCAGTGGGTGGCACGGTTGGGGTCCCGGGAGGCTCTGGGGACACTGAAAGGGGGAGAGGAGGGTGGGGAAGTTCGAGGGTTTAGACAGAAGGAACAGCAGCGCCCAATTGCCAGGGTGGTGCGTGCTCTAGTTCAGGCATCCTCAAACTCAGTCCTCCAGATGTTTTGGGACTACAACTCCCATCATCCCTAGCTAACAAAACCAGAGGTCAGGGATGATGGGAATTGTAGTCCCAAAATATCTGAAGGGCCGAGTTTGCGGGTAGTTATCTCCTGTGTGGGCCTACCTTTGAAGATGATCTGGAAACTACAACTAATCCAGAATGCGGCAGCTAGACTGGTAACTGGGAGCGGCCGGCCAGACCACATAACACCAGTCTTGAAAGACCTACATTGGCTCCTAGTACGTTTCCAAGCACAATTCAAAATGTTGGTGCTGACCTTGAAAAGCCTGAACAGCCCAGGATACCTGAAGGAGCGTCTCCACCCCCATCGTTGGGCCCGGGCACCGAGGTCCAGCTCCGAGGGCCTTCTGGTGGTTCCCTCACTGTGGGAAGCGAAGCTACAAGGAACCGGGCAGAGGGCCTTCTTGGTGGTGGCGCCCACCCTGTGGAACGCCCTCCCATCAGATGTCAAGGAAATTAACAACTATCTGACTTTTAGAAGACATCTGAAGGCAGTCCTGTTTAGGGAAGTTTTTAACGACTGATGTTTTAATGTATTTTTAACCTTCTGTTGGAAGCCACCCAGAATGGCTGGGGAGACCCAGCCAGATTGGCAGGGTAAAAACAATAATTTATTATTATTATTATTATTATTAGTCACGCACCGCCAATACGCCTCGCCAATCCTGCCATCCTACCTTTCCCACAGCCCAGCAGCTCCACACGGAGGAAGATCCCATTGTGGAAGTCGCGGGGAAGGATCCAGACATGCCGGGCGCGCACCATGCGCTGGAAGGTCCTGACCACGGGCGTTGAGTCGTCGGAGTTCCCTTGGAAGAGCTAGAGGGAGGGGAAGAGACCGAAGGCCCCATCGTCAGAACTCATTCAACTTTACAAAGCACCGATTGAATGATATACCTCCTCTTTTTCTTTGTCTCGCTTTATTTCTTTATAATTAAAAACTTTTCAATAAAGTATTAATACCAATGTTACGAAGCACCTTGTCATCAAAAACATATATGGAGCCACCACCTTTTGAGCCATGGTCTGAGCACCTTACTACCCTGGCTATATTTAAACACATTTCTTATGAGCATCGGTTTCCTTCCTTCCTTCCTTCCTTCCTTCCTTCCTTCCTTCCTTCCTTCCTTCCTTCCTTCCTTCCTTCCTTCTCTTTCTTTTGAAATTGAAATTGAAATACTTTATTGTCACTTGTACAACTTGTATATAGTGAGATTACACAAGCACCCCCCACTCAGCTCTCTTAGTCTTAATTCCCTCGTTTACTGACGCACACCCACCAAACCCGAAAGCCAGTTGCCCTGTTGCTATCTTTTCATTCAGCAGCCTAACAGCCCATGGATAGAAGCCGTTCTTTACCCTGTTGGTGCGACTAATCCTGCTTCTATATCTTCTGCCCGAGGGCAGGAGATCAAGAAAGTGCCGGCCAGGGTGTGAATCATCCCTGAGAATTTTCCTCACTCTCCTGAGGCAACTTTCTTCCGTGATGTCATCCAGTGGATTCACGGGACAGCCCATAATATCTTGTGCTGTATTCACCACCCTCTGTAGGCACTTCCTATCAGATGATGTCAAACCAGCGTCCCACACCGTGATGCAGTAGGAAAGGACACTTTCTATTGTGGACCGGTAGAAGATCATCAGATGTTGATTGACATCGTTCTTCCGCAATACTCTGAGGAGATGGAGTCTCTGTTGGGCTTTCTTAACCACCTGGGTTGTATTGATTTTCCAATTAAGGTCTTCCCTGAGATAAACTCCTAGGAATTTAAAGGAAGAGACTCTCTCCACACAGCGGGGCTAGTTCTCCTCTCTTCCTCCAAAAGTCCTGCTTAAGCTGAGATTCCAAAACTGCAGCGGGTTGGACTAGATGACCCTTGGGTCCCTTCCAACTATGATTCCATGATTCTAAGCGATACAGATGTCCTACAGCTGTTTCCCAACTAAACCCATAAGATCAACTGTCTTAGATATAGATGCACAAAATCCCGAAAGCAGCCTTTGCCAATCTGGTGCCCTCCAGGCGTTCTGAACTACAACTCCTGCCAGCGTGCGCTGACTCGGGCTGACGGCAGCTGCCTCCCAAAACATCTGGAGGGCACCAGGTTGGCAAAAGCTGCCCTGTGGGCCCATGAACCTAGCCCTACAGTGCTGTGGGGACTTCGTTCCCCCCACTCCGTCCTCTCGAGCCAGGGGTTAGAGCGTCGGACTAGGACCGGGTTAGAGACCAGGGTTCGAATCTCCACTCGGCCATGAAGATCACTGGGCCGAGTGGCTGCCTCTCAGCCCAGCCTCCCTCACAAGGCTGTTGTTGCGGGGAGTAAGTCAGGAGGGAGAGAAGTGGCCATGGGCGCCACCTGGAGTTCCTTGGAGAATAAATAAATAAGATAGACCACATGGGTTTGGCACCTTTAGGTCGGGCACGGTGCCCGTGGAAGAGGCCTCGTGGTAGTCGTGCCACCTCACGCCGTCCAGGCTGAACCGCAGGAAGAAGCTGGTCACGTAGGCATCAGAGGATCCGGCCCCCTGCACCACCACCCCTGAGGAGGAAAGGCAATTTTATAATGACATCAAAATAAATAAATTATGTATTACATGAAATCAATCAGTAGGCATAAGACTCATACTCTTCGTCTACGCTGCCTGACCATCCGTCTACATGCACTCTTTGATATTAGAAAACAGGGACAACAGCTTGACCTACAATCAACTGGGCTGCACTGCAGGCTGCAGAATGTAGGCACCCTATATATAGAAAGGAGCAAACTGGTGATATTTGAGGGAGCAGGCTAATGGCTTAACTGAAATACAATTAAGAAGAAGTATGTTAATAGTGAAATAATTACATATTAAGCTCTAACTTAAAAGGATTTTTAATTCATAACACACTTAATAATGTAAACACATTGGCATTTGGCAAGAACGAAGGTTCCTTTAGAAACACAATTTACAAAGACTCATCGTCTAGTCTCTAGAAACTTCCTATAACATGAAATAATAACAGCTGTAAATATACAATGCAAACTACCAATAATTATAAATGGCAAAATGTAGGCACCCTATATATAGAAAGGAGCAAACCAGGGATTTTTGAGGGAGCAGACGAGCAGGCGGGGGCCATGTCTTACATCATAGGAGCCTACACAACACAAAACGCTGTTGCTGGATGTAGGTTTTATTTCATTTGTTTTTTATCTTATATTTTGGAAATGTACATCCAGTTTTCTTTCCTTTACATTTTTTGGGGGCCCCCAAGAGAGTGGGGCCCTAAGCTATAGCTTGTTTAGCTTATACAGTCATACCTCATGTTGTGTCTGCTTCAGGTTGCGTGTTTTTGTCTTGCGTCCAGATGTACCCAAAAGTATGGGAACAGGTTGCTTCCAGGTTTCGCTGCTCGCGCATACACAAAGCACTAAACCACGCCATGCGCATACACAAACACTGCACTTCTGGATGCGAATGCTTCGAGTTGCAGACGTGCCTCCAGGACGGATTACATCCGCAACTGAAAATTCCACTGTACGTAAATCTGGCACAGCCCCCACCCAACCTCAGCCGGCTCTCCAGAGTGAGGAGAGCACCCACCTGTCAGGTTCCTGGGTTCCCCCAGATCCACGTGCAGGAAGGGGGGCCGGGAGAGCAGCTCAGGATAGACGTCTGCTGGGGGAGCCCAGCCCTGGAGGTCGGCGCTGGGCAGGACGCGGTTGAGGCGGGCGGCGTGAGCCGGGTTCTCTGGCTGCTGCGAGGAAGCCGTGAAGCTGGCGTCCGGCAGAGAGGCAATGCCCAGCGGGCCGTAGCAGAGGTCTGGGTGGTGGCACAGAAGGGAGGTTGGGTTGGGAGAGCGCCTGGCATCGTGGAAACACATCACACCCAGCGTTCGAAACTCCCATCGTTCTAGGCACATTTTGCGCCAGGGAATTTCATTAGTGCAAGCAGTTTCTGAGCTCTGGGAGCCTAAGATTTCAAATTGAAACTGCAGAGTGGAAGGAAAGGGGGACCTTTTTCTGCCTCCCCACTTCCAGCTCCTCTGAAGACTGGAGAAGAGACCCTCTTAAGAATATTAGGGAGGTCGGCAGGGAAAGGACTAGACCATGTGAAAAATGAACATAATGTTTTAGCTGCTGTTCATCCATTTCTGGCATTGTATTATTGTTATTTAAAAAGCACACTTAGACATTCCGTTGTGGTGCCCATAACCTAAAGGTGCCATTTAGCTCCCATATCTCAGTTTCTAACACTGGTCACATCTCTTTTAAGGGTCCACTTTGATTGGAAAAGCCTTTCTGGGTGAGCTCATCAGCTGCTCCAGCTTTCCCTCCCTCCGTTCCTTCCTTCCTTCCTTCCTTCCTTCCTTCCTTCCTTCCTTCCTTCCTCTCTTTCTTTCATAAAATTTAAATACCACTTGATCGTGAAAAACAACAACTCTCCAAAAATCCGAGCACAGAGAGAATAAAACAATAAAATGATCCATAAATACAACACGTATTCAAACAATAATATCATAAATAAAATAGAAACGGATTTTAAAAGGCAGCAACTTTCTGTGATAAAGTGCAGCAGGACTCGAACTTTGGAACTCCCTGCCTCTTGACACCAGGCAGAGGCATCTTCACTGTGCTCTGTCCGAGGTGACGGAGCCCCGCCCACCAAGCAAGTGGGAGGAGCAACCCTTTCTTGGACAACCTCCATCCCGGAAGGGGCTCTCTCTCTGTTGCTGCAGACGAGAAGCCCCAAGTCACAGGCCTGCATTTACCCAGCTGCAAGGAACGATGTGCGCAGAGTCTCACCTCCGAGAGGGGGCATTGGGAAGGTGTTGAAGGGCAAGGCTGTGGTCAAGGCAGCCGGACTGGCCACGGTGGGCCCCAGGGGTCCCAGGGCTGGCACAGTTGGCAGAGCTGTCCGGTTCTCACCTGCAAAGGAAGGAAACAGGAGGGGTGGGGCAGATTCTGTGGTGACGCCCTGGGCCACCACCAAACACGAGACCCTGGGGGGTAACTAGGGTTTTGAGCTGGGGAATTCTGTGGAATCTGCTTGTGACCTCAAGACTCCTGTGAGTGCTGCACTGTAGGGAGCTGAATAATAATAATAATAATAATAATAATAATAATAATAATAATAATTTTATTATTATTATTTATACCCCGCCCATCTGGCTGGGTTTCCCCAGCCACTCTGGGCGGCTCCCAGCAGAATACAGTCATACCGTGGGTTACAGACGCTTCAGGTTGTTTGTGTTATGGACCGCCAAAACTGGGAAGTACCAGAACGGGTTACTTCCAGGTTTCGGTGGTTGCACATGCACAGAAGCGCTAAATCGCAACCCGCACATGCGCAGATGCGCCACTGCGGGTTGCGAACGTGCATCCCACACGGATCACATTCACAACCTGAGCATCCACTGTATTACCGTATTTTTGTGTATAAGACAAGGTTTCCCCCCTAAAAAATAATGTCAAAAATTAGGGGGTGTCTTATACATGGGACCATCTTCCCCCATTTTCTTAAACCTGAGTCCCCCAAAATACATGGGGGCGTCTTATAGATGGGGAAAGACTGTAATAGTAATAAAAAAGCAATAAAACACCAGACATTAAAAATTTCCCTAAACAGGGCTGCCTTCCAACGCTACAATTCCAGGATGCTACGAAATATTTGGGAATTGTAAGATTTGAACACAGCGTCCCCAAAGTTCAAAAAACAAGGAATAAGATTCCCAAGGGGCAAGATAAGGAAACAGGGGTCGTCCCCCATGATTAGCGGCAATTGGAGCATTGCAGGGGGTTGACCTACTTAGTTGTGATTCCTGCATTGCAGGGGGTTGGACTAGATGACCGCTGGGGAGCCCTCCCAACCCTGCAATTCTAGGATTCTGTGATTCATCGGAGGCTTTTAAGCAGAGGTTGGATATCCATCTGCCAGGGGTTCTTGAGCTGTGAATCCTGCATCTAGAGTTCTAAAACTTATTCCTCATTCGGTGCAGCAAATAATTCACAAACCCAGTGTATATAAACACACAGGCCTGGAGAGAAAACTGAAATTGCAGAGTCTGTCCGATGTGGGGTGGGAGGAGAGGTGCAGGGTCTCTGCCCCCTTTCCCTGCCACCCTGGGGGGCTCACCTGCCTCCACGCAGTAGCAGCAGGCGTCTCCTCGGCCCTCGACCAGGACTCGGCCCTGCAGGAGGGAGGGATGCACATCAGTGAGGAAGTCGGCACATGCTCAGAGACACCCTCGCACTCTGGTGCACAGGAAGAGGAGGGAACGTGCCAGACTCACCTCAGGGCAGGCCACCGTGCTGTAGGGGCAATACTGGGAGCACTGGACGGTCAGGTTGGGCAGGCATTGGCACACCTGGCACTGCCCCGAGCGCCAGCGGTCACCAATGGCATGTGCCCGGCCGTGGTGCTCGCACTCTTCGCACGGATCCGTCTGACACCTGCGAAGGGGGAGGGAGGGGCTGCAGGAGATCATGGCTGGTGGATTCCATCCAGGGCCCCCCATGTAAGTGGGGAAAGGCAGCCGGGCAACCTCCCCGCCCCCCACAAGAGAAAGTAGACAAATCAGGTTTTTTCTTTGTTTGGCTTCTGCTGGTTGGCTGCAGCCGATTGGGGCAGTAACCATGGCTGGCAGGTGAGAGAGAGAGATCATGGATTAGAAATGTTCTCCAAGGAGAATGGCAGATTTGTGGTGTCCAAACTTTTTTCAAAGAGGGCCAGATTTGATGAAGTGAAGGGCCATGAGGGCCGACCAAAGTTGCTGAATTTTTTTTAGGATTTAAGTTGTTGAGCTTTTTTTTGGATTTTACCCCAAAGTTGTTGAGGATTTTTTAAGATTTAAGATTAAAGTTGTGGAGGTGCTGGATTAAACAGATTAGGCCCCTGAAACGGACTTTGGACATGCCTGGATGTCAAAATGGCAAAAGTGACCAGAAAAATCAGAAATCAGAAAGACCAAAAGTAGAATAAGGAATGTGTGCCTCCTGCAAAAATGGTAAATCCAGATAAAATTTGGAAGCTGTTCTTGCTGAAGATGACATCACACAGACACTGTGCGAAACGTGGCTTGAGGGAGCCAAAGAGTCTTCCTCAGTCTGCTTTATTTATGAAAAATATTTATATACCACCATCTCTCTCTCTCTCTCTCTCTCTATATATATATATATATATGAGGCTCACAGCAACAACATCTTTAAAAAACCACATAAGAAATACCGCAAAAACGTAATGAACCGTTGAGGGAGGATAAACCCTCCATTGTGGGAGAGAAAAGTTTTCAGCTTCGCCCTCTCGTGAAAAAGGAGCACCTCGTAGGTCCTCCAAGCGATGGCTGGCTCTGTGTGGGCTCACCTGCGGGCTTTGCGGTAGATGCCTCGGCACTGGCGGCCGTTGCCGTGCTTGCTGGGGTTGTTGGGGCTGCGGAAAGACCACTGGATGCTCTGCACCCCGCAGGGACCCAGGCACTCGCCCCAGGGCGACCAAGAGGACCAGCCGCAATTCACTGGCAAGGCAGGGGAAAGCGGGGAGGAAGAGTTACCAATAAGGAGAGGGGCACTGGCTGGCACATCTGCACACCTGCAACTCCCCACTTGTCTCCCCAGATGTTGTTGGATTACAATTATTATAATATATAGAACGATTATCTATTAAAGTTGTCTCCTGCCCAAGTATTTTAGACAAGCTCAATGGCGATGGCAGGGCCGAGGGGGGCACCTGTGGGGTGCTGCCCCACAGGATTCTGCTGCCCCAGGTGGCTGCTTCAGTGCGTCTCCTGGGCAGGGTGGCCTTGCGGGTGGAACACGGTGTGCCCCCCCCCCACAAGAAGGTTTTGTGGGATGTAACATCACTGAAGCAGTCAAGTACAACATTTCCTGTTTGCCCAGAGTGGAGACGCAGAGGAATGTTGCTCCAGCCAGGAGGACATCCTGTCACATCTGGTGGGCGTGACCCTGGCAGACCCTATAAAGGGGCTGGTCACGCAGCCATCTTCCTCTCACTCCTCTCTTGACTTTCTTGATGCCTTTGGCTGTCTGCTGGCTCTCAGCCAGCAGCACATGGGCTCATCCCTCACAGAGGATGGACCCACGCTTTTCTCTGTACAGTGGTCCCTTGGTTCTCAAACGCTTTGGTTCTCAAACTCCAGATACCTGGAAGTAAGTCTTCCGGTTTTTGAACGTTTTTCGGAAGCCGAACATCTGATGCAGCTTTCGGCTATTCTTTCCAGGGCGCCTGCACCAATCAGAAGCTGAGGCTTGGTTTTCAAACATTTCAGAAGTCAAACGGACTTCTGGAATGGATTAAGTTTGACGCTTTTGTTTTTGCTATTTATTTTGCATTTTTGTTTTTGAGGCTGTGTGGAACCCAGTTCAGCTACTGATTGACTGATTGTGTGGCTGCAGAAATGGATAAAATTCCCCCATTCAAACAATGACTATCATCACTGGAGGTAAGAAAAAAATTAATTTTAATTTTTAACATCTGCAATACTGTCTTATTTATTTTATAGTACAGTACATTGATTATTGCTTTCATTTTATGGATCAATGGTCTCGTTAGGTAGCAAAATTCATGTGAAATTGCTGTTTTAGAGGTCGTCTTTAAAAGTCTGGAACGGATTAAATCATTTTACATTCCTTTCTATGGGAAAGCGTGCCTTGGTTTTGGAATGCTTTGGTTTTGGAACAGACTTCCGTAACAGATTAAGTTTGAGAACCAAGGTACCACTGTAACTGTAACTACAAGCTCAAGCCTCCCTTCAGGACCATACTGTGAACTGAATGTAAGTAAACCTTATCATTACATTTAATAGAAGTCTGTTGTGTCATTATTGCTTTTAAGAGGGAACTAAAGGGGATTTGCCAGGAACAATCCAATCTGGACAAGCCAAACTGGATTGCTTCCTGCAATGTGCAAGGGAATGTGCCCTGCTACTAGCTCACTAGCCTTAGTAAGGAAGGATAATATTTAATCAATATATCCTCTCCTACTATCCTCAATGTTCCCACAGGTTTGAGCCTGGGGGACCACCGGATTGTCGGGGGCACCTCCTGGGGCATCTAGCAATGCGGGGAGAGGGGCCGTGCCCACCTGTGCACTCCGGGTTCTGCCGGCAGCGCTTCATCTGACCGTCCTGGCAAGTGCAGATGCGGCAATTGACCTTCACCAGTTGGCCGGGCCAGTAGCGGATGCCCTCCACCTGGCAGGGACACTCTCGGGGGCGCACGCACTGCTGATCGCTATCCAGGACCAGCCCATCGGGGCACCAGCACCCTGAGCAGGAGAGAGAGAGAGGTGGGGGAACGGAGGAAGGGAGTGCAATAATAAAATTTAAGGTCTTACATATATAATAAATGTTCATAAATGTACCAACCAAGCACGTACACACCAATCAGCACAGGAAGACCGACCTGAAACCATTTTGACTCCCAAACTGACCAAATGTTTCCCCTGCAAGGAGGGAGGGGGTGAGGGAGCCTCCCCATTGTCTCAGGAATTGGGTAATCACCATCTCAAAGGAATGGCCAGACTACCAGAAAAGGCAATCAGATAAGGCATTATCAGATAACCTGGCAGACAGGAAAAACAACACATTCAAATTTCTGTTGTAGACCACCTTTTCTGCAATGTAGGTACAGTCATTCCTCGGGTTGAAGTACAGTGGTGCCCCGCAAGACGAACGCCTCGCAAGACGGAAAACCCGCTAGACGAAAGGGTTTTCCGTTTTGGAGGCGCTTCGCAAAACGAATTTCCCTATGGGCTTCCTTCACAAGACGAAAGCCCATAGGGAAATCTCCGGGACAGCGGGGAAGCGCAGTGCGTCTTCCCCACTGTCCTCGGACCTCCTCCGAAGCCTGGCGGTGGGGGGGAACACCTCCTCCCGCCGCCCGGCTTCGGAAGGATGCTCCGAAGCCGGGTGGCGGGGGGGGGAAACACCTCCTCCCGCCGCCCGGCTTCGGAAGGCTGCTCCGAAGCCTGGCGGGGGGGCAGAGAGACCTTCTCCCCACGCCAGGCTTCGGAAGGCTGCTCCGAAGCCGGGCAGTGGGGGGGGGAAACACCTCCTCCCGCCGCCCAGCTTCGGAAGGATGCTCCGAAGCCTGGCGGGGGGGGCGGAGAGACCTTCTCCCCGCGCCAGGCTTCGGAGCAGCCTTCCGAAGCCTGGCGGGGGGCGGAGAGGTTTTTTAAAAACCCCGGGACAGCAGGTTTAAAATCGCCCCGGGCGGCGCGTTTCTCCACTGTCCCGGAGGGCTTTTGAAGGCAGGCGGGGGGAGCAAAGACTTTCGCCCCCCGCCCGCCTTCAGAAGAGGTCCTGGACCTCTTCTGAAGGCGGGCAGGGGGCAAAAGGCTTTGCTCCCCCCTGCCTGCCTTCCCGGGAGAGCTTTTGAAGGCCCTTGTCCCCCCCCCCAGACTTCAGAAGAGGTCGGGGGACAGACTGTCCCCGGACCTGGTCTGAAGTCGGTTTCCATAGGAACGCATTAATTGATTTTCAATGCATTCCTATGGGAAACCGTGCTTCGCAAGACGAAAAACTCGCAAGAAGAAAAAACTTGCGGAACAAATTAATTTCGTCTTGCGTGGCACCACTGTAGCTTCGGGATAAGTATTTTCGGGTTGCGCACTGTGGCAATCCAGAAGTAACGGAGCACGTTACTTCCGGGTTTTGCCGCTTGCACATGCACAGACGGTCAAAATGACGTCACACGCATGCACAGAAGCGGCAAATTGTGACCTGCAGACGCAGGTTGCATTCGCTTCTGGATGCGAACGGGGCTCCGGAACAGATCCCGTTCACATCCAGAGGTACCACTGTATGATGTTTGTGGGGTTGGTCTTGAGCTCCAGGGCAGGGAATTAAAAATGTCTATATAAGGGCGGACACATCTGGGTTCTGGGTCCTCCTCCTCTCCTGCGTGTGAGGGGAGCACCCTGTTGCAACAGATCAATAAAGATCAGGCATACTAGCTGCTTGGCTTCTCAATATTCTCTGCTTGGCCTCTGTTCTTTTCTCCTACCAATAGGGAACCCACTTAAGGACTCTATACGGGCTCTTGGATACCCCATAAGGAAAAAATGGCAAATTTTGTTTACAACAGGAGACAAACCAGACAGCGGTTTATCCTGGCCTGTTGCCTTGATACCATTTAAAAAACCAGGCTGCGTCTAGTTCAGAGCCGTTAGTTTAGGTTTCTCTCGCTTTCTCGTTTTCCACATTCGATTCTCCACATCGCCACACCAATTTGCAATCTTTAAAAAAAAAGTTCTCCTGAAAATGCATCTCTCGAGGCACATGTTTCTATGGAACTTTGCCTTATAACAACATTCTTGCAATGCAATTGTCCCTAACAGAATGCTTTTTTGTTCTTAATTGAATTATTTATTGATACCTGTTCGTAGATACACAAAAGCACGTGCCCATTACAAAGTATATACTACTTAGTCTATCATAGAGCTACTTAGTCTGAAAAAGAACGGAGTCAGAAAGAAGAAAAAACAAGAAAAAGAAATGTGAAAAAAGAGAAAGGGAAAGAAAGAAAGAAAGAAAGAAAGAAAGAAAGAAAGAAAGGGAAAACTACAGAATGATAGAAAAGGGTGAAAGGACTTCTGGCTCTCTGTCCCGCAGCTGCATATAATATTCATTCCTTAAAATAAAACTGTTATTTTGACTAACACTTTCCATTTTATGCACAGCTGAGCCTAGCAGGATGTGCTTTTTTACATTACCTCGCAGGAAATTTAGAGAAGTGCGAATTTCAGAGGCTCCTTCTGTGTAATGGTTCCTGTGTTTGTTTATTTATTCCTGCATAATTTTTATATATTTTCAAGAATAACATCTACGTACAAAATAAAACAACTGTCTTCAGCAGTATGGATGTTTGTCATTTTTGAGTCACTCAAATATTGCAAAGTTTGATGAATGCAATAGATCCAGTAACAAATAACTACCCCCCCCCCAGAGCAGCCCCCAAAATAAAATTATTTTTTTTGGTGAGCAGTCCACACACATTGCATCCTCCGGAATACCACTTTAGCAAAGCTCTGTTACAAGTGAGAGACGATAAATGAGGCCAGGAAAACCCTTTGAATGACAAGATATAAAAGAATAAGGAGAAATGATTTTTGAGGCTATATGGAAGGTTATTTGGAGAATTTGTACTGTTAAAACGGAAAGGGGGCAAACTATCGCAAGAGGTGTCGAAATTTTGGATAGTTATAATGGAATGGTCTTAGTGGTGGGGTGCACATTTTTATTTCTATCTATTTCAATAAATAAATAAATATGCGTGCCATTTTGGCCATTGGGCGAAAAAGATGTACATATATAAATAAATTGTAACAAAGAAAAAAAAGAAAGACAGACAGAAAAGAAAGAAAGAAAACAAACAAGATCATCACCAATAAGTTCAGTGAACAAGGTAGGAATATTAAAACAGAAATATAGATGTTAAATGTTCTATTTTTTACACAGTGTGAAGGAGAATGTCGTGGATTGTTTTCCCTTGTGGGCATTTTTTTTTTTTTTTACATGTAAGGTGCTATTTTTTAGAAAAAGGGGGAGAAAAGAAAAGATGAAAGAAAAGAAACGAATGCAGTACAGTGGTACCTTGGTTCTCAAACGCCTTGGTACTCAGACAACTTGGAACCCAAACACTGCAAACCCAAAAGTAAATATTCCAGTTTGCGAACTTTCTTTGGAAGTCGAACGTTCTCCATTTTGAGTGTTCCGCTTCCAATTTGACTGTTACACTGAGGTCTGTCAGTTTTTGCTATTTATATTGCGTTTCTGTTTTTGCGGCTCTTTGGTTTTCGTTTTTGTGACTGTGTGGAACCCAGTTCAGCTACTGATGGATTGACTGTGTGACGGCGGTACATTGTTTATTGTTTTCATTTTGGTCTCGTTAGATAGCAAAATTCATGTTCAATTGCTGTTTTAGGGGTTGTTTTTAAAAGTCTGGAACGGATTAATCCATTTTGCATTCCTTTCTGTGGGAAAGCGCACCTTGGTTTTGGAACACTTTGGTTTTGGAACGGACTTCCGGAACGGATTAAGTTTGAGAATCAAGGCACCACTGTACCACACTTTGGTTTGGCTTGCATACCGGTTCGGAAAGTGTGAATCGGGTTCGCTCTTGAACGGGAACTGAACCGTATCCTGCCCCCCGCCTGCCAGCCCCCTTTCCCTGCCCCTCCCCTGCTTACCTGGCCTGCAGGGCCGGTCCTTTCTGCACCGCGTGCGGCTGGAGAGTTCGGCGCAGGAGGTGGGGCAAGGCGCACACTTCCGGCTGACCAGCTCCCCGGGGCAGGTGGAGGCGTTGGCACAATCTTCCCGTTGGCACAGCTCTGCAGAGGGCAAAGGGGAGCAGAGAGGGCTGCTTGGGGCGCTGCCAGTTTGGCCACGTAAGCCCCCCACCCACCACGAACACCATGGCCCACAGAAGGCCGAGGAAGAAGCAGCTCTCTTGGGAATTATAGGAGTAGAACTACCTAAATTGTATAGACATTTATTCATGTATGTGACCACAGCGGCAAGAACGCCACTCGCCCCCAAATGGAAAGAAGCAGAAGTCCCAGCAAAGGAAGAATGGATCCCAAAACTTATGGAATATGCAGAAATGGCAAAACTAACTGGAAGAAATCAAGAGATAACTTTTTATAAAAGAACGGAAATGGTTTGTTGAATATTTACAGATAAACTGCAAACGGATAAAAACATTGGCAGGATTATTGTAATAACCTGCAGTTACAAGAGTATATATATATAAAGAAGGTAAATAAATAAGTTAATTTGCATATGCAGAAGGTATTAAAAATAAATTTGAGGAACTGCAGAAAGGGGGGGAAGGAAGTCGAGTTTTAAAATGACAAAATGATTGTAAAATCAGTGAAATGTATATATCTGAAAAGTCTTTTTTTTTAAGAGGAAGAAGCAGCTTGAAGGATGCTTGGAGGGCCATCTGTCATGGATGCTTTAGCTGAGATTCCTGCCTTGCAAGGGGTTGGACTAGAGGACCTCTGGGGGCCCCCTTCCAATTCTACGATGTCTCGCCCAGCATTATCCTCCCTCTGCCGACTCCCCAGACTGACTCACCGATCTCGATGGAGCTGGTCAAAGCCTCTGGCATCTCTGTGCAGTGGCGACCCCCGTTCTGGGAGGGCAGGCACTCTCGCCGCCGGACCACAACGCCACGGCAGTCCTGGGTGCAGTTGGACCACGTCGCCCATTCGCTCCACACACCGTCCACTGCGCGGAAGGGAGAAGCGAAAGCGTCAGGGCAGGGGGGAGCGGAGAAAGGGACCTCGCAGGCAGTGGGTGAGATTTCCAGCAAAGGAAATCCTGCAGAACTCTCCTGGCTGGTATGCAGAGAGGAGCAAGAGAGGTGATCAAAAGTCTGGAAATCAAGCCTGATGAGGAACAGTTGAAGGAGCTGGGTAGGTTTAGACTGGAAAAGAGAAGACTGAGAGGAGATAAGAGAGCCATCTTCAAATATCTCAAGGGTTTTCACATGGAAGAGGGAGAAAACTTGTTTCCTCCAGATCCGGAGGGTAGGACTCGAACCCATGGATTTAAATGACAAAATGGCAAAATGGACAGGGAGAATCAGAAACCAAGGAAATAATAAATTTATTAAGGAATGGGGAAAAAGTATAGATTATCTTAAAGAACACTGTACACAGTTAAAAACGTTAGCAGGATTAATATAGCACTTGTAAGGTAATCTTTCTGTGGTTACAAATGGAAATTTGAATATTAATTTGGATAATATTCTAAGATGCAGTATATAACGTAGTGCTATGGAAATCATGGGGGAGCGGAGGGCTCAAAAAATAGGGGTCGTCTTATACATGGGAAAATGTGGTGTGTGTATCTATATATATGACCATGAAAAATGGGCAGCTTGTCTAGGAGCCACTTCTCCCCTGGTTCAGTGCCAAGGGCCCCTACAGATTGAGGTTGAATCCTGACAAGACAGAAGTACTGTTTTGGGGGGACAGGGGGCGGGTGGGTAAGGAGGACTCCCTGGTCCTGAATGGGGTAACTGTGCCCCTGAAGGACCAGGTGCGCAGCCTGGGAGTCATTCTGGACTCGCAGCTGTCCATGGAGGCGCAGGTCAATTCTGTGTCCAGGGCGGCTGTCTACCAGCTCCATCTGGTATGCAGGATGAGACCCTCCCTGTCCGCAGACTGTCTCGCCAGAGTGGTGCATGCTCTGGTTATCTCCCGCTTGGACTACTGCAATGCACTCTACGTGGGGCTAGCTTTGAAGGTGACCTGGAAACTACAACTAATCCAGAATGTGGCAGCTAGACTGGTGACGGGGGGCGGCCGCCGAGACCACACTGGCTCCCAGTACGTTTCCGAGCACAATTCAATGTCGGTGCTGACCTTGAAAGCCCTAAACGGCCTCGGTCCAGTATATCTGAAGGAGCGTCTCCACCCCCATCGTTCTGCCTGGACACTGAGGTCCAGCGCCGAGGGCCTTCTGGCAGTTCCCTTACTGCGAGAAGCCAAGTTACAGAGAACCAGGCAGGGGGCCTTCTCGGTAGTGGCACCCGCCCTGTGGAACGCCCAGATGTCAAAGAGATAAACAACTACCTGACATTTAGAAGACATCTGGAGGCAGCCCTGTTTAGGGAAGCTTTTAATGTTTGATGGATTCCTGTATTTTAATATTTTGTTGGAAGCCGCCCAGAGTGGCTGGGGAAGCCCAGCCAGATGGGCGGGGTATAAATAATAAATAATTCCTCTTCTTCTTCTTCTTCTTCTTCTTCTTCTTCTTCTTCTTCTTCTTCTTCTTCTTCTTCTTCTTCCTCTTCTTCCTCTTCTTCTTCTTCTTCCTCTTCTTCTTCTTCCAGTTGCCCCCAGCTCCCTCCTCTGCTCCCCCTCTTGCTGCTCCCACCGTCCTCCCTCCCCCCAACCCCTCTCACCTGGGCAGGCCACCGCGAAGCACTGCTGGGCCTGGGCTTCTTCTCCCAGGCAGTGCCGAAGGACGTCGTCCGCCCGCCGGGTGCAGGACCTGCGGCGCACCTGCAGCCCCGTCCCGCAGGAGCGGCTGCACGAGCTCCAGGGAGCCCAGGGGCTCCAGAGGCCGCAGTCCCGCTCGTCCGAGGGCAGCCAGCCGGAGGACTCTGTGCCGTCGGTGCAGTCGGCCAGGCCATTGCACACCTGGGGGGCAGGAGGGAGAGAGGGCATGGGGTCAAATATTGCGTGGTCTTCGTTGAAGATTTGTTCCAATATTTACGATGGTGGTGATGAATTCCATCTATATCCCCAGCTCTCCTCTAAGGAGCACAAGGCAGCGCATGTGGTTCACTTCCCCATTTTGTGAAATTTTTTTGGGGGGGGTGTTGTTATTGGGTTATTGTTTTTATTTTGATTTTATATATCATGGATTTTTTTTTCTGTGAACCACCCTGATACCTCAGGTATAGAGTGGTATATAAGTTCGATAAATAAATTAATAAAACAAGTAGCCCAAAACAGTAGGAGGTTAAAGCTGGTTGGGGAATAATAATAATAATAATAATAAATTTATATACCACCCTTTATCTAAAGATCCCAGGGCACTATACAGCATTAAGAACACATTTTACAGAACATCAGTAATAAAAACATAATAAAAATCATAACACACAGCATAATAATAAAAAATTGTTACAGTCCCCGCCCCATATAGATAATTTAATGGCCAAAGGCCTGGGTGAAGAGGAATGTTTTTGCCTGGTGCCTAAAGACATGTAATGAAGGCACTGGGAGAGCCTCCCTGGGGAGAACATTCCATAAATAAGATATTTTATTATTATTATTATTATTATTATTATTATTTGTACCCCGCCCATCTGGCTGGGTTTCCCCAGCCACTCTGGGCAGCTCCCATCAGAGATTAAAAATGCATTAAAACATCCGTCCTTTAAAACTTCCCACAAGCAGGGAGCCACCCCAGAAAAGGCCCTATTCTTGTGTTGCCACCCTCTGGACCTCTTGTCAAAAGGGGGACATAGAGAGGGGCCTCGGACGAGCGCAAAATCTGGGGAGAGGCGGTCCTTAAGGTATTGCAGTCCTGAGCTGTTGGTTCTTTCCCGAAATATTTGAGATCCCTTTTGCAGATGGGAAAGAAAACTGGGTGGGTGGCTGGACAGGACCAGGGCTTAGGGTAGTGTAGTGGGCAGGGGAGACGGAGTGAAAGGCCCCCCACAGCCCCCGGTCGCACCTGTTTAAAGGCAATGCAGGCGCCATCCCCGCAGGAGTACTCCGTACAGGGTCCCGCGGTCTGGTTCCTTTCGCCGGGACGGACCACGTGGCTCTCTGCAGGTCAGAAGGAAAAGCCATCAGCATCACAGGAGGGCCAGCAGAGGAGGAGAAGGAGACCCCAGCTGTCCCCAGCCCCAGTCCCAGCCCATTGGGGGGCAGAAGAAGCCTTCCTTGGCTCTGACCCTCAGTCAGCTCCTTGGGAAGTGGAACATCATCTGCATTGTGTAAGGACTTCCGCAGAGCCTGCTGGATCTTGTCCGGAATCCTGGACAAACCAGACCAGACTCTGAGTGGAAGCCCAGGCAAAGGGCCCAATCTGTGCCGGATTTATGCATAAGCTAAACAAGCTACAGCTTAGGGCCCCACTCTCTTGGGGCCCCCAAAAAATTTAAAGGAAAAAAACCACCTGGATGTACATTTCTAAAATGTAAGATAGAAAACAAATAAAATAAAACCTACATACAGCAACAGTGTTTTGTGTTGTGTAGGTTCCTATGACATACGTTGTGGATAGGCAACCTACGGCCCGGGGGCTGGATCCGGCCCAATTGCCTTCTAAATCCGGCCCGCGAATGGTTTGGGAATCAGTGTGTTTTTACATGAGTAGAATGTGTCCTTTTATTTAAAATGCATCTCTGGGTTATTTGTGGGGCAACCCTGGAAATACATTTACCAGAAATGGGGGGGGGGTGGCAGCAAAGGGAGAGACAAGGCAGACAACAAATTGGGGGAGTGAGGCCCGGGAATTGCTTAACACGCCCAGGACCCTCCCACACTCCCAGAAACCTCTGCCTGAACGTCTTCGAACGGTTTCTCATGAGGACTAGAAGCTTGCTTTCAAAACTGGACTGATTTTTACGCAGGGGGTAGCTCAAGCGCATTGGATGCCCAGCAAAGCCCCTCTCCGCCTTCCCGGCCAGGGAAGGGAGCAAGAGTCTCAAATCTGGGCATGGGATATCGTGAGAGCGTCCCTTTTTACCCCACTTCCGTTCCAGCCAGCCGCCAGGCGAGGGCCACCGGAGGCTCCTTACCGCAGGCCATCTCGTCCTCTCCCTGGGGGCAGTCTGGGGAGCCGTCACACACCCGGGAAACATTGATGCACATGCGGTTGTCGCAGATGAAGAAGCCTGGGCAGGGCGGGATCTGCGTGGAGCCTGCGACAGGAAAGAGAAAGGAGGGTTATTCCCAGGGAGACAGGATGAGCTGGACACCAGAGATGCCCCCACAGGTCCCTTTGGAGAGGCTGAGGGTGGTTCCTCATTTCCCCCACCTTACAGCCCCTTCTCCACATTTCCACATTGAAACTGAATTGAAATTGAAATACTTTATTGTCACTTGTACAACTTGTACACAGTGAGATTACACAAGCACCCCCCCCTCAGCTCTCTTAGTCTTAATTCCCCTCGTTTACCCACCAAACCCAAAAGTCAGTTGCCCTGTTGTTGTCTTCACTCAGCAGCCTAACAGCCCACGGATAGAAGCTGTTCTTTACCCTGTTGGCGCCACTAATCCTGCTTCTCTATCTTCTGCCCGAGGTCAGGAGGTCAAGAAAGTGCCGGCCAGGGTGTGAATCATCCCTGAGAATTTTCCTCACTCTCCTGAGGCAACATTCTTCCACTATTTCATCCAGCAGATTCACGGGACAGCCCATAATATCTTGTGCTGTATTCACCACCCTCTGTAGGCACTTCCTATCAGCTGATGTCAAACCCGCGTCCCACACCGTGATGCAGTAGGAAAGGACACTTTCTGTTGTGGACCGGTAGAAGGAGATAATCAAATGTTGATTGACATCGTTCTTCCACAATACTCTGAGGAGATGTTGGGCTTTCTTAACCACCTGGGTTGTATTGATTTTCCAAGTAAGGTCTTCCCTGAGATAAACTCCTAGGAATTTAAAGAGACTCTCTCCACACAGCGGGGCTAGTTCTCCTCTCTTCCTCCAAAAGTCCAACACCATCTCCTTTGTCTTGCTAATATTAAGGTGTAAGTTGTTCCCTAGGCCCCATGTAGATTTTTTTTGGACCTCCCCTCTAAACGCTGATTCATCTCCATCTGTTATTAAACCCATTACGGTGGTCTCATATGCAAACTTAATATTTGCAGTAGACGGGACAGATGATACACCATCGTATGTATACAATGAATACAGGTAGGGACTCAGCACACATCCCTGTGGCGTGCCAGTGCTGATTTTTAAGGAATTAGATGTTACATATACAATCCTCACATCAGTTCTTTTTAAGAAGAAAAAAAATCCACAGGAAAAGTCACCAGCGAACTCCTGGCGTACACGTGCTTGTGTGCCATTTCCTCTAATGTGTACATTTTTCGCAGCTCAATTCCGTTAATTGGAATTTTATTGAATTCGCAGCCCATCTTTCCTCCTGGAGGAGCCCAGGGGGGCGAGCGGATGCACAATGTCAACCTTTAAAACATTCTGGAAACAATTTCAGCTAAACCATCCTAAAAAAACTGTTGCAGTGACAAACATTATTTCATTATGCCTGGGAATAATATTTGAAGGCTATTTGCACTAACCTGTGCATTGATAGGTGCACCGCATTCCAAAATTTGGGAGGTTTTCAGAGGAGGGCTGCGTTTCGCTTTACAAATTGTTCCAGAAAGGGCTAATTCGAAAGGGTTGCCTCTCCATGTGAACTGGAAGGAATTTCTTCCCCATCGCCAGTTGACGGGGCCTCATTCCCACACTCCAGACTTCAGCTTAAGCTCAGTGGCTTTTTGGGGGGGCCCTAAAACTCATCCCCAGTGCCCCCTTCCCTATCCTATAAAAAGCCTTATTTAGAACAACGGTTTGCACAACCCGCTAAGGAAGGTAACAACAGCGTAAAATTCAAAAGAACAACAACTAATTGCACATTTATTCAAAACCCAATTATAGCTATTTAGTTTGATCAGTTCAAAAAACCGATGGAACTTGATCAGAGCAGAAGACTCTTCATCTCAGGGCTGTGGGTTCAAGCCCCACGTTGGACGAAAGATTCCTGCATTGTGGAAGGGATGGACTAGATTACTCTCAGGGTCCCTTCCAACTCTACCATTCTATGTTTCTATGATCCAGCGAAACCAGCCTTTCGGCGCCCAGCTCCAAATTAGCCCTAGAGGCAGGGCAAGTTGGAATCATAGGCTTGTAAAGTTGGAAGGGTCCCCTGAGGGTCCTCTAGTCTGACCCCGGCCACGCAGGAATCGTCCACCCAGCCCTTCTTGTCGTCTGCGAAGAGCCCCGGTCGTGGGGGCAGGATCTGCTCACCGCAGGTGTCGACGCTTTCGTCCGAGTGGTCCTGGCAGTGGGGGGCGCCGTCGCACAGCCGGCTGTAGTGGATGCACTCTGCCCCATGGGCGCAGGGGAACTGGTCCAGGCCGCAGGTGCGGTTGCACTGGAGCTCGTCGCTGGCATCCAGGCAGTCAGCTTCGTTGTCGCACACCCAGCCGCGCGGCTGGCACTCCCCGCTGTGGCAGTGGAACTCGTAGCGGCCGCAGGGTGGCGCTGCGGGGAGGGCAGGATGAGAGAGGGAGAAGGGAGAGAGAAGGAAAGAGGTCAAGACGTTCAGAGCAAGGCTCCAGACTGAAGCAGCCACTCAGGCCGCAGAAGCCCAAGGGCAGGTGTCCCATGGGTGCCCCGCCCTCCCCGCCGCCTTCACCTCTGAAATCTCACGAGATCTCGCAAGATCTGCTGTTATTGCAGCCCCTTTGCCAGGGCCACCAAGCAACCCAAATAGCAGAGACTTCAGTGCAGGGAGATGACACATTCCCATTTCACCCCTGCTTGGGAGAAAAATTCTCCCCAGGGTCCTGTTGGGGACTGGCTGGACACTGAGGAGTGGGCACAGGGAGATTGGAGGCTGGCTTGGAAAAGGGGATCAGTGATCTAGGGGAGCCTGTAACAGCCAGGAGACGAGAGTCAGAGTCAGGAGAGTGAGAGCAGGATTGGAAGGTGAAGCAGAGGTGCAGAAAGAGGGAGAGAGAGGTCAGGGTGCTGTAGAGCCCAGGGCTTCCCTGTGTCTCCTCCTCCTGCCCCCACCTCTCCTGCCCCACTGTCTCCCAGGACCAGAAGAGGAGTGAAGAGAGAAGATCAGATGCAGCTTGCACAAAGGCTTAGTCTTTGCCTGCTCATGCCAGCTTGGGTGCGGAAGATGCACAAGCTGAGGTCGAGGCCTCTCTGTTGCAGCAACGACCTCAATGGGTAGCTGAGAGATGTAGGACATGCTTCTCCCAAACTTGAAAGAGCTCTTGGGAACTCTAGATCAAAACATGGGGGCTGACGACAGCTGTGTTAGGGCAGCCTTGGCCCTTCCCACTAGGCAGTGCTACTCAGCACCGGGAAGGAGCTCTCAGTTTCTGGTTTCATGGAGCCTGCTTACCCAGAGTCCTGTTCACGGGGGACGGGTGAGTCGCAGGAAGACTGGGGGGCAGGGTGGCTGCCAGAGGTGTGGTCGGGGGCGCCGGGCAGTGCGGTGGCTTCTCATCGGCGCCTTCGGCACAGTCGCGCAGGCCGTCGCACACCTGGGAGCGGCTCACGCAAGCGCCATCCGGACAAGGTAGCTGCCCAGGGGCACACGTCACACGGCCTGTGAGGGGAGGAGGGTACGGTGAAGACCAGCCCACCATTCGCTCATTCTAGTGCCTTCCTTCAATTCCTCAGGAGGCTTAGTTTGGTCAGAATCAAGTCTACCCTTCCAGACTTAATGCTAAATGCATCGCTTCTGGTGGAAATTTGTGGAAATTTGTGTTCTGGGCTTTTTAGATTCGTCTACCCATGTACTATCTGTAAACGCCATCTCCATCTTCTCTTATAAACGCCACCTCCATCTCCTCGAAAGATTCCATCAATGGCTTCTCTGAAAAATTTTACACATCACTTGGGTAGACAGGCAGACTAATTCCAGTGTACTGGAAGAAGCAAAGATCACCAGTGTGGAAGCAATGATTCTTCAACATCAACTTCATTGGACTGGACATAATAATAATAATACAAAATTTTTATTTGTACCCCGCCCTCCCCAGCGGGGAGCCCAGGCTCAGGGCGGCTAACATCCTAAAACTAACACAGTTGTGCGGATGCCTGATGATCGTCTTCCAAGGCAACTACTCTATTCCAAACTTCAAAATGGAAAGCGTAATGCTGGAGGTCAACAAAAGAGGTTTAAAGACTGTCTCAAGGCAAATCTTTAAAAATGTAGTATAAACACCGACAACGGGGAAACACTGGCCTGTGAGTGCTTCAATTGGAGAACAGCCTTGACCAAAGGTGTCATGGGCTTTGAAGACACTCGAACTCAGAACGCAAGGGAGAAATGTGCTAAGAGGAAGGCACGCTTGGCAAACCCTCACCGTGATCAACTCCCGCCCGGAACCAATGTCCCCACCGTGGAAGGAGGTGTGGATCCAGAATTGGCCTCCACAGTCACTTACGGACTCACTGTTAAAACAGTGTTCATGGAAGACTATCTTACTCGGCCATGAATGATCGCCAAAGAAGAAGACTACCTGAAACCCAAGGGGCACATTGGTTGCCAGATGTGAAATATATTGGCTCTATTTTCAGCTCCCCCACCCACTAAAGAAGACCGCGATGGTAGTTGAAGGCTGCAGTGCTGCTGACTGCCAGTTGCCGGAAACCTCAAGAAGGTAGCTTTTGTATTTGATCTGTGTTGTTTTTAATTTGTGTGAGTCCGGAAAAAAGGTGGGATATTAATAACCCATCAATTGATCGCAAACCACTTTCAGCTTTTTAAAAAACAATCAAGCAATGCACATGTTTTGTGAAATAAATCCCAATCGGTCAATAGCGTTTGTTCCATAACACCCATCGGAGTAACAGTTCAGATCAGTTACAGATAGGTAGCCGTGTTGTTCTGCCGTAGTCGAAACAAAATTAAAAAATTCCTTCCAGTAGCACCTTAAAGGTAAAGGGACCCCTGACCATTAGGTGCAGTCGTGACCGACTCTGGGGTTGCGGCGCTCATCTCGCTTTATTGGCCGAGGGAGCCGGCGTACAGCTTCCGGGTCATGTGGCCAGCAGGACTAAACCGCTTCTGGCGAACCACAGCAGCGCACGGAAACGCCGTTTACCTTCCTGCCGGAGTGGTACCCATTTATCTACTTGCACTTTGACGTACTTTCGAACTGCTAGGTTGGCAGGAGCAGGGACCGAGCAACGGGAGCTCACCCCGTCGTGGGGATTCGAACCGCCGACCTTCAGATCGGCAAGCCCAAAAGGCTCTGTGGTTTAACCCACAGTGCAACCGCGTCCCTAGTAGCACCTTAAAGGCCAACTAATTTTGTTATGAATGCACACGAAAGCTCATACCAATAACAAACTTAGTTGGTCTCTAAGGTGCTACCGGAAGGAATTTTTAAATTTTAATTCAGATCAGGAAACTGAGAATAATCGGGCTGGGTATGGTGGGGGAAGATTTGGAGGGAAGGAAAGGCAAACCATAAGCCTGCAAGAAACATCTGAATTGCATTGGCCGTCTTGATAAACCTGGATTGCAGCTCAGCGCTGCTGGAAAGCCCCCCAAGATTACCAAAGACCCTTGATAGGACCTTGTAAACCTTCAATGTACAACATCAAAACCTTCGGGGTCCACCTAGCGCAGCATTCCCTGCACGGACTGGCAGTGGCTCTCCAGGGTTTGGGGGTCCAGGGGTCTCTCCCAGCCCTAACTGGAGGGGACATTGGGTGTGTGTGGACGGGAGCTGGGACCTTCTGTATGCCAAGCAGTTGCCCCTGCCACTGACCTACGGGGGATGACCGCTCTCACCTGGGCAGAACGCTTCATCCATTCCGGCGGGACAGTCCTGCTTCCCGTCACAAAGCAGAGTTTGGGGAAGGCACTGGCCGTCGGGGCACTGGAACTCCCCAGCCGGGCAAACGCAGCCGCTCTCGTCGCTGAAGTCTCCGCAGTCGTTGTGCCGGTCGCAGCGGTGGAGGTACGGCAAGCAGAGCCCCATTGCACAGCGGAACTCGCTCGGCCCACAGGGGGGCCCACAGCCTGAGAAGGGGTTCTTTTATTGTTTATTATTATTTCTGCAATTTACATACCACCCTTTATCCAAAGAGGTACAACATTAAAAGTATAATTTACATAGCATAATAAGAAAAGATAAATTAAAAAATGATAATAACAGTCCCGCCCCCGCCCCAAGACACTTTTAAAAGGCCACGGATTGTCTAATGGCTGAAGGCCTGGTTAAAGAGGAACATTTTTGCCTGGAGCCTAAAGGTATATAATGAAGTCACCGGGCGAGCCTCCCTGGGGAGAGCATTCCATAGACGGGGAGCCACTGCAGAAAAGGCCCCGTTCTCGAGTTGCCACTCTGCAGACCTCTCATGGAAGAGGCGCATGGAGAAGGGCCTCTGATGATGATCGCAGATTTGGGGATGGTTTATATAGGGAGAGGCAGTCCTTGAGGCATTGCGGTCCTGAGCCGTTTAAGGCTTTATAGGTCAAAACCAGCATATTGAATTGGGCCTGGAAGCTAACTGGCAGCCAATGCAGTCAGGCCAGGATTGGTGTGATATGCTCAAACTGTCTCGTCCTGGTAAGCAACCTGACTGCCAAATTCTGCACCAGCTGAAGCTTCTGAACCATCTTCAGAGGCAGCCCCACACATCACACGGTGCAGTAATCTATCCAAGAGGTTACCAGAGCATCAACCATGGAAGTTAGGCTGTCCTTGTCCAGATAGCGGCGCAGCTGATGGAAGGCACACCGGGCCACTGAGACCGCCTGAGCCTTGAGCGACAGTAGAGGATCCAGCATTATCTCCGAGCTACGTACAATATCCCCAAGAGGACACACCAGGACCACTATGGGCTGCCAAACTCTGCCAACCATCCACCAAAAATATCCGCCAAACTCCACCACAATCGCTCCCTCCAAACCTCCTTTCTCAAACTCCAATTCTGCACTGGCCTCAAAGGTCAGTACAAAAGTTCATGGGGTCGCTAGCCTTTTCCTTTTTGTGCCATTTTTGCAGCTTTCCTGCTCTTTTCAGGCCGTTTCTGCCCTTTCTGCAGTTTAAATCAATTTACTTAATTATTTCCCAGCACCGCACATATAAGAAGAGTTGACCAGGTCTAAGTGGGGAGACACCTGTATACCCATTTTTATGCACACTGTTATGCAGACAGAATTCCACTTGCCCCCCAGGTCAGCTGGTAATCTCTCCCTGCGCCCCCCCTGCATTTCAGCTGCTCTGAGTGTCTCCCTTTGCTCTGCGCTCACCTGCCTCGTCAGAATGATCCGCAAAGCCGCAGTCCATTTCCCCGTCACAGAGATGCTCACGGGGGATGCAACGCCCGTTGGCGCAGCGGAACTCCTGCAAGGCGCAGGCGGGCAGTGGGCAGTCCCTCTTGTCCGAGCCGTCCAGACAGTCCGCAGTTCCGTCGCAGCGGTATCCCCAGGGCACACACTGTCCGCTGGCGCACTGGTACTGGTGAGGGGCGCAGCTCAAGGTGCAGAACTCGTCTGAGCCGTCCCCACAGTCGTCCTCATTGTCGCATGCCCAGGCACCGGGCACGCAGCGCCCACCTGTGTGGCAGGCAAACTCTGTCTCGGCGCAGCGGGGCGATGTGGCGCAAGGTTCTAGGGGGGCAACGCACTGCCACAAGCCGGCCTCACAGGAGCTGCGGAAGGGAGAAGTGTCAGAAAGAGCGGGGTGGGTGTGAGGTGGGCACTGGGGCTGTCTGAGGCTCAGGGCAGCGCCACGAAGAGAGGTCATGGCACAACAGCTACGGTCATTCCTGGACAGGGAATAGTTAGCCACAGTAGTTCGCGCATTGCTTACCTCAGGACTGGGCTGCTGCAATGTGCTCTTTGAGGGGCTTCCTTTGCAAAATTTATTTGTTGTTGTTGTTTAGTCATGTCCGAGTCTTCGTGACCCCATGGACCAGAGCACTCCAGGCATTTATTTATTTACACAGAGCTAAATAAAATATATACAGTGGTGCCTCCGGTTGCGAACGGGATCCGTTCCAGAGGTCCGGCCATATCCCAAAGTTTTTGCAACCAGAGGACCGCTTCTGCGCATGCGCGAGCGGCAAAACACTTCCGGGTTACAGTGCAGAATGAACATCGTGTTGCACTTGTAAAGGTAAAAAAGGTAAAGGACCCCTGGATGGTTAAGTCTAGTCAAAGGACTCCTTTCATGGGGTTGTGGTGCTCATCTCGCTTTCAGGCCGAGGGAGCCGGTGTTTGTCCGCAGACAGCTTTCCGGGTCATGTGGCCAGCAGGACTAAACCGCTTCTGATGCAACAGGACACCGTGGCGGAAACCAGAGCGCATGCAAACACCGTTTACCTTCTCGCTGGAGCGGTGCCTATTTATCTACTTGCACTGGTGTGCTTTTGAACTGCGAGGTTGGCAGGAGCTGGAACAGAGCAACAGGAGCTCACTCCGTCGCGGGGCTTCGAACCGCCGACCTTCTAATCGGCAAGCCCAAGAGACTCGTGGTTTAGACCACAGCGCCCCCCGCGTCCTGCTTTTTAGACCCCCCCCGTAAAAGTGTTGCGGGCCTGAGCAGTCTCAGGTGCATTCATGGGTAGGTAGACAATTCTTCCCATCTGCCCTGCTCCAGCCAGCCTTTTACGGACTTACCAGTTCCTGCATTCCTGCATCACCAGGGCTCCCAGTGGGAACAGAGTGCCCTCCCAGTAGCAAGGGCACTCGGAGGGGTCGATGCAGCGGCCGCCTGGCAGGGAAGGAACAGCAGAATATCAGAAGAGCCCTGTTGGATCGGGCCAAAAGCCCATTGAGTCCGGCAGCCTCTTGTCACCACGGCCGGCCCCAGGTTTGAGTCCTGCAAGCAGGATCTCCTCCCTGAGCAGAGCTCTTTGGGCGGATCTCAACACTTGCGGAAGAGCTGACGGGTTGCTGCAGGAATGGCGGAGAGGCATTTCAGTTTGTACCCAGCAGGATAGCCTAGTGGGTAGAGCACGAGACTTGTAGCCTCAGGGTCGTGGGTTAGAGCCCCACATTGGGCAAAAGACTCCTGCATTGCAGGGGTTGGACTAGATGACCCTCGTGGTCCCTTCCAACTCTATGATTCTAGGATTTTCATCCTTCTATCCAGGGACTTCTCATCATGGCTGATGACCAGGGGGGACGGTCGTAGCCGCCCAGAGATGGAAGGACGATGAAGTTCCAACCAGAGAAGAATGGATAATCAAGATGATGGACGATGCCGAAATGGCAAAATTGACAGGGAGAATCAGAAACCAGTAAGATAATAAATTTAATTAGGAATGGGGGGGGGAATTATAGATTATCTTAAAGAACACAGTTTAAAACATTAACAGGATTAACATAACACTTGTAATAATTCTGTAGTTATAAATGGAAATTTGAATACAATTTGGACAATATTATAGGATGCAGTATAAAATGAAGTACTATGGAAACGACAGGAGGGTGGAGGGAAGTCCACAGATTGAGGGAAACCTAGATACGTATAAAACTGACTATAAAAACATGTAGATTTGAATGTAAAAGATATTTGTAAAAACCTAAAATAAATAAATAAATATTAAAAATGGGAGGACGGAGTCTAGTGCTGCTCTTCCCACACACCAGTTGACCCTTTGCAACCTTCTTCAGCACAGGGACCCAACGCCTCAAGTCGGAAGGGACACCATAAAGGCCATCTAGTCCAACCCCCTTCAATGCAGGAGTCGCAGCAAAAGCATCCATAATAGGTGGTCCTCTGCCCCCCCCCCATCTTACCATGCAGCACTTTGCCCTCCGGGCAGAAGCATCCCTCCAGGCAGGAGAGGGCCTCGCTGCTGCAGTGCTCGGCCCCCTCCAGGCCGAAGTTCTTGCAGGTGGGGGGGCAGGCTGGGCCGCAGGCGTCGTACTCCAGCCCGTAGTCACACTGCATGGCTGAGCAGGGGAGAGGGAAGTGCTTGCTCACTTACTTACTTATTACAAAAAACAAATAAATCACCAAGATAAAGTGCTGTTTTGAGAGGCAGGCATGGCCAAACTTGGCCCTCCAGCTGTTTGGGGACGACAACTCCCATCGTCCCTAGCTAACAGGATCAGTGGCCAGGGATGGTGGGAGTTGTAGTCCCAAAACATCTGGAGGGCCAAGTTTCGCCATGCCAAGGGAACTGTCTGGGGAATCCAGGGTGCATTGGTCTCAAAGTTCTTATTATTAATATGTACAGTATTAAATTAATATACTGCCCTTCATCCAAATATCACAGGGAGGGTTACAGTATAAAAACACATCAAGTACATAATGTAACAACAGCAACAAAACAATGACCCACAAACACCCTGACACATTTAAAAGGCCTAATAATAATAATAATAATAATAATAATAATAATAATAATTTTTTATTATTTATACCCTGCCCATCTGGCTGGGTTTCCCCAGCCACTTTGGGTGGCTTCCAACAGAACACTAAAATACAATAACCTATTAAACATTAAAAGCTTCCCTAAACAGGGCTGCCTTCAGATGTCTTCTAAAAGTTTGGTAGTTATTTTTCTCTTTGACATCTGGTGGGAGGGCGTTCCACAGGGCGGGTGCCACCACCTAGAAGGCCCTCTGCCTGGTTCCCTGTAACTTGGCTTCTCGCAGCCAAAGGCCTCAGTGAAGAGGAATGCAATGAAGGCGCCAGGCGAGCCTCCCTGGGGAGGGTCTGGCTTCACGAGGTCCTCCAGAGAAAGGAGCAAACTGTAAGACAAGGCTAGCCCTGCTCTCCCCAGCAATTTGTGCACCACTATTAGGGACAGGTTGGATGCAGAGGAATGGGGGGAGGAACCAGCTGGGGAACCCCCCCCCCCGGGAAGAAGGATCAGAGCCCACGGAGGGGTGGTGGGACGACAATGAGCGCTCAGAGAGTGTAGACTGGGAGGAGGAGGTGTTGGAAGCTGAAGAGGCAACGGGGCTTAGTGAGCGGGGAGAGTCTGTGGCAGAGAGAAGTCCAGAATTGGAGGCTGAGGCAGGAGAGGAGGGAGGTCAAGAGGCAGAGATGGGTCCGGCTGGTGAAGAAGCTCAGGTTGTCACCTCCTTCTGCTGCAACAAGCTCCCCTCCCCACTTGTCTCCCAGAACCAGAAGAGGGCTGAAAAGGGCTGGGGAGAGGTTGGCTTCATGCAGGTGCAGTCTCCAGTGGCTTGGGGGAAATCCTGGAAAGGAGGGGACTTAGACAATTGGGGGAGGCGGGGACCTTCAGTCTCTGCAGCTGCTTCATGACGGTAAGACCTGCCAGAACTAATACCAGTGTACTGGAAGAAGCAAAGATCACCTGCGTTGAAGCAAAGATTCTTCAACATCAACTTCGTTGGACCAATCATGTTGTGCGGATGCCTGATTATTGTCTTCCAAAGCAACCACTCTACTCCAAACTTAAAAATGGAAAGCGTAATGCTGGTGGTCAACAAAAGAGGTTTAAAGACTCTCTCAAGGCTGATCTTTAAAAATGTAGTATAAACACTGACAACTGGGAAACACTGGCCTGCGAGTGGGAGAACAGCCTTTACCAAAGGTGTTCTGGGCTTTGAAGACATTCGAACTCAGGACGTAAGGGAGAAACGTGCTAAGAGGAAGGCACAATTGGCAAATCCACACCGTGATCAACTCCTGCCTGGAAACCAATGTCCCCACTGTGGAAGGACGTGTGGGTCCAGAATTGGCCTCCACAGTCACTTACGGACTCACTGTTAAAACAGTGTTTATGGAAGACAATATTACTCGGCTACGAATGATCACCAAAGAAGCAGCAGCAGCTGTGCTCATTAGGCCTGACACTCCTGTACAATACATGTTTTTTGTTAATGAAGAGTTCACTCCAACTTGCAAGGTGTGATTGACTGCTGTCTCGCTTCTGTCAGCTGCCAGCTGGTCCAAAGAATGCCAGGTGCATTGCCTAAGAAATATTTTTTTAAAAATTGCCTTGGTTCATGCCAAGTCTCTTCCCTTCTGGGCTGCAGGGTAAGTTGGAAGGTAGAGGCAGCAACATTCGGACAGTAAGGCCCACTGGCAACAGTGCACAGCTGTTGTGTCACAGCTGGGCAGCAAAGTGGGTGTGCAAGGGGCTTTCCCCCCTTCCGCACAGAGGCCACTTCCAGGCTCCCAAACAAAAGCAGTATGACTTACGGCAGAGATCCTGGCTTCTCCAGCGCACAGGAACCCCCGCTGGCTGCACTCCTCTGCGTAGGTGGCGATGGCGGTGCAGAGGCACTCGCAGTCCCCTCCGGAATCACAGCTGGGGGGAGAAGAAAGTCAGGGAGGGGCAGGTAGGCACATGGAGGGGGACAGTAAGGTAAAGGTAAAGGGACCCCTGACTGTTAGGTCAGTCGTGACCGACTCTGGGGTTGTGGCGCTCATCTCGTTTTATTGGCCGAGGGACCCGGCGTACAGCTTCCGGGTCATGTGGCCAGCAGGACTAAGCCGCTTCTGGCGAACCAGAGCAGCGCACGGAAACACCGTTTACCTTCCCGCCGGAGTGGTACCTATTTATCTACTTGCACTTTTGTGCTTTCGAACTGCTAGGTTGGCAGGAGCAGGGACCGAGCAACGGGCGCTCACCCCATCGCGGGGATTCAAACTGCCGACCTTCTGATCGGCAAGTCCTAGGCTCTGTGGTTTAACCCACAGCGCCACCCACGTCCCAGGGGGACAGTAGAGGGACACAAGAGGGTCTCCTACTCGGGAACAGCCTCCTAAGAATAGCCCCCCCCTCAAGCTCACTAGGTTCTAAATGCATTTTCAAAACTCCCCGTTATCATTTCTAAAGCCCCTTGTAGGGGAAGACTCATTCCCTACCCCAATGGCCTTGTATCTGGTTGTGAATCTCCCTGATCACCACCACCACTACCACCAATAATATTTATATACCACTTAATATGCAACCCCCCCAAGCGGTTTACATAAAACATAGTAAGATAAATGAATAGAGGGGGGAAATGTACTATCAATTAGGCTTGCCATGCGTTAGGACACTTCCTCACATGTCCTGGTTTTCAGGTGTAAAAACGGCATTGGGTTTTTTTTTTTGCAAAAGCGGCAAAATGTCGGGGGAAACCCAGATGTATGGGAAAACACAGCAGAAACCGCTCAAAAAGCTTAGAATCACTATTTTTTAGTTGGGTTTATTTAAAAAAAGAGCAGAGAAGCCCTCAATTAAACATTTTTAATGTTTAATACAGTGGTACTTCTGGTTGCAAACGGGATCTGTTCCGGAGGCCCATTTGCAGCCTGAAAAGAATGCAACCCACGTCTGTGCATGAGCGGGTTGCAACTCGCCGCTTCTGCGCATGCGCGAGCGGCGAAACCCGGAAGTAACCCGTTCCATTACATCCAGGTCGCCACGAAACACAACCTGAAAACTCGCAACCTGAAGCAAACGTAACATGAGGTACGACTGTATATCAATAGGTTACTACCAAGGTATAACCGCTATATGTCTCGCCAGCCCCCTACCCGCAGGCGTCGAAGATGCACCACTCGTAGAACTGCTGGCAGGGGAGTTCCTCGTGGCAGGGGGCGAAGAGGTCCTGCAAGAGGACCCCACAGCGCTTCCGGGCCCAGGTCACGCGGTGAGAGTTCACCTGGGTGGTGGGAGGGAGAAAGACCGACATGAGAGGGGCTGCTGTCTTTACCAGAAGCACCTGCTGGATGAGGCCAATGGCCCACCTGGTCCAGCACCCTCTTCTCACAAGGGCCAGCCAGATGCCTCTTCGGGGAAATCTGAAGCAGGAACTCTCTCCTCCTGCAGTTTCTAACAACTGGTACTGGATTGCTGCCTCCGACTGTGGAGGCAGAACAGAGCCATCCTGGCCAATAGCCATCTCCTCCAGGTTGGTGGCCAACTCCTGTGGCAGGGAGTTCCATAGGTTAACTAAGTGCTGTCTGAAGAAGATTTTTCTTTTATCTGTCCTGAATGATCTAACATTTCAGCTTGGTTGTATGCCCACAAATTCTGGTGTTATTTGGGGGGGGGGACACACTTTTGCCTCCCCTCTTTCTCCATGCCAGGTGTCATTTTGCAAACTTCTATCCTGTTGCTTCTTGCTCCTCTTTCCTCTAAACTCTAAGAAGTCCCAAAGGCTGCAACCATTCTTCATGGGGGATTCGCTCCATCCCCTTGATCATTTGGGCTGTGCTTCTCTGGTCTTTCCCCCACTCTAGAATACCCTTTTTGAGTGAGGTGACCAGGACTGTGCGCAGAATTCCAAATGCAGCCGCACCAAAGACCTGCACCTTCAGGGCTGCAAGTGCAGCAGCCACAGGTTAAACCTTGACAACCTCCCCCAGCTTGTCCTCGTATGGTGACATCTCTCTTTATTGTACAGGAACGCAGCTTCATGCATTTACCTTTCAAGCTCCAGGACTGAGTGTGGTTGGAGTCCCCACCCCACCCCCTCACCCCCCTTGAAAAGCAACTCTTTAGCAGTCCGCCGGAGCAAACTTCAATTCAGATTTTCTGCAGATTGACATTAAAATTAGAAATAGAATTTTATTATTACGGTCACAGACCAGTTCTAGCTCACTTCCAATATCAGGAGAACCCTAAAACACAACAGGAATACATTGAATTGCAATTGGGTATAACAGAGACAATTCAAATATAGTGGCAGTTAAAAAAAAAAATTAAATCTTGATCACTAAAATATAACCTAAAATTATCATTTAAAACCTTAATCGTTTTGGTAGTACAGCTTGTTCCCTAAGGTTTATGGCAGTCACACAATTTGGCCACCCTTAGCGGGATCTCTAGATCCTTGTCCTCTACCGGGAGTTTTAGACATTGAAGTTCGGACCCATTTGGAGATTTTTGTATAACAGGAGTGATAAATACCGAGCGTATATCCCCATAGAAACGGCAGCGTAACAAGACATGAGAGATAGTTTCTACTGTCAATAATTGACATTTATTCCGATGGAGCGCTAGAGAGCGGGTTTTCGTGGGGAAAGCTCTGGAGTTAAAAAGGATGCAGGGACACAGAACTTTAAAGCGTGGACCAGGCCTGTAAGAGGTAAATGTGGATCAGCTCAAACAGAGATGGACTTTAGCTGGGCAGCCGACCTGGGCGTACCGTGCAAGGGTGCTCAAAATCCTCGCTGTTGACCTCAGGGCAGAGCAGGCTGACACGCCAGGAGTTGCCAAAGAGATCTGCTGTGGGTTCCACAATGCCTTGCCGGCTGGTGAAATCGTTCTCAGTGTCCCCATCAAAGTTCCCACACAGGCCTGACATGCGGCCTTGGTACATGGGGTCCACTTTGATGTAGATGCGGGTGCCTGAACAGAGAGGGGAAACAGCTCATTCACAGCCTCTTGGAGTCAAAATAAAAGGAATCCATGCCAACTTATTTTCCAACTTCATTCCCCCTTTCCGTTCCTAAGTTCTTTCCACCACCACCTCACAATTTTTTTCATGTTAAAAACAATGAAGAAACAGGACTTTCAGCCACCCTGTGTTTGGTTTTTTAGGGTTCTAAAATAGTTGCTCTGTGCTTTAGAGCTTCTTCTGCACAGGAAGATCAAAAGTTCACAGGAAAAGTCAAAGCTCATAGGAGGAGGATTTGCACAGGGAGGTTAAAAGCATTTAAGAGGAAATTTTGCACAAGTGAGTCAAAAGCTCAGCCTCGGAATATGGCAAGTAAGGAAAGAGAGAAATTTTACTCCGTATTGGCTCAAAGCTTGACAGGGGAATGAAAAAATGGCATGTAAGGAAAACTGGAAGATGGGGAGGGAGAGGAGAGAACTAAGGAAGAACTGAAATTAGAGCCCTCTTGCAAACAGAGCATAAACCTGAAACCCAGGATACAAACCTGAAATAGTTGGAAAAGCTAAACGGAGAAGGCTGGAAGCCTCTGTCTTGATCAATATTCACCAGGTTAGGAAACAGAACAAGACCGATTGGATACATTTATCTCTGTTTATTTTGCAATTATATGTCGTTTATTTTGCTCTTATATTCCGACTATAAACCATGTTTCTTTCCTCCAACTTTCTCAAGAACTGTTTAACTCTCTACTTTATTAAAGGTCAAGAGGTAAGGAGCGTGGCCCACAATGCATAGGAGCCAACTCCTAGGGGCTGAGAGGTCTTTGCACCCCCAATAAAATATTTGAGGGGGCCACAGTCCAAAGTCACATCATGTGATTGAGCAGGTGGGGCAGGGCTTACCTCCCCCCCAACATTTTATTAAAGTTGGCACTCTTCCTGCCCAGTCTCACCTCCATCCCAGAGCACCGTCAGCCCCAGCTGGGAGATAAGCGAGAGGAAGAGCCCTGCTCTCTCCAGGGTCAGGCCATTCCCACTATACGTTTTCGGGGGGCGCACCGAAACCCCGTTCACGGTCACGTCTTTTCCTGGTGTGGACAGAGAAAGCCAATATCAGGAGGGCACGAGATGGGCAGAGTGGGCATGATACTCGTCTCTTTCCCATTTAATTACCTCGGAGCAGGTGGACCACTGTGTTGCCAATGAGCACCACGACGGATTTGGTGCAGGTGGTGCCGCTGGTGCCGCAGGGCACGTTCTCGGCGGTGACGGTGAAGGCCCCGCTGCTCTCCCGGGCCAGGATGTACTCACAGTCACCCAGGAAGGTGTAGGTCCGCCCGTCGAAAGTGATGTAGTGGGGGTCCCCGGTGGCGACGCACGTCCCGGCGCAGTGGTGGTGGCTGCAGTCCCAGCGCCGGTTTCGGCAAATGCTGCAAGGAAGGAGACGGAGGGACCACAAGGTGGTGAGTACTGAGCCAAGCACCTCTCATGCCACGGGTCTGCAGCCAATGTCAGGAGCAAGCCAGCAGTAAATCACACAGAGAAGGCGAAGCGAACTCTTTATTAGAAGAAACAGGATCTGCACAGGAGTGCCAGGTCAAAGGAGCACAGCGACTCTCCTGGGTAGGTCTTGCCCCTGTGAGGCAAGCTGTGGAGACTGAAGGTCCCCGCCTTCCCACAGCTGCCTAAGTGTCAGGGACCGTGCTGAGGAGGGCTGCACTGAGGAGGAATGGTGGGAGCCACCCCTTCCCCCTGATCCTGAACCTTCCCAGGAACAGGAGGACTGCATAGATCTGGAACAGTGGTTGGCAGAGGGGCATAGTTCAGGAGGCAGAAGCTGGGAAATACTGGATGGGGGACAGCTAGGAGAAGAAGAAACACAGGGAGAGAAAGGGTTAACAGATTCACAGTCGTGGACAGCATTTCTCCATCGTCCTCCCCAAGGTCGAGAAGTGTTCAGAAAGTCTCAGAACAGAAAGAGCAAAGGGTGCAAGCTCAGATTACAAGACAGATTATAAGAGTGATGTAGATTAATAGGGACAGAGGGGGGAGTGCGCCTTAATTGGGAGCGCCGCCATTTCTAGGGAGACGTGTTCTTTGGTCTCTCACTGTGATTATTATAGAATCTAACTGGTAAGACATTCCTTTCATTTGATCTTCTTATTTACTGCCATGGGGGAGGAAGTCGATTCCCTGAAGCCTGACACTAAGGCTCCTCCTCTGCCAGATCCTTCTCCAGCAATCTGAGACTATGCCAGTGTTATCTGCCTTTGCTCCTTCCACTTCATGCCTTTTCTGGTTCTGGGAGACCAGAGGTGGGGAGCTTGTTGCAAGAGGAGGAGGAGGAGACACCCTGGCTTCTTCTCTAGCCTGACTCACCTCTGCCTCTTGGTCTCCCTCCTTCCATTCACCAGCTTCAGCTTCTGCCTCTGATTCTGGACTTCTCTCTGCCACAGACTCTCACAGCTCACTAAGCCTTGTTACCTCCTCAGCTTCCAGTACCTCTTCTTCCCAGTCTGCTGCCTCTTCTCCCTCTGACCACTCATCGTCACCCCACTACCACTCCCCGGGCTCTGAGCCTTCTTCCCTTGAGGATTCCCCAGCTGGTGCCTCCCCCCCCCCCCATTCCTCTGCGTCCAACCAGTCTGTGGCAGCCAGCATAGCACAGCAGGCTTGGCTGAATCCTTACCACGTGTTGCAGTCCTTGGTGATGGTGTCATTGGGCTGGTACAGCCGGCCGTTGTGGTGACAAGGGCACTCCTCTGGCGAGACACAGTGCTCGTTCTGAAAGAAGGAATCAGCAGGGAAACATGAGCAGGTCCTCCTCATCCACGTGGGGTCACAGAACCGTAGGGGTCAGCAGGGCCGTCTTAAGCATATCTGGCACCGTGGTGCAAAACTCCCTCCAGCGGCCCCCCCCCCCGTTTCCCAGAGTTGTCCGCCTTTTTTTAGGGAGGACGGCGCCACTGGCGGGGCTGGAGGCGGCGGGCAGCAGCTGGAGGGTGGCTCCTCTGGCGGGGAAGAGGCGGAGGTTGGACGCGGCACCTCCTAGATCAGCTGGACGCTTCGTGCCGCGGTGGCCATGGCAGACGGAGGGTCCGGGTGCAGCGCTGTTTCGGCGCAGCATGGCAGAGGTGGGCGAGGGTGGCAAGCTGATGCCAGGAGGTGCTGCCTCCAGCCTCCACCTCTTCCCTGGCACCCTCCAGAACCTGGCGCCCTGCGCCACTAGCCTCTATGGGTAAGACTGTTAGAATATTCTGTTCCACCTTAAGGGACAGACATGAGACTGCTGTGTGTCACACGTCTGTTTACACTCCAGCACAGCTTGCTGAGAACTTCCGTTTGTGTATAGCTTTCGCTTTCAGCTGCTTGCTTTTGGACACGAAAGGGAGAAGACATGTTTCCCTTTTGTCCTGATGTATGCTGAATAAACTGCTGGTAAATATGCTCAACACAGCCCTTCCCTGACATTTCTGTTGCACTTCTGAAGCTAGGGGTGCAGTTTTATGCTTATCCAAGGACTGGAGCTCGCCTGGCACACTGGCCGGTGGGCTGGGGCCTTCTGGGGGCCTGCCAATTGCCCCCTATTCCTTGGCTGCATCCCAACAAAGACTCCCCTGGGGGTCAGTCGGCCGCAAGCAACTCCCTCGGCCGATTGCCCAGGAACGTACAAAGCCCAGGAAAAGTTTCTTACCACTCACTTTTTAGTCAATATTTACAGAGAGACGCTTTGGAACACGGCCTCTTGGATAATGGCATTGTCCCAAGTGAATCTCCACCCTCTTCTTTCCCACTTCCTCATTCCCCATCATCATCACCTCCTGTACGGGTGCTGCTACGTGCCCTCTGTCTTTGAGCTCTTTGCTCTCCTACTTTTAAGGCTCTCCGGGTTCTGGGAGATGGAGGGTCTGGGATGCCTCCTCCTCCTCTCCCATGATTTCCCAACTTTCCCCCTCATCTTCCTCCGAGCTGTGACCTCCCTCAAACCCCTGTTGTAATTCTGAACCGTCTTCCTCTTCTCTGGAAGGATCAAACTGGGGAGGCAGACTCCTCCATTCCTCCCCTGCCCAGACCCTGACAATAGGATTGTTTTGCTTTGCTTTAATAATAATCTTTATTGGTTTAAATTACACACATATACACAAAAAAATATGAAGAATTTACACTCTCATATTGCAGAAAGAAAGGAGAAAGAGAAAGAAAAAAGAAGAAAAGGAAAAGAGAAGTTTGCAAAAGAAGAAAGGAAAAAAGAGAGAAAGGAACAAAAACAAATTTACATACGTAATCTTCCTATTAACATCTTAATAAACACTTAAATAAAAAGACTTCTGACAAAAGGAGTCTTCCAATCGTTCTCATTGCACTGTTTATACAATTTTTCTTTTTGTCGCAAAAAGACAATAGGATTGTAATGTTGGAAAAGACCCCCTAGGTCAGGGGTCAGCAAACTTTTTCAGCAGGGGGCCGGTCCAGTGTCCCTCAGACCTTGGGGGGGGGGGGCAGACTATATTTTGGGAGGGAAATAATGAACGAATTCCTGTGCCCCACAAATAACTCAGAGATGCATTTTAAATAAAAGCACACATTCTACTCATGTAAAAACACGCTGATTCCCGGACCGTCCGTGGGCCGGATTTAGAAGGCAATTGGGCCGGATCCGGCACCCGGGCTTTAGTTTGCCTACCCCAGCCCTAGGTCAACCCCCTGCAATGGAGGAATCTCGGCTGAGGAATCCCTGGCAGATGGATATCCAACTTTAAGCACCTCAAATGAACAATATAATTGTAGAACTGGGAGGGACCCGTCCAACCCCTTGCAAACCAGGAATCACAGCTAAGAGGGGGCCACCCAACCTCTCCTTAGAAGCCCCCAATGAAGGAGAGTCCGCCTCCTTCCACCTGTGGGCAGGGAAGCGAAGAGAGGCAACAGGGATTTTGAGAGCTGGGCAATGCCAGGGAAGAACTCACCAAGTAGACGGTGCCAGGGGGGCAAACGCAGCCATCCGAGAAGCCGGCGCAGCTGAGGTTCCCCTCGGGACTGTCGCAGCTCCGCAGGCAGGAGCCAAAGGCGTAGACCAGCTCCCCCGGGCACAGGACAGCTTGGGGGCAGCTCTGCTCTGTGCAGTTCCATGCCCCATTCACACAGACGCTGAAACACGGGTCAGGAGCAAGGATATGTGAGCGAAGGGGTGCAGAGAGAGGTGGGAAGTCCATTATGCAAACAATGCCAGCTTCCAAGTGTCTTTTTGGGGAAAGGGGGGATGTCCCTCTCCCTCTGCCGCCCCACTGAGCAGCTACTCTGTTACCAGAGCAGAGTCAGCTTCCTCGAATAATAATAATAATAATAATAATAATAATAATAATAATAATAATAATAATAATAATAATAAATTTATTTATACCCCGCCCATCTGGCTGAGTTTCCCCAGCCACTCTGGGCGGCTTCCAACCAAGTGTTAAAAACATTACAGCATTAAATATTAAAAGCTTCTCTAAACAGGGCTGCCTTCAGATGTCTTTTAAAGATAAGATAGCTGCTTATTTCCTTCACATCTGAAGGGAGGGCGTTCCACAGGGTGGGCGCCACCACCGAGAAGGCCCTCTGCCTGGTTCCCTGTAACCTCACTTCTCGCAATGAGGGAACCGCCAGAAAGCCCTTGGCGCTGGACCTCAGTGTTTCTTATTCTTATTCTTATTCTTCGACCCACAAAGGGGAGGAGGGAAGTGCAAGAGATTCCTTGGAATCTTGTTTTTATGTTGTATGTTGGATATGTGACTGTAAATTTTTAATTTGAAAAACTATATCTATCTATCATCTATCTATCTATCTATCTATCTATCTATCTATCTATCTCTATCTCTATCTCTATCTCTATCTCTATCTCTATCTCTATCTCTATCTCTATCTCTATCTCTATCTATAGGAAGCTGGATACACAGAGACCTGCTTGCTCTGGACTGAATCCAAAGCCATGACTAATGGAGAAGCGAGATTTTTTTGGGTGCTATGCTGTGAGGGCCCCCCCTTCTTAATGCTCAGGTTCTACATATGTGTAAATAAAACCCCATATCCGAAAAACACCAGGCCTCTCCTTAGACTCACGTTGCAAACACCCCGCAGGTTATCACGCGTCAGCCGAGATCACGTGGCCGAGACATTCAATGAAACCAACCTATCCCGTAGGGCAGCCACAGACAGGTCACAGGGTGATTTCATCAAACATCTCCTTCCACTCCGCAAGAGCCAGAGGACGGTGCCATTGTCGGTGCCCCTGCTGAGATCCCCGATCCCCTCCCTCCGAACACCTCGCCTCCCAGTTCCCTCTGCGACACGTACCAGGTGTTGCAACCCTTCTGGATCCTGCTGCCAGGGGGGTGCGCCTCTTCCCCATGCGCACAGGCGCACATGGCAGGCTGGACGCACTGCCCGCCGTCGTCCAGCAAAGTCCCCTCTGGGCAGTTGCAGCCGGCCACGCAGACGTGGTCCAGATCCTGGCAGGGGCCCAAGCGCAGGTCAGCGCAGGTCGTTCTGCAGGGGGGCGCACATTCCCGATAGACTTGCCCCCCAGAACACGGCGCCGCTGTGGGGAGAGGGGAAAGGTCAGGATCCTGCAAGCAAGAAGCACTCAGGGTGACACTGGGTCTTCAAGGAAGTCGTCGGGGTCTTCAGCACAACTGAATGCTGAACAGCAACGAAAGATTATTTTGTGTGTATGTGGCGAAATCGTTTTTATTAGTTTTCCAAATTTTACAAAATCAGCCACAAATTAAGATGAATTCAATACAATTTCTGCAGAAACTGGCTTCCTGGACACCCACAGCGCCACCCGCATCCCCAGCTGGGCTTAAAGGGACCCCTGACCCTTAGGTCCAGTCGCGGACGCCTCTGGGGTTGCAGCGTTCATCTCGCTTTATTGGCCGAGGGAGCCAGCGTACAGCTTCCGGGTCATGTGGCCAGCATGACTAAGCCGCTTCTGGCGAACCAGAGCAGCGCACAGAAACACCGTTTACCTTCCCGCCGGAGCGGTGCCTATTTATCTACTTGCACCTGGACGTGCTTTCAAACTGCTAGGTTGGCAGGAGCTGGGACCGAGCTCACCCCGTCATGGGGATTTCAACCGCTGATCTTCTGATCGGCAAGTCCTAGGCTCTGTGGTTTAGACCACAGCGCCACCCGCGTCCCTCCTTGCCTCTTAGTGCCCCTTAAATAATCCCACCACCACCCAGGGATGGGTACCACCCAATTTGGGAACCGCTGCATGAGATTCTCGTCGCCCTCCCCAATTCTCCATCCTACCCTTGCGGGCACTGCCATCTTGGCACTTGCCCCAACAACACGACAAACACACCCTCCCCCTACCCTCCCCCAGGAAACTCACGGCAGAATGTCTGGTTCCTCCAGGCGGCAGGGGCTCCCTCCTGGGCGCACTGCCTGGCGTAGGCGGCCACAGCACCACACAAGCAGTCTTTGCCAGCAGAACAACCACACACGTCGTAGAGGCAGAGCTGGTAGAATGGGTCCCGCTCCACCACATCGTGACAGGCCTGCGAGGGGAGAGACGGGGGCGCTGACATGAGCAAGCGGCCTGGTTTTTCCAGGACGCAGAGATGGCTTGAGGCAGGCCCAGACGGTCATTAAGACTTGCTCAGGTGCCAAAGATATTAATGTGAAAATGCAGCAAAAAGCAATAGATGGTGCCAAGGACGGGTGCCAGGAGCAGGTCAGACATAACTTACAGGACATCAGTGAAGTTAACTCTTTAATCAAGGAAACAAGGTCTACTTAGGAGGTCAGACCTAGTAGCCAGCAACCGTTGCCCCAATTAGGCAATTGCAAAGACTGAATAAATAAATAACAACAACAACAACAAAAATTTATACCTGAAGGAGTGTTTCCACCCCCATCATTCAGCCCGGACACTGATGTCCAGCTCTGAGGGCCTTCTGGCGGTTCCCTCATTCCGAGAAGCAAAGCTACAGGGAACCAGGCAGAGGGTCTTCTTGGTAGTGGCGCCCGCCCTGTGGAACGCCCTCCCACCAGAAGACATCCAAAGGCAGCCCAGTTTAGGGAAGTTTTTAATGTTTGATGTTTTATCGTGTTTTTAATATTCTGTTGGGAGCCGCCCAGAGTAGCTGGGGAAACCCAGCCAGATGGGCGGGGTATAAATAATAAATTATTCCTATTCTTATTCTTAGTGGGTGCCAGGAGCAGGTCACTAATAATTTACACTGCGTCAGTGAAGTTAACTCTTTATTCAAGGAAACAAGGTCTACTTAGGAGGCCAGACCTAGTAGTAATAATAATAATAACAATTTGCACCCTACCCATCTGACTGGGTTGCCACCGGCTTGCCTGTTAGGGCCTCCCTAGATAATCTCACCACCCCACAGAAGCCAGCAACAACTACTTTGGGGATCACAAAATAAGAGGATGAAGATGGATGGCAGATTTTTGAGATCGGGATGAGATCTCCACCAAGGACATGGGGCCCGAGTCTTGCCCAGATAAATCTCTTGCTTTTGCCTCGGTTTCAGGGCTACATCTCCTCCCCCTAGCGGGCTGCAGGCCCTCCCCTCTTACCTGGAAGGGGGGGCTGTGGAGGACCTCGCAAGCCGCCTCTGCAAACTGCCTCCGCTGGGCGTACATGCTGCAGGGGTCAAAAGGGAACGCGCCGAAGGAGGGGCAGTCGTGTGAGATGCGGAACCTGCTGGCGAAAGCGGAGGCGCTGGACTCCACGTCTCCCTCCGGCGTGGTGAACTCGTCCTGCTGGTTCCAGTTGTAGGTGCCGCAAAGGCCTCGGACCTGGAAGGCGGAAGAAGGGACATACAGTGGTACCTCATGTTACGTCCGCTTCATGTTACGTTCTTTCAGGTTACGCCCCGCAGTGACCCGGAAGTACCAGAAAGGGTTACTTCTGGGTTTCGCCGCTCGCGCATGTGCAGAAGCAGAAAATGACGTCACGTGCATGCACAGAAGCGGCAAATTGCAAACCGCGCATGCGCAGACGTGCCGCTGCGGGTTGCATTCTTTTCACGTTGCGAACGGGCCTCTGGAACGGATCCCGTTTGCAACCCGAGGTACCACTGTACTGCTGAGCCAGGGCCTTTTCCCATCTCTGGCTGGGTTGCCAGCGACGGTCTCTTTTGGACAGAGATGACTTGGCCACAGCCCTCCACGCTCCAGGAAACTTCCAGATTGGATTGCTGCCATGTGCCCTACATGGGGCTGTCCTTGAAGACAACTCGGAAACTCCACTTGGACCCAAATGCAGTGGCCAAATTAGTGGCGGCAGTGTGTGTGTGTTTGCATTTAGATCTCATAAACCATTTCAAAACTGCTTGCGCTGGTTACCAGCTTGTTTCTGGGCCCAATTCCAAGTGCACATGCTGGCTGTAAAGCCCCATATGAATCAGTCCCCAAATACCTGAAAGACCGTCTCCTGCCCTACAGACACTGTTGGGTGCTGAGATTGGAGGAAGGGCCCCTCTTGCCTCAGAAGCTCAGGGGTGGGGGTGGCCCAAGAGGACAGGGCCTTCTCCGTGTTGGCTCCTAAGTTATGGAATTCCCTCCCCTGGCAACTTCATTGTGCAGCTTCTGGAGGATGCTGAAGAAGCACCTCTTGTTCCTGGCTTCTGACACCTGAGGAGGCTGTTTTTTTAGGACCCGCCTTATTTTTATGATTGTTTTAAATTGCTTTTTAATAATACCTTTAACCTTCTAAGCCACCCTGGGACCTTAGGGTGAAGGACAGGTAATCAATCAGTCAGTCAGTCAGTCAGTCAGTCAGTCAATCAATGTCCCTGAGGATCTGGAAAGTCAAGGGCACACCAGCTGCTTCATACACCCTATAGGTCTGGTTCTAAATCTAAACGGTGGCTCACTGCACATCTCAGAGCCGCAGGCAAGATGTTCCTGTGAAGAAAATTATTATCATCATCCCAGGCTCACCTTGTTGGCAAAGCTAGGCTGGAGGGTGATGTAGACTGCCGGAAACTCCAGGCCCCACAGCAAGTGAGCCCCAAAGGCCTGCAGAAGCAGGAAGGAGGAGGAGACAAGGCGCACCGTCAGGTCGGCGCTGGCAAAAGGGAGGGAGACTTCTTGGCCATTCACTGACAGCTCCCCTGGGAAGCAAAGGAGGAAGGTGAGAGGGAGGGGTGAAAAGGGGGTTAGACTAGATGGACAGTAGCTCAGGAGGACCAGAGCATCGGCAACTTTGCAAAGTTTGTGAGAAAGAATATGCTTTGGACAGAGAAGCGCCAGATTCAATCCCTGGCATCATCTCCAGTTGCAAAGGGGATCTCAAGTCTGAAGTACTGGCTGGGGAAGGCCTCTCTCTGTCCAGGATTCCTGGAGAGCTGTTGCCAGCCTGAGCTGGATTGACCAATGATCTGTCTCAGGAGGAGGCAGCTTTGCAGGCTCTTACGATGATTTATCACACCACAGGCATCTTCCAAACCACCTTCCATTTGCAGAAGGAAGCCATTGCCATCCTCAGACTCTGAACAGTAAGAGCTGTTCGACAGTGGAATTTGCTGCCAAGGAGTGTGGTGGAGTCTCCTTCTTTGGAGGTCTTTAAGCAGAGGCTTGACAACCATATGTCAGGAGTGCTCTGATGGTGTTTCCTGCTTGGCAGGGGGTTGGACTCGATGGCCCTTGTGGTCTCTTCCAACTCTATGATTCTATGATTCTATGATTCTATGATTCTATGAACTCTTGCACCCTGGGAATGTGGTAGCACGTTTGTGCCAGGATGGGGGGCTGCAAGGAACCTGTCTGGATTCACACGAGCAACACCTGTGCTATTCCATGCTGACGTGCCTCACATGTGCACAAAACCCCCAGCCTGAGCAGGGTGAATGCATTTGAGCGGATAGAGTGGGAACCCTTTAGTCCTCCAGATGTTGCGGGACTCTAACTCCCACCAGCCCTAGCCAGCAACAATCTGGAGCAAAATCTGGAGAGCCTCGGGTTAGCCTCCTGCCCGCCCATCCCCTATGGCGTTGATGTCCACTCATGAAAGATTCTCCATAACTGTCACCTCCCTCTCTCACCTCTGAAGGACAGGCGGGCAGAGACCTTCTGCACAGTGACGGTCACAGAGTGGAGGCAGCTGCTGGTCCCTCGACTCCCACATGCCACATTCTCTGAGGAAATGTGGAGCTTCCCATCCAAATAATCCTGTAAAATGGAGGAGAACAGCCCCGAGATCAGTGAGATGACAGTGGCGAGATTGTTACACATACCAAGATGGGAAAATGCAACCCTACCTACTATGGTAATGGTAAAGGGACCCCTGACTGTTAGGCAGAGTCGTGGACGACTCTGGGGTTGCGGCGCTCATCTCACTTTATTGGCCAAGGGAGCCGGCGTACAGCTTCCGGGTCATGTGGCCAGCATGACTAAGCCGCTTCTGGCAAATCAGAGCAGCGCACGGAAACGCCGTTTACCTTCCCACCAGAGCGGAACCTGTTTATCTACTTGTACTTTGATGTGCTTTCGAACTGCTAGGTGGGCAGGGACCTACTATGGAAGAACGATTAATAAAATTATTGGACTTGGCTGAGATGGCAAAGTTGACGTGTTTAATTAGAGAAAAATAACTACAGTGGTACCTCGGGTTACATACGCTTCAGGTTACAGACTCCGCTAACCCAGAAATATTACCTCGGGTTAAGAACTTTGCTTCAGGATGAGAACAGAAATCGTGCGGCGGCAGTGGGAGGCCCCATTAGCTAAAGTGGTGCTTCAGGTTAAGAACAGTTTCAGGTTAAGAACGGACCTCCAGAACAAATTAAGTTCTTAACCCGAGGTACCACTGTATTGGCATTTATTAAGGATTGGAAACTTCTCGTGGAGTTTTGGTGTGAAAGAGAAAATGAACTTGTAGACCGGAAGGCTCAGAAATCAGGAGGATCAACATTTTAAGAAGGAATGGGGAAAGTTTATAGCTCACCTTCAAGACCTTGAAGTAAATAGTGAAAATTGTTAGCAGGATTGTAATAACACTTGTAACGTAACAAGAACTATAGATATAATGGATATTTTTAAAAATGGATTTTTAAATGGATATTTTAAAAAATGTAGCAGGAAAGGATGTGGACCCCATGGAGGGGGGGGGGAGGCCAAAGATTCAGAGAAATCTTTTTTCTTTCTTTTTTGATTATGATTTGCGATATGAGTGTAAATTTCAATATGTAAAATCAAATATTTTTTTTCATCTGAAAAAAGGAAAATGAACTTGTAATACCTGGATTTTGTATAATTTTCTTGAAATTAAACAAATAATTGCCCGCACCTCCTGCCTCCTCACCTGAACCTCTTACCTGCACTAGGGTATACTGGCATGTGCCGTGGAAGGAGAAGCGCTTGCGGTCAAAAGTCAGGTAGTGGGGGTCACCGGTTATGGCACATTCCCCAGAGCACTGGTCCCGGGAGCAAAGCCAGCGGCCCCCTTGGCACGTGCTGTGGGGAGAAGGGAATGGGAGTCACATCAGGGTGCTAGAGCAACAGCCAAAGATACTGCTGTGAGTTTGAGGGGGGTCAGTCTGGATGATGCCCTGGTGTCCCTTCCAATTCTTAGGGTTGTGTGCCCAAGGAGGGTTGGAATCTAACAGAGGAGCCTGCTTAACTTCTCAGGCAAGTTTATTGTAAGATAAGGACCATAGCTGGACAGTTAAGTACCATCCTTAGCGTCCCCCCAAAAATGGCTTGCAGCACGAACTGCGACTAAGCGATGGCGGTCTCTTGGCTCTCCTTTCCTCCATCCCTCTCACCTAGCTAGGTAGGAGAAAAGCAGCCAGAGAGGGGTTGGAGAGCTGAGCTGGGAGCAGCCTGGAAGCCGGAGATGCAGAGATCTGCTTGCTCTGCGCTGGATCCGAAGCTGTGACTAACAGAGAAGCAAGATCTCTTGGGGGGGCTGATGCTGTGAGCCCCTCCATCATACGCTCAGGTTGCCTTTATGTGTCAATACAACCATATAAACTAAAGACACTGCAGTCTCCGCTGACCTTCTTTCCAAGGAAACTGAACTGTTGCCTGAAACCCCTGGAGCAGGCTTCCTCAACCTCGGCCCTCCAGATGTTTTTGGCCTACAACTCCCATGATTCCCTAGCTAGCAGGACCAGTTGTCAGGGATGATGGAAATTGTAGTCTCAAAACATCTGGAGGGCCGAGGTTGAGGAAGCCTGGCCTGGAGTCTCTCACTGCTCAGAGATGGCATGCGTCAATACAGTGGTACCTTGGTTCTCCAACACCTTGGTTCCCAAACACCTAATACCCAGAAGTAGCTGTCGGCTATTGTTTCCGGGGCACCAGCACCAATCAGAAGCTGCGCCTTGGTTTTCGAACATTTCAGAAGTCAAATGGACTTCCAGAACGAATTAAGATTGGCGCTTTTGTTTTGCTATTTATTTTGCGTTTTTGTTTCTGAGGCTTTTTTTGGTTCATTTGTTTTTGTGACTGTGTGGAACCCAGTTCAGCTACTGATTGATTGCTTGTATGACTGCAGAAATAGATAAAACAATGACTATCATCAGTGCAGGTAAGAAAAAAAATTAAATTTTAATTTTTATCATCTACAATACTGTCTTATTTATTTTATAGTACAGTACATTGATTATTGCTTTCGTTTTATGGATCAATGGTCTCATTAGATAGTAAAATTCATGTTAAATTGCTGTTTTAGGGGTTGTTTTTAAAAGTCTGGAACAGAGTTTTGCATTCCTTTCTATGGGAAAGCGCACCTTGGTTTTGGAACGCTTTGGTTTAGGAACGCTTCCGGAACGGATTAAGTTTGAGAACCAAGGTACCACTGTATATGTGTAAACAAAAGCATGCATCCTAAGACAACAACAACAATAATTTATTTATTTTTACCCGCCCATCTGGCTGGGTACCCCCAGCCACTCTGGGAGGCTTCCATCAGAATATTAAAAACAGAATAAAACTTCCCTAAACAGTGCTGCCTTCAGATGTCTCTGCTGACCTCCTTTCCAAGGAAACTGAACCCTGAGGAAGCGCTGTAACCCCTGACTCCTCTCCCTTCCAATTTACAGTTCTGTGATTCCAGGAACTCCAAGAATGCCAGCTACCCCTGGGCTAAAGATACTGCTGCGCTTGGCAAGACTAATCGGACCATGTCCCCCCTCCAGCTATCTTGAGAAATTACCTTTTGTGGGTTCAGATGGGCAGAGACTCACCAACGGTTGCATCGCTGCTGGAGGACATCTCCCAGGGCGAACTTCTGGCGCCGGTGGAAGCAGGGACACTGGCTCTCCGGGACGCAGGCCCCCCCTTCCAGGTAGAGGCCGGCCGGGCACTCACAGCCGCTCACGCACTCGTCCCGGCAGTGCCCTTCCTCGGCTGCGCCCACCGCAGCACAGCTGGCAGGGCACGAGGAGACACAGTCGGAGTAGTGCTTTCCTTGCCCACACGACTTTTCTGTCCGGAGGGAAGAAGAGGGGCAGTTTCAAGGGGGAGGTTTCCGGATGTCTAGGGAGAACTGTGGGGGACACAGCAGTCTTTGGGGGGGGTGAGAGAAGCTCCTGCCCCCCTCTTTCCCTAGGCAAACTGGCCTCCCCTTATCACAGCCATCAACATCATCATCGCCCCATTATACAGATATTGGGGGGTGACCACACTCAGAAAGCTATGGAATACTTGTAGGCAGGGCCACATTTAGGTTTGATGAGGCCCTCAGCTCCTGAAGGTAATGGGGCCCTTTCTATGTCCAGCTGTCCTTTGTCAACAACATATTGTTGCTGATTTTTGTGCTGAATAATAATAATTTATACCGCGCCCATCTGGCTGGGTTTCCCCAGCCACTCTGGGCGGCTTCCAATGCAATATTAAAATAAAGTAATGCATCAAACATATATATAAAAGGTAATATAAAAAAGGCAAAGGGACTCCTGACCATTAGGTCCAGTCGTGGCTGCCTTTGGGGTTGTAGCGCTCATCTCACTTTACTGGCTGCGGGAGCCAGCGTTTGTCCGCAGACAGTTTTTCCGGGTTATGTGGCCAGCAGGACTAAGCTGCTTCTGGAGAACCAGAGCAGTGCACGGAAACACTGCTTACTTTCCCGCCGGAGCGGTACCTATTTATCTACTTGCACTTCATGCTTTTGAACTGTTAGGTTGGCAGGAGCAGGGACTGAGCAACGGGAGCTCACCCCATCGTGGGGATTCGAACCACCGACCTTGTGATCAGCAAGTCCTAGGCTCTGTGGTTTCACCCACAGTGCCACCCGCGTCCCTAATGAATATATGTTCTATGGTAATTTATGGACCTAATAGGTATCTCAAGCCATTTGCACATGTTGCCTTGCAACTAGTCCATGCAGAATGTAGGCACCCTATATATAGAAAGGAGCAAACCAGTGATATTTTAGGGAGCAGACAAGCAGGTGGGGCCCCTGACTTACATCATAGGAGCCTGCACAACACAAAACACTGTTGCTGTATGTAGCTTTTATTTTACTTGCTTTTTATCTTATATTTTGGAAATGTACATCCAGGTTTCCCCCCCCCTTTTTTTTTTTGTGAGGCCCCCAAGAGAGTGGAGCCCTAAGCTAGAGCTTGTTTAAGCTTATAAGTAAATCTGGCACTTGGTTTTGGGGTTAAAGCAGGCATCCCCAAACTCGGCCCTCCACATGTTTTGGGACTACAACTCCCATCATCCCTAGATGACAGGACCAGTGGTCAGTGATGATGGGAACTGTAGTTCCAAAACATCACACAAGTAGCCAACAGTTGCCGGGGGAAAGTCAGGCTGGCTAAAGCTCAGAATGAGCTCAGGCTTGCAAGAGAGGTTAAAAATAATAATAAAAGCTTTCTTCGACTAGGTCTGGAGTAAAAGGAAGAACAAGCAAGTGGGAAGTCCTCTGCATGGGGAAGATGGAGAAATGCTATTGGGTGACAGAGAAAAGGTGGAACGGCTCAACACCTCCTTTGCCTCTGTCTTCACCCAAAAGGAAAGCGATGCCCAGACCAGTGATAACAGAATAAATGATGGAAAGCGGGAGTTGCAGCCCAAGATAGGAAAAGAGGAAGGGAACACCTAGCTAATTTCAGTGATGAGCTGCACCCAAGGGTGCTAAAGGAGCTTGTGGGTGTAATCTCAGAGCCTCTGTCTATGATCTTTGTGAATTCTTGGAATTTGTGGAAGCCACCTTGAGTCCAGGTCTGGGGAAATGGCAGGATAGAAACAAGAGGAGGAGATTGTGGCCAATGTGCTGGAGTCACAAAGCCTTGGAGAAACATGCCTTCTGCTTTGAGGGGTCGATGTCCGCAAAGGCAGGTGCTTCCTGGGTGCCCCGCTCTGCCCCTGCTTACCACAGAATCCAGCCCGCCTCCAGCTGACGAAAACGCTCCTCTGGGCACACTCGCGGGCGTAGCTGGCAAAGGTCTCGCAGACGGCACCAAGCCCAGCTCCGCTGCAGTGCAGGTACATGCAGGTGTCGTAGAAGCCCCTGGGGTCCACCTGCCGGAGACAGAGCAAGAGGCCGGACCTCAGTGAGGGTGGGGCAGGAGCGGGCAGGAGGTTGGAAGTTAAAGGGAGGCCAGGGAAGGTGTGTGGTGTGGCAGACCCCTCACCTCCGAGTGGCATTGACCGAAAGGGCCGGAAAGAAGTTTCCGGCAAACGGACTCTGCCTCCTGCTGCATCCTTTGGCCTTCCGGCGCTTCGCAGCTGTGAGGCTCCTCTGCTGCGTCTTCACAGGGGATCTAGGGCAGGGGGTAGTAGAGGTTACCATCCAGACACTTTCGCTGTGCAGATACTGGTGGCTACGATACAATACGATAATCTTTATTGTCATTGTCCCATACAGAACAACGAAATTCAAAAAAATCTACATCAGACATTCAAAAACCAACAAGCCTGCTATCCCAGCTATCCCAGCCTGGTTAGCCCCCTAAAAACTCTGATACCTCATAATTGAATACAATATACTCACATAGAGACTACCTTAAAGGTAAAGGGACCCCTGCCCGTACGGGCCAGTCTTGACAGACTCTAGGGTTGTGCGCTCATCTCACTCTAGAGGCCGGGAGCCAGCGCTGTCCGCAGACACTTCCGGGTCACGTGGCCAGCATGATGAAGCTGCTCTGGCAAGCCAGAGCCGCACAGGGAAACGCCGTTTACCTTCCCGCTAGTAAGCTGTCCCTATTTATCTACTTGCACCCGGGGGTGCTTTCGAACTGCTAGGTGGGCAGGAACTGGGACCGAAAGACGGGAGTTCACCCTGCCGCGGGGATTCGAACAGCCGACCATACGATCGGCAAGTCCTAGGCACTGTGGTTTTACCCACAGCGCCACCCGCGTCCCTAGAGACTACATTGTTGTTGTTGTTGTTTAGTCGTTTAGTCGTGTCCGACTCTTCGTGACCCCATGGACCAGAGCACGTCAGGCACCTCTGTCCTCCACTACCTCCCGCAGTTTGCTCAGACTCATGCTGGTAACCTCGAAAACACTATCCAACCATCTCGTCCTCTGCCGTCCCCTTCTCCTTGTGCCCTCCATCTTTCCCAACATCAGGGTCTTTTCCAGGGAGTCTTCTCTTCTCATGAGGTGGCCAAAGTACTGGAGCCTCAGCTTCACGATCTGGCCTTCCAGTGAGCACTCAGGGCTGATTTCCTTGAGAATGGATGCGTTTGATCTTCTTGCAGTCCATGGGACTCTCAAGAGTCTTCTCCAGCACCATAATTCAAAAGCATCAATTCTTCGGCGATCAGAGACTACATTACATTGCATTAAAAACCAAAATCGCATTGGGATAGAAACTGTTTCTCAGTGGCTAGTCCTAGTCTTTATAACCCTGTACCTTCTTCCAGAAGGCAGAAGCTGAAAGAGATCATTTCCGTGGTGTGCACTATCCTGCGCTATCTCTGCAGCTTTCTTATGGCACCTGGAAGCATCGATTTGATCCAAGGTGGGAAGAGTGCACCCAATTATTCTCTCCGCAGTCTTTACAACCCTGGACAGCATTGTTTTCCCCCTGACCGTGCAGCTCCCAAACCACACACACAGACCATAAGTTAATACACTCTCCGCAGTACAATGGTAAAATGCCATCAACAGGTCCTTTGAGAGATTATTTTTCTGGAGGATTCTCAGAAAGTATAACCTCCGCTGTGCTCTCTTCATCAGGTCTTTGCTGTTTTCTCCCCAGGTTAGGTCATCTCTCAACTCCATTCCCAGAATATATACTGTTTAGCAGAGTTTATCTTCTTTCTCTCGCGGACGTGATGAACAATGACGAAGTTATTCTAAAGATGACTCACAAACTCTGTGAACTCTCAGCCAAGAGATATTATTCCCAGACCAGGTAAAAGCATTGCAGTAGCAAATATACTTTTGACTGTTAAAATAAACGGGAATTAACAGCACACTTTCAAACAAAAGTCTGATCTCCAGCACGTCGTAAATTACAGGAACAGTCCTTCAACAGATTTCACAGGCAACACTCTTCGGACAGACGTTTGCAAAAACAAAACCGAGTGGCCTTCTTCTTCTTCTTAGCACTTCTAGCTGATGCCAATTAAGCTCAAAGAGCTACTCCCATACATAAAGGGAAAACTCTGGAACCTTCTAGAAACTTTCTACTTGTTTCTGGCAGAATGATTCCCTAACAGGGGGAGGAGGGAGAACTCAGAGGAGCCAGGGCAAGTGCTCTCTTCACAGTGGCTCAAAGGGGAGAGCGCCTGCTTGGCATCTAGAAGGTCCAACTTCAATCCCCAGGTAGGGCTGGGATTAAGCCCTGACCGAAAGCTTGGAGAGCCATTGCTGCCAACCAGTGTAGACAATATTGAGCTAGATGGAGAAATGGCCTGACTCAGTGCAAGGCAACTTCCTATGTTCCAACCTGTCGGCAAACCGCGGAAACGAACCAAGACAAGTCCTCAGGCAAGCTAGTCGTCTGGAAGTGACTTCAGTCCGTGCTCGCACCACCTACCAATCCGGCGTCCGGGACGCGCCACGAATTGCCAAAGCTCGCCGCCGAAGTGGCCACATCGCCTCCCACGCGTAGGAAGTCGTCTGTGGGTGCAAGGAGAAAAGGTAGTGGGGTGCATGTGGGAAGGGTTCTGGCAGAGAAGGGTGCCGGAATAGCCTTCCCCTCTCGGCCACTAGGGGGCAGGCAAGTTGGGGTGGGGAGCAGCAGGGGAAGGGGCCCCTCCTGAGAAAATCCCTGGGGGGGATGCTCACCCAACCGCCCCAAGGGAGGTGGAGGAGAAGGCGTCGGAAAGGTCAAGAGTTTCATTGTTATTCCTGTAGGATAACCAGCTTCATATAACCAACATATTTAACTCCAATGAAGGGGTTAAAACCATAGAGTAAGGTGTCCTGCCAGGCTTAGCTAAATCCACTTCCCCTCACCTGGGGAGGAACTAGGTAATCAAGCCTTCGTTCACCCCCTGAAAAGCTCAACGTGTAAAGAGGTTCTGAGTTTATTGTTCCAGCTCAAACCTCATGGCTCTGATCAGCCACTCCTAATTTGTTATATACCAATAATTTAGGAGCTTTCGCCACTTTGCAACTAAGCCAAGATTTACTGCCTGTGCAATTTTTCTCACTGATGTAGTGGAAAGCACATGAACTTGACCTTTGAAGAGTTTGTAAGTAAACCCATTTTTAACTTACCCCATGTGTGGTCTTTTCCTATGCTGGAATAAGAGGGAATTTTTTGGAACTCACAGGGGCATCTTTTAAAGGTCTAACAGTCTAGACTTCCATGCTTTGCTTTGTTGCATATTTTGTGATTTTAAATCTCTGCTGGGGTTCTCTCACCAAATTTGGATCTGGCCTGACAGGAGTCCCCTTTTATACCTATATTTTTCCCTTACACCAGCAATTGTAAGGGGTGGGTTTAGATGAGCTTGGTTGTCCCTTCCAATTCTGCACTTCTGTGATGCTAAGTGGTTCCAGCCATGGAGTCTCCCACTGTTTGCCCTGGGGCATCCACGGGGATTGGGGTAGCAAGGGAGGAAGTAAGGGGGGGCAGTTACCCCCCCCATCAAAGGATGAACCATAATCTCCAGATCCCCAGCTTTGATTTTTTAAAAATGTTCCTTGCATTTGTAGAGCCTGAGAAATAAGTCGAAAGGGCTCTTCTCTTTTGCTTTGTGGGAAACCAGCCTGCTCCCCCCCCCAACTTTTTCAGTGGTTTACTTTGCCCCCCTCCCACACAAAAGTTTTGCAGACTGCCTTCTAATGACTACCACCCACCCACTCCCGATACAAAAGCCAGAGAGCGGCTACCTTGGTCCAATGCTGGTGAGAGTTTTGGACCTTTGATGAAGAGCAACACGGTGTCAGAAGTGAGAGCTCTCCCTTCTGTTTCCCCTCCATGGATGAGGGGAAAGTGTGGGTGTCCCCCTGCGGTCTTTACCTGCAGGGTCGTCGTTGTAGACCCCACACAGCCCTCGGGTGGCTCCTTTCAGGTCCGCCCCGATGGTGATGTAGACGGTGTCGCGCCCATCGAACTTGACCCGCACCCCCAGGCCGCTTTCCACGAAGAGGAAGTCTCCCAGCCACCAAACACTGATCCCTGGGATAAAACAGGAATGGACTTGGTATCGGTGCTGAAGCACAAGCTAAACTGTGGACTCCACTCTCTCTTTCACAGACGCACATTGCTTGGATGAGAGACGCCTTAGAATTCTGTTTTTAAATGTTTTTAAAATGACTTGAATAAACATGGTTCCAACAACAACACTTGGCTGTGTTTAGACTAATTTCGCAGAGAGAGGTATCCCAAGATGGAGACAAACAATTCAATGTGGAGAGAATCAGAACCTACAGGGTTAAGAGGTTCTGTGTGACGTCTTACATTCTGAGGCGTGGTTAAGTATACTGAGGGGAGTGTTTCCTGTGTTCAGTTCTGTTTTCGCTTTTGCGGAGAGAGGAGGCAAGATGTGTGCGTTGTCTCCAGGAAAGATTTAAGAGCTGTTTTTCTACACGAATAAAGACTTTTAGAAGATAAGGAAGACACCGTGCGTGCAGCCTGATTTATTACACACACACAGCGACAGTTTCTCGCTGCATGCACTCTGCTACTGTAGCTGACAGGAGAGCTGAGGGAAGCACGTGGGCTCCATTTACAGCTACGGAAATATACCCAACAGGTTATGGGTGGTCAGCAAACGCTTTGAAGCTGTTGCCAGACGTGCTGGTGTGTGTGGGAGCCAGCTGAGAAAAAGGCTGCAGAGAGTTTGGAGCTGTGCCTAACGTTTGAAGGCAAGCTGACGACACTGAAGCCAGCTTTGAGTCCTGCCTGAAGTAGAGAGAGGCAGACGAACTCAGCTGGGAGGGGCTGATCTGCTGGACCAGGAGCTGGAGAGCTACTGTTTGTATACGTGAGTAAGCTGGGCCCCGGGGGAAGATGGCAGATGACCAAGAGGTGCTTGAAGCTCCGCTTGAAAAGCTCACCACCCAGTCGTGGGAAACCTGGGTCAGGAAAGTGAGAGCCTGGTTTTGGGCAACAGGGCTGTGGGAAGTAAGCCAGAAGGAGCCGTCCCCAGCCAAACCAGCTGCTGGAAATGCAGAACTGGTGGACAGAGATGCAGAAAAGCTGCAGTCTGCTTTTCTGGAGGAGAAAATGCAGAGAGAGAAAGCTGTGAGAGCTGAGATCTGCATGTTAAGAGCCAGCGTGCATGCTAAGCTATTGCCGCATTTGGAGGGCATTGAGTCTGCCTGTGAAGCCTGGAAAGTGCTGAGGGGTT